TTAGTGTTTCTGTTTCAATATTTAGATTTTTGATCCATTTTGACTTTAGTGCATGGTGATAGACATTGGTCTAGTTTTATTCTTCAGCATGTGAAAAGCCAGTTTTTCCAGCACCATTTCTTTTAAAACAAAACAGCATAAAGCCAGTCAAAACAAAACAGCAAGAATGATTCAGGATCTCAAAACAGGATAATAGGAAATCCAGCACCATTTATTAAAGAAATTATTTTCCGGTGAACATGTTTGGCTTCTATGTCAAAGATAATGTGGTTTAGTCTGTTTGTAGTATCTGTGTCTTCTATTCTGTTCCACTGGTCCTTAGGTCTGTTTTTTTACCAATACTGTGCTGATTTTATCACAATAGCTTTGAGTATAATTTCAGGTTGGGGATTGTGATACTTCCCGACTTTTATTTTGTTGCCAGAATTGTTTTTGCTATTCTAGGTCTCCTCTGGTTCCAAATGAATTTTAGGAAAATTTTCACTGGTTTTGTAAAGTATGTTAATTGTATCTTGATTGAGCTTACATTAAGTCTGTATAACAGTTTTGAGAATGTGGCCATTTTCACTGTGTTCGTTCTTTCTATCCATAAGCAAGAGATATCTTTCCATTTTCCAATATCTTTTTTACCTCCTTATTCAGAGTACTGTAGTTTGTAATGTAAAGATGTTTTACTTCTTTTGTCAGATTGATTCCTAAGTCTCTTTTGGATGTTATTATGAAGTGTGTGGTTTCCCTAATTTCTCTCTCAGTGAGTTTGTTGCTTGTGTATAGGAATGCTGTTGCTTTTTGAGTGTTGACTTTGTATCCAGCTACACTTCTAAATTTGGTTATTAAGTGATGCTTATTTTGCTTGTAAACTTGGCAAGTTATATATAGTACAATTATTTACTATTATTTAACCACTAACCTAGGTGTTATTATGAAAGTATTTTGTACTTTCATGAGGCAAACATTTACAATGAGTTGTCCTTAAAGAAAGATTACCCTTGATAATGTATGTCAGCCTCATGCAATTAGTTTAACCCTTAACACCAAAACTAAGGCTTCTGCTGGGGATATGGCTCAGAGGCACAGCCCCTGCCTGGCAAGCAGCAGGTTATGAGTTCAATTCCTGACACCAAAAATAAAAAAGTAAAACCAAAAAACTGAGACCTCCTAGGAAAAAAAGATATTCTGCCTCAAGACTTGAACATTATCATCCCTTTATGATAAAAACCCAGAATAAATTAGGTATAGAAGGATTATACCTCAGCATAATGCAGGTTATATATGACAAACAGCCAATGTCATACTAAACTGAGGCAAAACTGAAAGCATTTTTCCTGAAGTCAGAAGCAACAAAAAAATGTTCATTCACCATTCTTATGGTACTGAAAATTCTAGCTAGAGCAGTCAAGCAAGAGAAAGAAATGAGAGGCATACCAATGGAAAAGGAAGAAATCAAACTATCCCTATTTGCAGATATTATTGTATACATAGAAAATTGTAAAGACTTTCAGAGCCAATAAGTTCAGCGAAGTGTCAGGATGCAAAATCAACATATAAAACTATCTTTTCTATACACCAATAGTGAATTCACTGGAAAAATATCAGGATAACCATCCCACCTACAATAGCCACTAGAAAACATTTTTTTAAAAGGAGGTATCTAAGAATAAACCTACTTAAATAGGCAAAAGACCTAAAAGCAAAAGTATAGAACACTGAGGAAAGAAATTGAAATACTAAAGCTGGATATGGTGACATACACCTGTGATCCCAGCACTCTGGGAGGTTGAGGAAGAGGAACTGCAAGTTGGAACCCAGCCCAGGCAACTTAGTAACTTAGAGTGAGAGACCCTGTCTCAAAATAAAAATGTGCTGAGGTGGCCACGCAGTGCAAATTCCCTGAGTTCAATCCCCAGTACCAAAATAGGAAGAGGACACAAAAGAGTGGAAAGACCTCCTGTGTTCATGGATTGGGAGAACAAATATTGTTAAAGCAGGTATGCTGCACAAAACGAGCTACAGAGGCAGTACAGTCCCCATCAAAATATCAGTGACATTTTTCACAGAAGTAGAAAAAACAACCCTAAAGTTCATTTGAAAACATGAAGGATTCAGAATAGCCAAAGCAATCCTGAGCAAAAAGAATAATACTAGAATCACCACAATACCTGATTTTAAAACATACTTCAGTATCACAGTAACAAAAACAGCATTGTACTGGCATAAAAACAGATCATAAACAATGGACAGAGTAGAAAGCCAAAATAAATTCATATGTCTCTGTCAAGTGAGATATATAGGAGAAAGGACAGCCTCTTTAACAAGTAGTGCTAGGAAAACTGGGTATTTACATGCAGAAGACTAAACCCTATCTCCCACTCTATAAAAACCAGCTGAAAATGGGTCAAAGACCTTAATGGAAAACTTGAAACTTTGGATTTGTGTCTGTTCATTTGTTTGTTTGTTTTTGGGGATAGGGTTTCTATGTAATTCATAGTAGCCTTGAACCCACAGCAGTCCTCTGGCCTCACCTTTCTGAGTGCTGATATTAAAGGTATGTACCACTATACCTGGCAAGACCTGAAACTTTGAAACTACTAGAATAAAAACATGGATGAAACACTTCAAAATATCAGCACATGTGATTTCCTAAATAGGACTCCAGAAGCCCAGGAAACAAAAAATATCAACAGATGAGAATATTTCAGATTAAAAACTTGTTACCACTAAGGGAACAATCAGTAGAATGAAGAGAAGATCTTGGTCAACTTTTCATCTAACAGAATTAAGATCGAGAATATGTAAAGAACTAAACAAACAAAAATTTAACCAAAAAAAACCCTGATAAGCCACAGTAAATGAGAAATGATCTGAATAGACAGTTCATAATAAAGGATACAAATGACCAGTAAATAGGTGAAAAATGCTCAATATCTTTAGTCATCAGGTAAATGCAAATCAAAATTACACTCTTCTTCCATATCATTCCAGTTAGAATGGCTGTTATAAAACTAAACTAAAAAATTACAAATGTTGTATAGCTAACATTTGTATAGAATGTTGTATAGAAGTGAGGTTGTATAGAAAAAAGAACCCCATATACACTTTTGGTGGGAATGTAAATTAAATTAGCCAGTATGGAAAACAGTATGGAGGGCCCTCAGAACACTAAAAATAGAACCACCACATGATATACCATTCCTAGGGATATAGCTGAAGGAAATGAAATCAGCATATAAAGAAGATACCTGCATATTTATATTTATTGTAGCACTATTCTAACTATATATATATATTTTTTCACCCTAAGTAATGGAATAGCATTAATCCATAAAAAGAGTAAAGTTTTCTCATTTGCAGAAAAATGGTTGGAACTAGAAGACATGAAATAAGCCAGGCTCGGAGAGACAAGTATTCAGGATGTTTTGTTTTGTTTTTGGGCTGAGGATTGGTCATAAGACCTTGCACATGGAACGTAAGCACTCTACTTCTGAGCCATATCACAGCCCCATACTCAGACAAGTGTCATGTTTTCCCATTATATGAAAGGACCAAATGACCAAAAATAACAAGGATGCTTGAAAGTAGAAGGGGAACTATTAGGACCTGGAAAAGAGGTGGGAGAAGGTTGGAAAGCAAATACGGGAGGTAAGAGAAGGAAGGGAAGACATGATCAAAGCTTGATATGTATGAAAGTACAGTGAAACCCATTAATTTGTATAATTAATATGTATTAATACTTATTATAAGCAAATGGAACATTTGGGAATATCCCGAAATTATTAGATATTTTTCACTTTGATTCTTTCCAGTGAGCCTGGGAAAAAGAGGCCTGTAAAAGAAATATATCATTGTAAAAAGTGAGACAAAATAACAGCATTAATTTCTGCTTGAGTTTCCAGCATGCTGGCCTGCCCAACAGATTTTAGAATAACCAGCGCCCACATATATGTGAGCCAATTCTTTAAAATAAATCTCTCTATATATGTATGTAGAAATGTACCAACAACTTGTTTCTCAAGATAACAATAGATAAGGCATTTTTTTTCCTAACATAAGGTGAGGTCACTATGTGAGACTAAAACAGAAGAAAGTGGAAGATGGAAGAGTGCAAATGGTTTGAAAGGCACTTCACACAGTATGAAAGAATGAACTAAGAGGAAACACATTTTTAGCCAGTGTTGAAGGCTCAGCAGAGGTTACTGAACAGCATTCCCTTCCATCTTTGTCTGGAAAGCTGCTGCTCTTCTTTGTTTTTTAAGTTTCTGTTGTTTTAAGGCTTAATCTCTGTCGCCTTGTGTGACTTGAAAATTTCCTTGCCCTTCCCAGGAAGGATTGTCTGTGCCTGTATTCATGCCTTTATTGAACTCTATTATGTCTTCTTCATCAATATATGGAGGTGAATAACCAAACATATCAATTGCATCAAATATCTGTTATGTACCAGCCTCTATTCTAAGCATTTTATGTATATTAATTCATTTAAGCCTCAAAATCACCCTCGAAGTAGACACTGTTGTCTTCATTTTCAAATGAGAAAGTCAAGATGTGGGTTCAGGCAGTCTAACCCCAAAGCCTGTCTTCTTACCCATTCATAGGACAGGCTTTGGGCTTAGATTGCCTGAACTGACATATTGACTTCCTCTTTTGAAAATGAAGACAAAATAGTGTCTACTTTCGAGGTATGAGGATTAAAGGTTGTTAAGCATTCAAGTTTTTCCACTAAGAATATTTTCTGATCCTCTACTCCAGGCACCTCACCTTAAGGACTGGGGTTTGAGCAGGGGACAGAATCACTGCTGGTATAGAGCTTACATTTCTCACCAGGACAGATATACAGTAAACAAATATATATGTGTTTATACAAGATGGTAATTAGTACTGTGGGAAAAATAATTCAGGACGAAGAGCATCACAGTATTGAGAGGCGTGTTGCCATGGTCTGTCAGGTAGCTAGGGAAGAACTCACTGATAAGGTGGTGTTTGAGCAGGGAGTAAGCCTTAAGGACATGTGGAAGAAGGTATTCGCTTCTCTGCTGTTCAACCAGCAGTGTAAGCCACTAGTTACCTCCAGTATCCACTTCCCTCTTTCTTTACTGATAGAACCCCTGGATTTTACCTAGGCACATAATAATTAAAAATACAGATTAGTCTTGGTAACATTAGTTACAGCTGGATGTGGCCATGTACTTGACTGATGTGGGACATTTCCAGACTGTGCCCTTAACAAAAGGGATATGCCTTCTCTTTTCTCCCATCTCACTAGTCAGGATGGAGACCCCAGAAGAATTAATAGTGAATCCTCTGAAGATAAGGATTGCTTTGGAGAAGGCAGAACAACTAAAACACTGCATGTTAGCCTTGAGCAGTTATGTGAGAGAGATCATGTTTAAGCCATTTTGAGTCTTTATTACAGAATATCCTGATAAGCAGAATCTTAGTCCCTGCGATATCCTGCCCCTTGTATTACACAGAGCTTACCCCCTGGGACTCAGAATATGACATTTTGTACTTCTGTGATTATGTCCCACTTTATGGCACAATTGACTGTGAATATTATCTGAGTAGGTCTGACTTAAGCCATTTAAACTCTGGAGTGTTCCTTGGCTGGCTGCAAAAGAGGACATAAGAAACATGAGACAGATTTGAGCATGGTTTCTGGCTTGAAGATTGAGGGACATGGGGCAAGGACAGCAGGTGACCATGAGTGTTGCATATGCACATAGCCAAGAAGGGAAAAGTGACCTCAGACTGCAAGGACTACAACCCTCCAATGAAAACAAAGATTGGAACTGGATTTTTTTCTCTCTCTCAGTGCTTCCAGATAAGAATTCCAGTCAACACTCTGATTTCTGTAGTCTGTGTTATTACTGACTGCAAAGAACCCAGCCAAATCATGGACATCTGATCTACAGAACAATTCTACTCATGTTGTCAGGCTGCTTAGTTTGTAATAATGTGTCACACAGAAACTTGTATATTAGTTAGACTCCTCCAGGGGTCCAGTCATAAGCTCAGAAGCCCCCAGTCTGTTGTCTACACGCAACCAGGAAAGCCAGCATGTAATTCAGTTCAAGTCCAAGAGATGAGAATCGAGGATTCCAGTGTCTGTGGGCAGGAGAAGATGGATGTCTGCACTAAAAAAGATAAATTCATCCTTTCTCTGCCTTTTTGTACTATTCTGGTAGCAAGTTAATGAAAGCAACAGCTTTCTTTTAGGGAAGAGCATATTTAGGAGTCTGGTTTTGGACATTTTAAGTTTTAAAATTTTAGCCTAGCCCAGTGACACACTCCTGCAATCCCAGCACTGAGAAGGCTGAGACAGGAGGATCACAGCAAGTGTGAGGCCAGCCTGGGCTACATAGTGAGTTTAAGGCCAGCCTGAACTATGCAACAACAGATCATTAAAAAAAAAAAAAAAAAGTTTAAAAGTTCGAGACAATTTTCAGCTATCCAAACAGTTACATAAAAGGCAGTTTGATGTACAAATCTGGATTTCAGAGTGCATGTAGGGCTGGATTTTTTTTCTTACCTCTTCTCCCTTTCTCTTCATCCAGAACAAGCCATTCTTTTTACATCCCATTTTGGGACTTCTGCAGGACTCTTCCCAAAGACCCATAGTAGCAGTCAGGGATGGGTCCGGCCCCTTCAGGTCCCACCCAGCACGCCCTCCCCCATTCCCATCCCACCTGCCCCGCGGCTCCAAGCCCAGTTCCTTAACCGTTCTAACAGCTGGAGCCCTGGAGCTTCTGGCCTTGGCTTAGGATCTGCTTCCCTCGGTTCCCCAGTACCGGTGTTCCCCTTCTCCCCCGAAGGCGGCTACCACGGAGCGCCTCCTCCGCTTTCCTCTTTCAGCCCATTCCTTTGCCCTTTCTCCTTCTAGGTTCCACCGGCGCCCTGACTGCTCGTTTGTCACGCCCATTCTTTGGCTTTCTGTTCTCATGGGCTTCTCAGCCTGTGGGTGAAGACGTCGGGGACAAGCGCTTTGCCGCCTCCCTCCGGTGAAAATTGGTTCCTCCCCTTCAGGTGCTTGTCAGCCTGCACTTTGAAGCTTCTCCCCTACCGAGGTTCTCTGGGTGAAACCTTGTGGGCACACCTGTTTTCCTCATCAGGCGATCACTTCTGTGCCAGCTTCTGACTAGGGGGAGCCCGCCTGGGACCCGAGACTAAGTGCACCCACTTCTCCAGCAGGTGCTGTCCCATGAAACGTCGTCGTCGTCAGCGGAGCTGGCTGTGTTCCCTCCCCTTGCCTCCTATCCCCCGTAGGCCAGGTGAGGGGGGCTGGGAAGTGGGCAGGAACTCCTTCCTGGGCAGGGAGGCTCCACCTCTGGTCTGGGCCTGCTTCCCAGTCTTTGGGGAAGCAGCACTGGGGAAAGGCACTCTGCTTGTCTGCTTGTGCAGCTCCACCTGTTTCCTGGTTCGGGGTCCTTTCCCTTTCCCCCAAACTCATGGACTCTGCCATGAGCCTGAGGACTCTTTTCCTGCCTGTCTCCTGCACTGGACCATGCAGGTGAAGTCCCAAAGCAGAGATCCTGGAACTGGCATTTAGAACCTGAACTGTGGGCAAGATCACTTCGACAGCAGTTGAATGTCCAACTTCTCTCGCCCCTGGGAGAGAAGAGGGCAGGTTTGTCTCTTGATGCAGTGTCATCAGATACCCTTGAATCTTGGCACTCTGCTTGTAGCCTGGACAGCACAGGGCAGTCTGGGACCTACCAGACAAAACAGAGGAAATTCCTGATGGCAGCGACTGACTTGGAGCAGCCTACAGTGCTTAAGCTACTGCTAGCTGAGCTCCAAACTCTATTCTCGGCTGTGCTGCAGGACCACAGCCCTGCAGCTTGGCGCTACCTGCATGCAGTGCTGGGTCTCCTGCCTCCATATCGTGAGTTGCTAGTCGGTCACCTCGATTTGCTGCCCTTCCTGGAGCAGCTGTACTGCTGGGCACCCTGGGTCCAAACCCAACTCCAGCTGGACCTGCTAAGTGCCATAGACCACGCCTTTCCCCCAGACAGCTCTTTGTTATGCAGTGCGTCCCATGTTGACTGCCACCCCCAGAAGAAGAGGTTTCATCGAAGCCCACCATGCCCAGCCTGTCCTTTTGTGCTGGCCCAGTGGGGTGGGCAGCAAGTAAGGCAGGAATTGGCCACATGGCTGCGACCATTGACATTGCCTGAGCTACAGCACTGCCTGGGCATTGTCGGCGCTGAGGTGGCCCTAGAAGAGACCCAATGGCTAGATGGTCTCAGTCTCCTACCATTGGCACTGGCTACAGACATCCCTGTACAGTATAAAAGCAGTGACACTGACAACGTAGAAGAGGAGCCCATCAGAAGCAAAGAAGCTACGTGAGTGATCCAGTCTGGGGCTTTGAACAGAGGGGGGGAAAAAGTCAGGTTAGAGTGTCTCTAGGGTCACCTGATGCCCACAGCCAGCTCACTTTTGATCTTAAGGATTAGCTTCACCCCAAGCTGAGCTGACAGGATGCTCAATAAGCCTAGTGTCTTAGTGTTAATCCCCATAGGGAAATGCAGAAATCCAAGTCAAACGTCAACTCTCAGGAAAGCAAAAAACGGCTTGCCTTGCCAGTTTCCAGACTTCTTTCTTAGACTAGTGCGGGAAGCCTCCATCATTCTTTTTCTCATTCATTCATAACTGAGCTTCACCTCTAGGCCTGTCTTATGCTATGTCTTAGATGCTTGATATCTTGGATCCTTGGAATACTAAGGAGTACCTGCCACCACAGGTCTATCTAAGCTCCAAGGCCCAGTACAGTAAGCACTACTGGATGGGATTTCATCCTGCCCTTCTCGAGATTTTCATTCTGCCTTCCCAGTGTTGGCTTTCTTACCCCTGGAGTAAATATTCTCCCTAAATTCTGGGTATTTGAGCTCTTTAGGATTTCAGAATGCCTACAGAGACTTCCTATTTTTGAAAGTTCTTTAATTTTATTCTTTGGAGTTCTCCTTGTCCTCTGGCTTGAGTCTCTAGGTGTTCTGTAGTTTGTCTGTGAAACACTTGTTGTATTGGGGAAAGGTTAGTTTCACCTTTAATCAAGCTTGGCTTCCATGGGTTTTTCTCTTAAGTTTATGGTGGGGTCAAGTTTTTCCTGAAGTCTCAAAGCTCTGATGGTGAAAGAGCTACTGGAAGATGGCCAGCGCCAACAATTTGTGCCGTCAGCAGCCTCAAAAAAATTTGCCTTTTTCCAAGAGCCTGAGTACAAGTGCTCCCCACACACACACACCTTAACTGAAATGACAATGAGATGTTGGGAAGGGGTCAAGGTCTTCTCCCTCTCTTTGAACCCTGCAGTAAACCTCTGAGGTCTAAGCTAATAAAGCTTAATTTACATTAAGTTTTCCAGGGCTAGCTTCCCAGGCATTCATTGAATAAGACCTGCTAAATGCTGCGATACAAGACAAGGGCAGATTCAAGCCATTCCCATGGAGGCTTACAATTTAGTGATATTCTTTTTTCTTTCTTTTGTTGCACCAAAGATCCAATTCACAACCTCGCACTCACTAGGCAGCTGCTTTTGCCTCTGAGCTAAATCACCAGCCCCTGACTTACAATTTAGTTAAGAAGATAGATACAGACACCTTAACACAAACAAAATATAATTACAAATTGTAGTCTTCTAATACAAAAGAACACCATCCATCTCTGATTGCTCTTCTGGGGAGGAAGGGATGGAGGGAAGGAGAGAGAGGAGGTAACGGGAGAGCACATCAGAGGAATTGGATTAGTTTAGCAAAAATATCTTGCAGGTTAAGAGACAGTGCTCAGCACTATTCAGTGCTATTAAAGCAAGTAAGAATCTGAAAATTATAGCATTTAGTGACGAGGAAAAGGTTGGTACCAGCAATTTTAGTGGAGTTCGTGGGAGGAAATTAGATTACGAGTGAGTATCTCATTTTACTATTCTTTCATGTTCTTTCAAGAAGTTGACTTGAAAGGAAAAGCAAGTAGGTGTCTTGTTTACTTTTCTCTCATTGCTGGAACAAAATGCCCAACATCCAGAATGAAGGAAGGAAAGGTTTTTTTAGGTGTTTGTGGATGTTTAAGTCCATAATTGGCTGGCTGCAAGGCAGGGTGACAAGACACAGGGGCAACACTTCAAAGCGCAGCCAGAAGAAAAGGCGGAAGAGTAAGCCTCTTTTCCTCCCTTATATTGTATGCAGGCCTCCCCCTACCCCCCAGGGTAGATGCACTAACAAAATCTCTGTGTTTTCCTCTTGCACAGAATGAGAATATTTACAAAGTAAGGATCCTGGGTCTCGGCTCAATCTCTTAAAATTCTAAACTCAAGTTGATACAATATATCAACCATAATAGTAGGAGAACAGCTTGAAATAATTTTGGTGTCTGGGTAGGATTCTTTTTAAAAGTACATGTTTTTAACCCTTAAAACAGTCCCAGAGAAATAAATACATATCTAATAAATATTTGTAGATTAAATTAACAGGCTAAAGTAAACAGAAAATTTTAAATACATCATAGAAAAGGGCCAAGGTTGCCAGAGCACAGAGATGCTAGCCTCGCAAAGAACGAAAGACACCTTTCCTTTCATATTGAGAGACACAGATAAGGATGAGGCCAGGCAACTGAAGTTGAGTTAGTTTCTGGCTGACAACCACAGTTTGGGGCTTGGCAGGGCCAGGCATAGGGTTACGGTACACAGTTTGAGTGAAATGAAAGAGGTGACTGCTTGAGAACTTGTACTAAAATATCATCAAAACAAGATGAGCCTATAATCGGGCCAGGGATTTAGCTCATTGGCATTAGTGCCTGCTTCGCAAATGAGAGGTCATGAGTTCAATCCCTAGGACCAAAAAAAAAGAGCCTATAATAAAGACTGGACATTAGAGATCTATAAGGAACCAGTATTCTTGGTTCTGTGAGCTTCTGAATCTACTATATCGTGTGAGGCTTTACCTGCTTAGGAAATGAATAATAGCATTTAAGATGTCCTGACCCAATATCACAATCATAAACCATATTGTTAATATGATCTCTAGAACACAGTTGGATTGTAATGCCTGGGTGACTTATTCTGTTGATCAAAGTTTGGATCAACTAATGATGTTAATATATTTTAGGGCTAAGTTAAATCATTCTTAGGTTCTTATTGTTGTTTTGGTTTGTTTTGTGCTATGAGATCCCCCCAACCAAAATTATTAGTGAGTTCTTAGAGAATTTTTTAAACAATTTTGTTGACCAATAAAGTAAAGAACAAGAAGATAACACCAGTGAGGAGGCTAAGAAGATGAGAAGGCTTCAGGGGGTTGAAGGATGCATCACCAAACTGAGGCTGAAAATGAAAAGGCTTTGAAACTAGAATTTAAGTGATGATGACAGGGAATGGCAAGGATGATGATAGAAGCAAGAGTAATTAATTTGTGATAGGATTAGATTATGCAGGGTTAGGAGCTAGATACAGTAGAAGAAAAGATAGGAGATCAGATCTAGAAGGTTTGGAAGGTTAACAGGGGAAATCCAGGACAGTGAACTTACAGGATGAACAGCTCAAAAAATAAATAGTATGTGTACATAGTATTGTGTAATACTGACTTCACATTAATCACAGTCAACTTGGAGTGGATACTCATTTGTGGGAAAGGGAAAAGTTGTTCATGCCCCATGTGAGTATAGTTATCTGTGTTGCAGGACAGATCCAGTTTTTCTCAGTATGTCTTCAAGCACAGGTAGTAGGTCAGCCCTGCCCCTCCCCTCCAACACCTGATCTGGCTCCTCCCCTCAGGCCAGCAGAGGCAAGACCCACGTCTAGGCCCCTGACCTCTTCTCTGCCTTTTCTCTCCTGATCTTTTGTATATACAGGATTCAGTTTGACTATAAAGTTTCTGAAGAGAGGCCCTTCCAAAAGCGAAGTAGTAGTTCCTCACCTGAAGTGTTCTTCTCTGGTAGCCAGCCATTGAACGTTCTGAATACAGACAAATACCTGAAGAAGATCTACTTCTTCTACCTGAATGTGGCTCCCAGTCGGTACTTCAGGTATGAGCCTGTGTCCAGACCTCTTCTCTGCTTCCCACTCCCAGGTCTCCTCCTGTGCAACCTTCCTCCTTCTCTCTCTTCCCGTGCCCGTTCCTCTCCTCCCCTGTTCTTTGTCTCCTGGTTCCCTCCTTCACTTCTCCTCAGCCTCCTCCTCTCTACAGTCCACCTGCTTTTTCCTACCCTTTTCTCTCATAGCCTTGTGTCTTAGTACCCTTTTCTCAGCTTCTGCTCTTTCTACTGTATTCTTTTCTAGGATGAAAGAAACCTTTGATCATAGCCTCAGAAGCAAATTTAATGATAAATCTTCCCTCTTCTGTGCACAAATCAGTTACCTAAATCTTTACAGTATCTGGGAAACTTTATTTTTCCAAAGGCATCCTGTTTCTTAGACTGAATCAAATTCTGCTTTCTTTTAACTTCTACTTCCTGGTCCTAATTTTATCTCTGGGGCTATAAAAACAAGCCTCCTCCTTCCACATGATTTGAGGCATAACTTTTTCTCCATTAGATCCAAATCATACTTATTTTAAAAAATGTTTAAATTTTAAAACTTTTTATCTGTCTATTTATTTTATGGTATGGGAATTCAACTCAGAGTCTACATGTGTAAATATGTACTCTACCACTGAGCTACACTGAGCTATATCCCCAGCTGAATTTTTAAAATTTTGTCACATAAGAATTATACATATGGGGTACAATGTGATGTGTGCAGTGTGTAATGGTCAAATCAGAATAAGGACATATCTATCACCTCAGGCACAATTAGAATATTGGAAATGTTTGATTAACTGTTGTTGAGTCTGTAGCTGCAGTGACAGAGTTGGGGCCCCCATTATTGTCCCAGATATAACAGCTCTACCTGAAAGAATACTGGATCTCTGTGTTCAAGAACTGGCCCTTCTTCGATGGCCGTACCTGCACCTTGAAGCGGGTGATGGCTGAGACTGGTTTCCTCCACTGACCTGCTAAGAACAAGCCTGATTTGCGCAGCTCACCTTCTGCTTCATGGAGCTAGAAGGCTGGAGCAACTAGGGCAGCCCCATAGAGGAGCATAAAAAGCCTTCATCTGGTTTTGTGGCCTTTCTGCTAAGAAGCAGTTTAACGAATTAACTCTCAGGGAATTTTTGAAACTGGACAAAGAGAAGGCTATGAACAAAATTGCAAAGGAAACCAATATCAAGCAGAAAGAGTTTGAAGAAAGTACAAAGAAAGTCAGCTGCTGCCTTGGAGTAAGCCCTTTGCTGTGGTCACTGACCCTGGAGTGACAGGTCATGTCCAGGGATCGTTCTCCAGGGTCTCCAACCTTTCTGTCCCTTAGGAAAGGAGAACACCAAAATTTTGAAACAAAATATTTACACTGATTGTCATTTTTTCTTGGAAGTAGCACCAGTGGCTTTTTGGCGACAGTGGCTACATCTTTTTCTTTAGTAGCTTTAAGTCCTGGAACTTAGCAGACAAGCAGTGGGTGAGGAAGAAGGCAGTGTCCCTCGGACTAGAGCTGATTGTGGGAAGGAGGGCTAAACACCTGTGCAAGGGGTTTCTGGTCTTCACATCTCCAATACTCTATAAACCAGTCAGTGTGCACTGGGCTGCCAATAATTCTCCTGCATTTTATATGTGCGTTCTGAGAGAGGGCAATGGAATACATTAATTTTTTGGAATAAATTAATTTTTTAAAATTGTTGTTAATCATAGTTTTCCCGCTGTGCTGTACAGCGTCAGAAGTGACTCGTCCTGTCTGGCTGTACCTCTGTGCCAATTAATCACCCTCTCTCCATCCATCCTTTTCCCACCCCTCTCAGGCTCTGATAACCACCTTTATTTTATTTTTATTTTTTTGTCTTTTTGAGACAGGGTCTTGCTATGCAGTTCAGGCTGGTCTTGAGCTCACTTTGTAACCCAGGCCAGTCTCAAATTTGCAACAATCCTCCTGCCTCAGGCATCCGACTGCTGAGATTACAGGCAAGCACCACCACGCCTAGCTGATAACCACATTTAAAATGGACATTTTTTACACATTTCAGCATGTCTGAAATTGTAATGCATCTTACATATTGATGGAATATCACTGGAAGCATTTTTTTCGTCACAGTATTTCATAAAATAATGCCGTAGCTTATAATTGATGGTATCTTAAACATCATGGGATGTGAAATACCTGTGTCTGGAGACTGAATTTTTTGGAAAAGAACAGTGCAGTTTTCTTTTTTTTCATCTTATCTTTGGCTTTCATTCCTTTTTAATGATATTTGTTCAGAGCCAGGAATATAGCTCAGTGGCACAGTGCTTGCCTGGCAAATGTGAAGTCATGAGTTTGATTCCCAGTACAAATAATAATAATAATAGTAATAATATTTGTTGCATCATTTTAGTTTGAAAATCATTCTGCTCTCTTTTCTGTCTTCCTATTTTCTTCTGCCTTCCTTCCTTTTTAATTTCCTCCAGCCCTCTTTTCTAGAAATCTGCACAAGTTTCTACTGAGATGTTTTTTTTTAAAGGCCCTATGACCTGGTGGTGGTGCCACCAAAAAGGGTGAATCCTGAGCACTACGTCTTCTCTCCCTTTGGGATCCTGCATGTACATCCTGTGGAGGGCAGTGAGGTTATGACGCTGGGTGCCTGGCACCACCAGACTGTTCTCTGGCAACAGCTGCAGCTCATTCCATTCTTTAAATACTGCCTTGTACGCAAGGCCTTCACCTGGTAGGTAATGATGCAGATGGATTTGGGGGAAATGGACCACAGAAGCAGCATATTGTCATTGGCCTCTATTCTATAGTTGGAGGAAGACCATGAAGTGGCAGGGGCTGTGTCGGCTCCGGACTTTCCTAGGGAATCACCTGCTCCTGGCTGTGCCCCACTTTGGAGCTGGGCTTCTCCATATTAACAGGTAAGGTTTTAATAGAACTTCAGTGGATTGTTAAAAATTATTTTCATAAATTGTAGTATATCATTGTAGAAACATTGCAAAACAGAAAAACATTTAATCCCACCACCCTTAAATAACCATCATGAACATTTTGTTATTACATATCCTTTTAGTCTTTTTTCCTATTACATATAGAAAATGTGAACATATGTTGCATATTGTTATGTAGTTTGGTTTTTTTCTCTGAGTCATCTTTTATTTTTGAGACAGGGCCTCCCAGTGTGTAGTTCAAGCTGGCCTTGAACTCACTGTGTAAACCAGGCTGGCCTCAGTTTGTGGTGATCCTCCCAGCTCAGCCTGGATTATAGACAGGCGCCACCATGCGTGGCTGAATCATATATTCTGAGCATAGCCCCATGTAATCACATGTCCTTCTACATAATCTTGCTTCAGATATTATGCAATTATTTAAGGATCAGTTATTTAAGTCTCTAACTCAGATGTCTGAATCCCAAGTCTTCTCTTTGTTCTTATGCTATTGTGTGTATTCTTTTGGGGGAGAAATGGGGGAGGGGAAGGTTGCTTACTTTTAGAATTTCCTTGCCTTCTCTTCATGATGCTTCAGCTATTCCCAGGTTTGGATTCCATGATAGGATTTTCAAACTCCAATGTTTATGGCGCCTAAGTGGGAGGTATGCAGTGGTTAGATGTAAGAAATGCAGTGGTTAGATTTAAGACATGAGGGCTAAAGGAGACCTCCAGTCTAGAGATTAAATAGGGCAGGCATTTCCTGGCTACAACTAATTGTTGGCATTGGGGAATATAGGTCCAGTGTGATTAGCCAACTTATTTTTCAGGATTTCCTGGAAGTCTACATTTTGGGGTAAAATTCTTAATTTTAACTGTTGGCTCAGATTTTAATTAAAACAGTGTGCTGACTAACTCTTAGTGGCACTCACTGGAAAACTTTTCAGTCTGAATTTGACCACTGGTATAAGTTTGCAGTCTCTGCCCTAAGCAGATTTCATCCTCCAGTCTTGTCTAGTCATCATGGGATAATCAAAAGCATAAGAGCTGGAGAGGGCAGACAGATCTGAAATTAGATTCTGAGCACCAGTGTAGAACTTACTTCTTGAACCTCAGTTTCCTGATCTGAAAGCTAGCCTAAAGATTTCTGCTAGAACAACTGCAATGAAAATTAACTGATATTCCCAGAAGGCAGTAAATAAATGACCCCCCTTATGATCATACTGTCTGCTTATTGGTGGGGTCTTTAATATTTTTAAAGGATATGGAGTTCTTTGAGGGGTGGGAAACAAGGGTTGGCTTTCTTAGAGATGTCAACCTATAGAAAAGTTACATATCAGCATTTTAATCCTAAAATTCTTTAGTGTGTCTATGCGTCTAGGAAATCCAGGTTCCCTATTTCAACAAAGAAGCCTCTTTTTTACTTCTTCTAAGTTGGGCCACTGATGTTATTTAATACTCTGTCCTGTCAGAGAGGTCACTAGGTGTGTTATGCTAGTCAGCTTTCCATTGTTGTGCCAAAATACCTGACAGAAATGAAAGAAAAAATGACTTATTTTGGCTGGTGGTTTCAGTCTGATGGCTTGATTCTGTTGCTTTAAGTCGGCGGCAAGGCAGAACATCGTGGTGGAGCAAAGCTGCTCACATTATGGTGGCAGGAAGAGGGAGAGAGGGGGACTATATCTTCAAAAGCACATCTCAATAACCTGCTGCTCCAAGGTGTGTTCTATGATAATTTCCACCACCACTCAATGCTGTCGGGGTCCTTATGGTCCAGTCATCTCCCACTTCTGAACACGGTTGCACTGTGCCTTCAACACAGTGCTCTCACAGGACCTTTATACTCAAGGTAGGCATCAATACATACCTTGAATCTTTTGTAAATAGTTCCCAGCCAGTAACTTTCTGGGTTTTAACTTTCCCAAAGAACGCTCAAGATAAGCTGCCACTGTCAGTCAGCAAGAATATTACAATCTTCAAGAACATTTGCTCAATCGGGGGCAAGCCTGACTGGGATGAGGTCAAAGGTATCCAAGGAAGGAAGGCTGGGGTGCCAGCTCCAAATAGCTCATTCCTTGATTTCAGGCTTCTGCAGGAGCTACACTCTGTGTCCTGGCTACCCCAGGAGCCGGATCAGTGCTATGAGCTACTGGATCTGAAGAAGGCTCTATTCAAGGAGAACAGAAAGGCTCTACAGTTGCTCCATCGCTGTGTGAACCTCTGTGCATCCATTATTCATCTGGTAAGAGATTCCAGATTTCTAGATTGCAAATCTTTACTCCACCTGAACACCCTCCCCTTCGTTAAGCTTCTCCTGGGATCTCGTGTGACCTGGACCCTGCAGTTGGATCGTGCCTATTGTCCTGCCCAGCAACAGCAGTCTCTACACTGACATAAGTGGATCATTAACAGATGAACAGAGACTAGGACTCAAACTTTCCCTAAAGGTTGGCCCTGGCCTAGGAGCAGAGAGAAGAAAAATAATGATGCCTATTTTGTTGGTTGATTGTTCTAACATTACGGAACAAGTACATTAGGGACTTTAAGAGTCCTGATTTTCATGGAACTGAGATTATCTGTGAACCTCTCTTGAACCTTTGGCAGGTTATACAGATGCATGCAGTCCAACTTGTGCCTGTTTTGTATCTGAGGGTGTGCTCCCCTGTCGGGGTCTGGGAGGTCCGCTGTGCACTTCCCTCTTTCTGTGGCTTATCATTTACTGTCAGGTGTTTGAACTAATGTTAGGTGGTAGGACCTTTGGAGAGTGATAAGGCCGCCCAGATGGGGCAGTTATAAAGGGGCCAGTTCAGTCTCATTTTGCCACTTTCCTCTTCTGCCTTTCACCACATAAGAACACAGCATTCCTCCTCTCTAGAGGATACAGCAAGAAAGCTTTTACCAGACCTTGGACTTCCTGGCCTCCAGAATTATAAGTTTCTGTTCTTTGTAAATTACTGAGCAGTAGGGGTTCTGTTAAAGCAGCACAAATGGGCTACAATAGCTGGCAATAGAAGTAGGGGAGAGTCTTGTGGTACTGAGCCTTTAGCTGGGGTATCCAAAACTGTCTCCAGGTCAGTAGCACCAGAATTGGGTTAAATAGTGGGACACACAGTTAGTGTTTACAAAAGAACTGCTAGGTGTGTAGGGAAACCCCACATATCCGATGTCAGAAGTGCTGAGTAGGGTGAGAGGAGAAGAAGCACTGCTTCCCCTACCTCTTACATTCTTAAGTATGAGTCAAATATATGTAATGTAGGCATCTCTGCCAAGTGTGGGCTTGCTTTTTCATTATTTTAATGGTGTCTTTGGATGAGCAGAATTTTTTTTGGCGACAGGGTCCACTAAGTAATTCAGCCTGGCCTGGAAGTCACTGTGTAGCCTATGGTGGCCCCAAACTTGTGGAGATCCTCCTGCCTAGTCTCCTGGATTTTCATCTTAAAGTTCATCTTATTTATCTATTTTCATTAGTACCTTTTATTTCTACTGATATTGAGTATTTTGAGCCCAATTTAAAACATCTTTGCCTACCCCAAGGTTATATAGATATTCTCCTATTTTCTTAGGAGTTTTATTACTTTAGGTTTTAGATTTAGGTTTATGATCTATCAAATTAATTTCTATATTTGGTGTGAGGTAAAAGTCAAGGTTTATTTTCCCACTTATTATTATGATTATCTTTTCCCCATTTAATAGTAGCAGTATCTTTTTTTTTGGTACCAGGAATTGAATTCAGGACCTCACTGAGCTATATCCCTGGCCTTCTTTTTAAAGAATAGGATCATATTATCTGTGTGGGTCTATTTCTAGATTTTTTTTTATTTTTTATTTATTTTTTTTTTTTTTGGTACCGGGGATCAAACTCATGATCTTGTGCTTACCAAGCGTGCTTGAACCACTGAGCTAAATCCCCGGCTAGATTCTATATTCTGTCCATTAGTCTATATGTCAATGTCACCATGTCAATTATTACAGCCTATGTATTATAATAAGGTTACATTTGATATAAATACTACTTTTCTGTTCTTCAAGATTACTATGGATGTTTTGAGTTCTTTGAATTTCCACATATAAATATGGAATCAACTAATTTCCACAAGGTGACTTATTTAAATTTTCACTGGTCTTGCTTTGCCTTAGTAGGCTAATTTAGGGAGAAATCATCTCTTGATTTCAGTTTTGTTTTTAGTACCGGAGATGGAACTTGTGATCTTGCACTTGCCAGGCAGGTGCTTATACTGCTGAGCTAAATCCCTGGCTGAGAATTTATCTCTTAATGTTTAGTTAATTTCCTTCGTTTGTTTGTTTTGCGATATCGGGATTGAACTCACGACCTTGTGCTTGCCAGGCAGGTGCTTATGCCACTGAGCTAAATCCCCAGCCCTGTTTAGTTAATTTCCTAACCATGACTCTGATCTCATCATTGATTTTGCTTTCTTTCATTGGTCTTACAAAACTTTTATAGGTTTCCTAGAGAAGTCTTAAGTGTTATGTCACTAGATTTATTATTTGGTATTTAGTGAGGCTTACTGGTATTATACATGGTATTTAAAAAAAATACCATTGTTAGCTGAGCAGATAGTACGCACTTATAATTCTACATTGAGGGGCCAAAGCAAGAGGATCACCTCAAGTTCAAGGCCAGTCTGGGTTACAGAGTAAGTCTGAACTACATAGTGAGACCCTCACTCAAAAAATTATTAAATAAATAAATTTAACTTTTTAGCCGGGGGTGGTAGTATATGCCTGTAATCTAGCACCCACAGAGGCTAAGACAGAAAGATCATAAGTAAGAGGCTAGCCTGGGCAACTCAGCAATTTAGGAAGACCTTGTCTCAAATTTTTAAAAGATGGCCTGGGGATATAGCTTAGTATAAAATTCAATCCCAGTAAAATAGTGATGAAGAAGATGATGATGATGATGATAACAGGAGTAAAAGAGAAGGAAGGGAAAGGAGACGAGGAAGAGGAGAGAGAGGAAAGAGACACTGCTGGTGTGTGTGTGAACAAGGAGGTGAGGGCAGATGAGTCGGTCTCAGCTCCTTGGAATCCACTTGCTCTCCTTTTCTTTCTGCCCTGCACTTATCTGGTTATGGTCAGCATTTATATTTGCAATTCTTTTCATTCATTTGCAAATTTTCAAACATTGAGGCTTGAGGGTAGTGGGAACAGCAGGGAAAGAGAGTGGAAGAGAGCAGTACCAAAAGAGTAGGAGGAAGACATGGAGCTGAAGAGTTAAGGAACAGAGCTGGGAGGTAGTGACAGTTTGTCCTTGGTAATTGCTTGTGGCCAGTGGGAAAATTGAAGGCCTAAATGACCCTTTTTTTTTTTTCTTGAGACCAGATGTTGCTATGCAGCTCAGGCTGGCCTAAAACTCACTATGTAGCCTAGGCTGGCCTCAAACTCTCTGTGCAGCTCAGGTTGGCCTCAAACTTGTGGTAATCCTCCTGCCTCAGCCTTCAGAGTGCTCGGATTGCAGACTGAATGATACTTCTAAAGAACCAAAGTTTCTGGGTATTGCTAAGACGGAATTAAATTCACTGCCTTCCCAGCCTAAATAAACTTCACAAGTTGGAATTGAGTAACAGTGTAATTTCTGGAGGCTTGGAAGTTTTAACAGATCAGTATCTAGATCATACCTATCTGAATATGAGTGGAAACAAAATCTGAGATCTCAGTACAGAAGAAGAAATTTGAAAAGACTGGATTTGTTTAACCATTAAATCACAAACCTGAAGATTCCCAAGAAAGTATTTTTGAGGTACCATAGCAGATCACATATTTAGATGACTATGATAAAGAAGATAGCAAAGCACCAGAGGAGGAGAAAGGAGGAGGAGGAGGAGGGAAATGAAACTGGTTCACCTGAAGGATGTGGAGAAGAGGAAGACGAGGAGGAAGAAGATGATGATGGGGGGAGACGAAGCATGCTGAGAGCTGGGAAAGGGATAATTAGTTGGTTTCTACTTAATGGAAGAAGAAATTCAGGGTAAAGATGACGATGATGACTATGTTAAGAAGAAGAAAAGTGGGAAGAGGAAGAATGTCGTAAGGGGGAGAAGGAGATGATAATGCTGGGTGGAGGGCTGTGAAGTGGGAGCTGTGAATATCAAGGCTGTGCTAGAGGGTGCTTCACCACGTCTGGGCACGTGTCTCTGTAGGACATGCCTTGCTTGAGTCTCAACTTGGCCTCCGAAAGTTGGGTTTGAGTTCATGCATAGCAGAGATACAATCCACAGACAGTTCTAGTTGCAAGCTCTGTGGAGCATCACAAGGAACAGGAGAGCAGTGAGCACAAAGGGTCCATCTGTCAAGCATAGCTTCCTGGTGTCTTCCTTCTGTTCCTCCACAGGACTGGTCCAGAGACTTGGCAACTATCAGCAGCCTTTGTTGACTAAAAATCCTAGATCTGAAAAAAAACTCATGATGCTCTTAACTCTTTATCCCACCCTCAATCGAAAATCTATGCCAATAGTCAGAAACAATTTCTAGAGCATAAAGCAGTACTTTGCTACCCAGCAGGTCACAGCTCCCAGGCCCAGCAATTGGAATCTACATCCTGTGACTGTTGTTAAATCTTACTCATGCCGTCTTTTTCTTGGTTTATTCTGTGCATTTTGATGCTCTCTGTTTACATATGCAGAACTTTTCTATTTGAGTTTTGCCTTAGGGGCTTTCAGTGGACAGCCCTGGACTATCAACATTAATATAACACTTGTGTTCTCCTAATATGTATCCTCCAGTCTGCATCTTCTCTGGTCATTTAAATGTGTCTTGGGCTAATCTCTACTAAAAAAGGCACCCGCCAGGGACATATTGAGGTACCAGACTCTAGGCACTGAGACCAATGGGTAGGTGGTTTACTCTCCATCCCTCTGTCTCCAGGGAGTCCCACTCTTTACACCGACAGGTTCACGAGGACACATACCACATGCAGCAGGGCCTGCAGGAACGAGTACAGAACTGCAACCGGATCCGGGCAGGCCAAGGGTCCCTGTACCTGCTGAAGGTGCAGCGCCAGCAGCTGGAGGAGAAGCTGAAGCAGGCAGAGGCCTGGTTGCTGCAGTTGGGAAAGTTTGCCCGCCTGGTCAACTACATGATTTGCCAGAACCTTGTTACAATCTTGGAAGATGAAATAAGCTCTTTTGTGGCCAACGTCCTGCAAGTGAGGTGGTGGGTGGAGGTCAGAAGGCATCAAGGGTCACATGGGGGTTATGAGTACTAACGGGTCTAACCCTTCCACCTTTGCCTACCCTTCTTTCACAGGCTCAAAGGCAAAAACCTTTTCTTTCATCACGGCTGGTCTGTGGTGATTGTTGCCAGCTCGCTTCTGTGCCCAATATTGAACATATGACTGAGGTTCTATCTGAGGGCCTACATTCCATCAAGACTTCTGCCCTAAAGGTACAGAGTCTAGGCATTCCCAGTTCCTATCTCAGTGCAGCCAGAAGCTCTCAGCCTGGTTTAGATGGCTCACTGTCTCTCCATTTCTTTCCCTTCTCTACATCCTGGTGTAAAGCTAATGCAATCTGTGGACAAGAAGACCTTGAGGGATTCCCTGTATCTTGAAGGTAATTAAGGAGACCGAGGCAGAGGGTAGGAAGGCCAGAAAGAGGGGAAGGGCATAGTAGGTGTGAATGGCAAGAAGTGGTCAAGAGGTCTTGGGTGTCACGGAGCAACCATAACCTGAGCATTGCACATGCGCGTTGGGTGCAAAGAGCAGGAAGGGTTTTTGTTTACTAATTCATGTGCTTACATTTGTGTGTGCGAGGTAAGAGGGGATATAAGGGGTATGAGACACTGTTCCCCCGCTGATACATCCAAAACTCCACCAGGGTTTACTGTGGAAATTGATTGTCATGTTAATTTGTACTTGTTGAGGAGCTCTGCTCACTCAACATTTGTTTTATTTCATGCAGCTGTTTTTCATTTCCTATGGAGTACAGTTCATTAGCATTACTGACCACTTGGTAACTATCAGCAAGCAAACACATTTTCGTTTTTTCTTTATTTAATTAATACAGTGAGAAATAAAATCATTAGGTGCACTCAGTGACATCTGAAATGTAGATTTAACTTTTCTTTTTTTTGTCTTTTTCGTTTTTATCGGTACCAGGGATCGAACTCACGACCGCACACTTGCAAGGAAGGCGCTTATGCCGCTGAGCTAAATCCCCAGCCCCAGATTTAACTTTTCATTGAAAGGAGTTGGTATTGGCTTGCTTGTTTGTCTGTTTTTTATAAATCACACTGGTTGGAGGGGCTGGGGATTTAGCTCAGCGGCATAAGCGCCTGCCATGCAAGCAGGCAGTCGTGAGTTTGATCCCTGGTACCGATTAAAAAAAAAAAAAAAAAAAAAAAACGAAAAAAAGCACACTGGTTGGGTCACATTTTTTTCCAAAAATCAATCAACCACATTATTTCCAAAAATCAATCAGGATAACTGGTAGACTACTGATATTTGACTTACATAGTGTGGTGGAAAGGGAAAGGCTCTGGGATCAGAGATGTTAGTTTATGACTCTGCATAAGTGGAAATAATTAAAAAATACCAAACAGTCTTCTTGCTGCTGTTGTAATGTTACAAATCGAGCTGAATAAGACAATTCACATGATTTTCTCATTACTTGTTGCAGTGTTTTTCTTTGAATTATTTTAAAATCTTAAAACTTTTATTCTAAATTCTAATGGAAGTGAAAATATACACCTGCAATGTATTAGATTTTGCCTTCTGCTTTGAATATCATGATGGCGCTTTTTCGTCTTTTGTTGTTTTTTGTTCATTTGTTCGTTTGTTTTTGCTTATACCTTACTTTCAGGTAGTTTAGGGGAACAAAGAGATAGAAGAAAAATGCAGCAATGTAACAAAATGTTAATTGTTGAATCTAAGTGGATGAATAAGAGAGTTCATAGCACCATCCTTTAAAATTTTCTATAAAATTTTAAGAAAAAATCTGGAAAAATCACATCTAGAATATAGACCAATATGATGTGGGAATCAGAACAGTAATTCTGATTTAATATTTTCCCTAAATTCTTTAAGAAAAAGGGAATGACTTTCAATAGGGTAAATATGCAGTAAATAAAACTCTACTAGCAGTCTTTAAGAAACATGCTACATCAAGCTGGGCACACGCCTGTAATCCCAGCACTCAGGAGGCTGAAGCAGGAGGCTTGCCACAAGTTTGAGGCCAGCCTGGGCTACAAACTGAGTTCAAGGCCAGCCTGAACTGCATAGTGAGACCCTGTCTCAAACAGACCAAAAAAAAAAATTGAAGTTACTAGTGATTTCTCTCTTGTTTTGTGTGTGTGTGTGGGGGGGGGTGGTTAGGGGAGTTAGTCCTTCAGCCAGATCACATTAAAAATAGACTCGTTTTTCTTTTCATTGCATATAATCATACTTGAACCAACTTTGTAAAACATAGTATTGCCTAAACAATCTCCTAGGGCTTGGCACTTTGAAATCACTGTTCTTCAACACTGTCCTATATTTTGGAGCTCACAGAATAAAAAATGTTACTAAATCCAAAGGCAGTAAAGAAAAGACAGCACCAGCCTTTCCAGAAACACAAGCTAGACAGGCAGAAATGAGCCCCAGTCTCTCACACTGCTGTTTAGCCTTTGTTTTAGTTCTCACCATTGCAAATTTCCAGTTCCTCTGATTGCTAAGACCAGCTATCTTGGCTTCCAGGAGACTTCTTTTTCTTTTGTGTCTTTGAGACAGGGTCTCGCTGTGCAGTTCAGGCTGGCCTTGAACTCACTAGAGAAGCCCAGGCTGGCCTTGCAGTAGCAGCAATCTTCCTGCCTCAGCCTCTGGAGTGCTGGGATTACAGGTGTATACCAGCACACCCTGCTAAGTTTTCCATGTTGACAGCAGTTTGTGCCTTTTGAAAGTCAGTGTCATTAAATATAAAAGTATTGGTTTGTAGTGTTTTCTTTTGAACATCTTAAATACATTATTTTCTTCAGGCCTTACAAATTGCTATTTAAAAGGTCTCACAATGATCTAATTTTAGTTCCTTTACAAAAGCACTTGCTCTTTTGCTTACTTTTTTTCTTTTTCTTTGAAATCCAGTAATTTTAGGGAAGTAGGCCTTTGTATTAAACATTCTGGAGCAGGATTCTCAAGGGTTTTTGTTTGTTTGAAAATGTAGTTTTAAATCCTGTTTTGTTTTTTTTTTAAGTTTGAGAATATTTTGTTTTTTGTCTTTTTTATCAAACAGCTTTACTGAGAGGTGATTCATTCATATAAAGTATACATCCCACTGGTTTTTAGTGTTTACAGAGTTTTACATACACCACTGTGGTCAACTTCAGAACATTTTCAGTGTTCCCCCCAAAAGAACTCTAAAACTTTTAGCAGTCATTCCTTGTTTATCACTTTTCTGTTGCTCATGTTAGAAAAATGAGCTTTTTTACCTTTTAAAAAGTAACTTGATTCAGGATGTCTTTCCCATCTTCTAGTTTCCTTCCAGTTTGTTTGTTTGAGCTGTGTTTTTTTTTGTTTGTTTGTTTGTTTTGTTTTTTGTTTTTTTTGATGGCTGGCTTTCTGAGATTTCCTGGTTTCCATTTCCTTATGACCCTTTCATCTTGGCCTTTTGTTTTTCTGTGCTGCTTCTTTCCTGCTCAGTTTTTATTCAACACACGGCAGTTTCTCCCTCATCTTGCATTTTGTCCCAATTCCTATCTATTTGATTTCAAGAGTTCACAGGGGATAGATTGCTTCAGCTCCCATGAGCTTTACTTTACAGCTCCTGGAGCAGGTAAAACCCCCTTTAGTTTTTCTTCTGCTCAGGGATTGGCCCGTGCTTCCCAAAAAACGCCTTTTGGCTGTTTGGGCCTTTTTATTTTCAGGTTTGTGCAGGGCTTCATCAATCCCCTCTGCCTCCTTTCTCATAACTGCTGATGGCAGTGGGCCATTTCTCCCTACTTTCTTGTACTTTAGTTTTTTGCGGATTCCTTTCCCATTTGTTAGAAATGTTAGCTGTGGCATAGATGTTTTACCATCTGATTGCTCTGTCATTTTTTGGTGAACATTTGGTTGCCTCTGCCATCATCTTCTCAGAATTGTTATGGCATAGTTATTCTGGGTTTTTTTTTTTCTGTTTTGCTTTTGAGACAGGGCCTTACTATGTAGTTGGCTTGGCCTCAAACTCACTACAGTCCTCCTGCTTCAGCCTGCCAAGTGCTGGGATTACAGGCAAGCACCGCTATGCCTGACCAGCTTGCTATTCTTATATGGAAAAGAGACTAAGGTATTGGAGACAAAGACCAAAGCAGGGAAAACATAGGAGGGGATTGAAATAATGCAATGAGAGTGGGGGTGAGGGAAATAGGTGATAGTAGATGTGAGAATTGGATTGCGGATATATTTTGAGTGTTGGGGTTGCAAGATTTTGTGATGCTTACCACACCTGTTACCCTTGCACTCAGGAGACTGAGGCAGGAGGATTGCTATAAGTTCAAGACCAGGCCTAAAATACATAGTAAGACACTGTGTTAAAAAAAAAGCTTTTGTGGGGGCTGGGGGTTTAGCTCAGCAGCAAAAGCACCCGCCGTGCAAGCAGGCAGTCGTGAGTTCGATCCCCGTACTGATAAAAAAGAAAAAGACAAAAAAAAAAAAAAAGCTTTTGTGATGGCTGAAGTAGAAAAATGGGCTTTTTCTCACTACTGAAATTAGAAGACTACAAGAGAAATGACTGTCTTCGGGGAAAAGAAATCAGAGCTCATTTGCACCCTGTTAGGTTTGAGTGCATGTTAGATGTCCAAGCAGAGACGTGGAGTAGGCGGTTTAAATGGGATTAGAATTTAGGGAAAGACTTGGTCTAGAGATCAATTTGGAATCAAATAGATGATTCTTAAAGCCCTAAACCTGGGGGAGATCTAAAGAGTATAGACGGGGAACAGAAGAATTCTGAAGTCTGAGACTCGGAAGCATTATATCATTTAGGTATGGATATAATAGCTATTATTTCTGAGCATTTTGATGCTTTTCCACTCTTTTTGACAAGATTTTTAACAAACAGTCATCTTGGCAATGAACTAGTTCCTACAAAGTTAAGTGGGGGCTAGATCAAGAATTTCTTACGGCTGAGGACTGGCATCCTTAACATCCTTTTGCACCTCCTCTTCTGTTCTGCAGAGGCTGCAGTGCTACCAGCTACACTTTGCCAGACCCCCTTGCAGCTGGGGGTAATATGTAATCAGTGCTGAATTTAGCTGGGGAGAGGCACACGCCAGCCACGCTGCAAATGGTGCACAGCAGAGTGTATAGCTGGTGGCATGGTAGTTAACAGTCCAATATGCCACTCAGCCCAAAGCTCTAAATATTTAGCCTAAATTATTTTTGTTTTCAGATCTAATTGTTTTGCAAACCATTAAATACCTTGTAATAATTCCCTTTCTATTTATACTGGCTAGAACAAATTTTATTCTATGCACCTGAATTCAAACTAATGAATTCCCTTATGGCCCAGCATCTGTGATGTAGTATGTGTAAGCTTGCCCACAAGCAGGGAATGGGTGTGTGTGGGTGTTATGTGTGTGTATACATGCAGGGTAGAGAGCAGGGGTCTGTGTGGGCTCTGGAGGGCACTTATGAACAATTATGGCAGGTGTTTCATTCACAGAAGATGAAGAGGACAGTTCAGACCCGGAATTCCTGATGCCCAAGATTCAGGGCCAGCCCAGTGATGCAGTTCGCATCTTCTGTGGCCCAAATGTAGGACTGGTGTGGCCCTGGAAGTCTCACCCAATTACTGGTGTCCTAGAGGTCCATGGGTACCGGCTTCGGGGCCAGTACTTGCCACCCAATTACAGTCAGCTTCAGGAGAACTTGGACAACAGCCTTCGAATCCAGCAGGCACTGACTGTTCAACAGGCCCTGCTGGAGGTGAGCACAAAGGTTATGGAATGGGTTGCACCCTTGAGTTTCTGTCTTAGCCACTGCCTCTGCCCTGAGTATGCTGTCTACCCTTAGGGCATGATGCAGGAGGTGCAGGAATTCTGCAGAGAACATCACTGGATAACAGACTTTTGTGAGTACCTGCAAGCCTGGGGGCCTCCGAAACTGGAGGACCTGAGAGGATGCCCCATCAGGAAGTATGTAATGGTGGTGAGCCAGCTGGGCGCTTGGCAGGCCCGCCTCTCCAGCATGCCAGGCGAGCTGCTGACGGAAGGCAAGCTGCTGCTACTGAGTTGCCGGGAGACACAGGCAGAGCTGGGTGAGTGCTGCTCATCTGCCCTCCTTCCCGACTTCTTTCCCTTGTCTTTTTCTCCTTCCTGGCTTATGTCTTATCTGTAAGGCCCACTTTGGGCTTCAGATATGCTCCAGGGACTTTTGGCACAGACTCCTCATAGACCTTTGGAGCCTCCAGGCCTCAGCCCCTTTCTATCCTAGTTATGATCACTAGCAGACGGCCTCCATTGGCCCTGCTTATTCCCTGTGTTCCTTAGGAATTGCTCAGCACTTTATGTTCTTATGGTATAGAAGGAGCTTAAATGTGACTAAGAGAAAGCTTAGTTTGCTCCTTGGGTCCCTAAGCTCATTTTCTTCACAGAAGCTTTTGGAAGCATAGGGTGCCCCTTCCCCACATGTAACAGAATCAGAATTTATGCCACAATTTGCTTGTGTAAAAATTTTGTCTCTTTGACTGATCTTATCTTTAGTGGCTAAGGATAGATAAACACAATAACTTTCCCAATTAAAGAAACCTATTTGCATTTAAAGCCCCTACTTGGATCTAACTTGGTATACTTCAGGTATTTGATCAGTTCAAATGCATATCACAGTTCTGGGTAGTTTTTATTCTCAAGTATCCTCTGTTCCCTTTGCCTTCCCCAGGTGCCCTCTGGCTCTGGGGAGGGCTGCTTGCTCTTCTCTGCCTGGATGCTCCTGTTGCTGCTGCATCTGAGCTGGCATAGCTGGGCATGTTCTCTCACCCTCGTAGGATCCAGAGCACTTGGCTCCTACTGCTCTCACTCTTAGACTGGCCTCTCCCGTAGCATTGACTTCAGGGTCCCTCAACACAGAAACCTCATCCAGGCCCACTGGCTACCAGTTTTCTGCCTCTCCTGCCATTGGATGAGAGTTGTCCCTCTTTCTGCGACAATACATCATCACATGTCAATTCTTTATTTCTTTTTTTAAAAAAGAATAAAACCAAGCAAAATAAAGCCAATCAAAATAAACCATTGTAGGGGTTTGGGATTTAGCTCAGCAGCATAAGCACCTGCCTTGCAAGCAGGCGGTTGTGAGTTCGATCCCCGCTACCGATAGAAAATGACAAAAAAACAAAAAAACATTGACACAGGATGTCAAGACAATAGGAAATCAACAGTGGTTACTATAATGCCTCTTGTTGTCTTCAAAATAACTGCCTGTAACTTCAGACATAGTAAAAATCAAACAAAAACAGAATAGAACCAATAAAAACAAAGCAATGAATGAAATAAAGGACTTCAAAGCAAGATAATAGTAAATCAAAATGGCTACCATAATATATCTTGTTATCTTTAAAATAGTTGCCTATGCCATCAGAGATAATAAAATCAAACAAAACAAAACAGAAACTCAACCCAAAAAGATAACGAAAATGATACAGGTCTTCAAAACAAGATAATAGGGAATTAACAATGCCCACTAGCTTCAAAAGGCAATCCCCCATAGATGTGTATTGTGTATTGTTATCCTCTGAATAGGTGATCAGACTACTGGCTTTAGTCTTGCAAAGTCAGTGAAACACTAAACACCATAAGCATTAAATTGTGTTTTACCTCAATAGCTGCCATTGCAACCTGTGTTTCTCTGGATCAGCCAGTCACTTACTGGGGATATGGGGGTGGGGAGTTGGCTGTTTTTGTTTCCCAGCCCACGCACCAGAAGGGGCTGGCATCTGGCTCTCCCTCCCAGTGGCCTGCGCGTGGCACCAACTCACAGGGAGGGCATGCTTCTTGCTGACTTCTTGTTCTCTTCCCCCACAGTCTGGGAATGGTGCTGACTCACAGAAAAAGGCTGGTGTCTGGATGTCCCCCCAGCATCTTGTGCATGACACCAATTCATAGGGAGGGCTCACACACATCATTTCTAAACTATGATTGCCATGTCTTATTAGCACAGAAGCATTCTGAGAGGTAATTTCTTTCTAGGGTTCCAGAAAAATTAGGAGTTGAGAGAACCCTATGCTCAGGAAGAAAATGTTCACATGGAAAGGGCAACTAGGGAGAGGAGGAGGAAAAAAGGAAGGGAAAAGAAAAAATGAGGAAAGAAAAAAAAGTAGAAACAAAACTTTTGTAAATAAGGAGAGAAAAGGGGTTGAAGGGAAGGGGAAAAAAAGAATCAAGTTATAGCATGTACAGGTACAAGTTCCCTATGATGAATGTGATCATTATGTATCCCTAAAATGTACCAAGAAACTTAATTAATTTTTAAAAAGCACCCTATTCTCAGTCTCTTCATCCTATCTCAGTCTCTTTTTCTCTTACCATTTCCTATCCCACCTATTTGGTCTTTCTTCTTTTTCCTTCCCCATGGAAAAGATGTCTCATGCCAAACGTCTCAGTTTAGCTGCTAGTCTTGAAGAAGCTCATCTGGTATAGATTTAGGAAGTTGGTGATTTGTTCTAAGAAATCAGGAGGGGAATCTGTTTCCTTGTGTAATCTCCAAGGAAGGCAGTGACCAAGAGTACCCTGTAGTACCTGGTACCTACGTGTAGACACCTCCATTTCCTGCAGAGCCTAGATGCTGCTGGACCCATGGTCCCTAGGCCTGCTTCCTTTACAAAGGTGAGAGGCTTGGACCTGGGGCTTGGAAAGAATTTGCTTAAAATGCTGGCTGCCTGGACCACCCTGTCTTTGCTCCTCAGCAGGTTAGTGCACAGGTCTCATTAATTCATCCCTGTGAGCCACTGAAATCCTGTTTCTGTGCAGGGTTACACTGGAAAGGCAGGAACAGGGCGGCCTGTGATTGGTCTTCTTTCTGGGTAGCTTTCCTCCGCACTGCTGCAGAAGTCTGTGTTCTTTCCAGTTTGTTAACGTCTTGATCATTAGTCCAGAATCAGCTGGACTCTTTAAAGGCACAGGTGGAGAAAAAGAAGCCCTAAGTTTAGAATCCTGACTGCTTTTCACTGCCTTTGTGAATTATCACCACTGAGCTTCAGTTTCTTTGTTTGCAACCTGAGCGTGCTAAACACTCAAGGTTATAGTGAAGAGGGCTAAGTGAGACAGATATTCACAGTGCTCCCAGCACTGACCGTAGTATGTGGTAGGCACTTACGACTTTTAAAAATTTCACTCTATTCTCTCCTGTCTACTTTCACTCTTCTTGCTGATTGTATTTTACCTTCTTTTTTTTTTTTTTAAAAAGAGCTCATCTTTTAATTCTCCAGTTTTTAACAATGAAGGCTCAAGTACTCTAAAACTATTCAGGTTATCAAGACATCTAAATCAATAAATTTTTAAAAAATATGTATTCACTCTTTCATAATGTGACATCGCCAAGAAACTCCAACTAATGAGTTCTAACAACTTTTCATTTCTTACAATTTGCATGAAGTCTATTCTGTTTAAATCTACATGGCAAATAAAATAGAAAGCTGAGTATTTTACCTTCTTATCCTCTGGCTGTCTCCCTCCTTCAAGAGCCGCCTTGAACAGTGAGTTGCATACCTATCTGCCTCACCAGAAACTAGGCGTCATACTTTACCCCTCTCTCTTTTTTTGATCCTTTTATACCAGACCGTTCACCAGATCCTTTCCATCTTCTGCCGCCTAAATATCTCTCAAATCTGCTTTTTCGTCCCAGTCCCGACAAGCAGTTTATCAAGCCTTTGCTCCTTTATATCACATGGTGGCGCTGTTGCACTCTTACTCGCCTCAGCCTCTCCTGATGCTACTACAGTTAAGTACCTAGTTTAAGAAGGGGTCTTGCCCTGTAGTTCAGTCTGGCCTTGAACTCATGTAGCCCAGGTTGGCTATGAACTTGTGGCAATCTTCCTGTTTATATATTGTATATGTTTATAATTATACATTGTATATTTGTGTGGAGGTTTTTTGTTGTGTGTCTTTTTGTTTTAAAGGTCAATTCTTAATTCTCCACAGTTTTTAACAATGAATTTTCAAGTACTATAAGACTAGCTAGGTTATCAAGACATCTAAATCAATAAATTTTTTAAAAATATGTATTCTGTCTCTCATAATATGATGTTGCCCAGAAACTCCAGCTAATGAGTTCTTACACCTTTTCATTTCTTACAATTTTCATCGAACTATTCTATTTAGTGACGTCTTGGATTTGGTGAAGTATCAAATGGGTGTTTTTCTTGCCTTCTGAAAAAATGCAGTTCTTCATACAACCTAGGGCAGCTTCTAAAATTACCTTCTTACTCCGTATTCTCCTGAGCTTTCTTTTAATTCTTAAAAACAAGTCAGATTATATCCTCTTCTTAGTACCTCTTCTACTAGAGATGGTAGAGACCACAATAGGAGACCACCGATAGGACCCCTGCTCTCTATGACCATGCCATGTCCTTGCCCTTGCATAGCCATTTTATCTACTTGAAACATTACATCCACATGTCCAACTCTCTGAGGTCTCCACATGACCTCTCTGAGGAAGTCTTTCCAAGCATGCTCCAGCTCCGTTTCCCTTTATTATGCCAGCTCCAGGGCTCTTGGGCACTCACAGAAGATTTATCACACTGTGAGTACCCATTTGCAATTGTCCATCTGCGTGTCTGCCTCTGCTATCATATCGTGAGGTTTCTGTCATGTCCACTGGTGCAGCACACAGACCCCAGGGTACAGCAGCTGGCTGGACACAGAGCAGGGGTGTGGTAAGCATTCCGGATGTGAGGAATGAGTTCACTGTCTGGCCTCCTGTTCAGCCCACTCCCATTCCGGCCCCACTGTACTCCTAGCACCCGCTTCCCTTTCATGCATCTCCCAACATGTGGCTCTCTTGTCTCCAGAGTCCAAGCTGGACAGCGTGAAGAAGGATATTCTTACACAAGTACAGAATGAATGCTTGAGCCGTAGCCAGCAACTAATGACAGAGCTCACAGATTTCATTCAGGTCTTCCAAACCATCAGTACAGACATTCATTCCATTGCACAGTGCTCCCAGAAGGTGGGTTCTTCCCATGCATCCTTCCTGATTTGTCCAGGGCCCATCCTGCCCAGAGGCTCAGCACACTCTCTTCCAGTCTCTACTGAGCTCCCAAAGGATGCTCGTAAATTTACTCTCATGGGTGACCTACCATCACTAATTCTTGCTCTTTTCACATGGCCATTGTTTCCCTCATGTCAGGATCATTACCCTCAGGTAATGAAAGCAATAGTCTTAATTTCAGAGATGCGGTTCCACTGTCTGTGATAGTCAGATAAGGCCCTGTTGCTCTATTGTCAGAGCAGTGGTCTGGCGAGTGAGAACAAAATTGCATTCAGAGCAATCTGGATCAGAAGGGGATCTGATCCCAGACTGCCCTGATCTTAACGAGTTAAAATGGTACAGCTGAGTGCGGAAGGTGGGCCTGGCCCTTAAGGATGGGCCCGTAGAGGTGCACAGGGTAGTGAAGGGTCTTGTCTCATGTTGTCATCTTTGCAGTTGAAGGAAGCCAATGAGCAGTACCTCCAACTGGAGGAGCAAGTAGAATACATCCGTTCACTCCAGGAATTCATCCGCAGCTACTTTAACGTCTTTACTGCCGAGAGTGAGGCCCTGGAAATCTTGGTGAGGGGGTGATTTAAGGCATCACCTGCTTCCTGGTCTGCCTCCTCTGTAACCACATTTACTTCACTGCCCTCTGCTTGTCCCACAGCTTGTGGACACGTGGGAAACATTTCAGCTTGAGAAAACCCAGGCCTCTGAGTTCCTGCTCAGCAAGCAGTATGCCATCGTGCCCAAGCTGCAGCAGATGATGGCAACAGCATTGGCTGAGCTGGAAGGCCTGCTTAAGAAGGCCCTGTCTGGTCCCTTCATGGACCCCACACAAGAGCAGAGGAGCACTGAAAGCAAGCTTGTCTCCATAGAACATCAGTTCAAGAACACGGCCAGCCACCTCTGTGAACTACACCATACTTACGTCACCTTTACTGGTACTGAGAATCCCCACGCTTTCCACCATCACCCTGAGATAAGGGTTGAGGTCCTATGTCCTGTGACCCTAAGCAAGATGCTGAGCAAGCCTCAGGAATCACATACCTTTGTTGGTCTCTCTTCAAAATATTGATTACTGGGGTCAAGGATTTAGCTCAGTGGCATAGCGCCTGCCTGACAAACCTGAGGAGTACATTTCGATTCCTGGTAACCCCCTCAAAAAAATTTATTTATTTATTTATTCAATTAGTTAGTTACTTATTTTGCAGTGTTGGGTATTGAATCCAGGTCCTTAGCACTGAGATACAGCCCTAGCCTTTTATTTTATTTTATTTTTTATTTTTGAAGCAGAGTGTTGCTAAGTCACTAAATTGCCAGGCTAGGCTCTGTATTCTGATCCTGTCTCAGCCTCCAGAGTGCTGGAATTACAGATGTATTTTGTTAATCCTTAGTAAGCAAATATTGCAAGAGGAAATCTTTATATATCTGATAATTCAGGCATTGCATTTAGGATGGGGATACAGTGGGCTTATAGCCTAGCAGAGAATGCAAACAGCTGAATGTTTCATTAGAATTTGGTGAAGTCAGGGAGTAAAATCCTACACAGGAAAAAGTAGTGCCCTCATTGTAGAACTTGGCCGTTGTGTTCGGCACAGCCCTATATATCAAGCAGTGTGCCACAGATAAGAACAGGTCTTCATGTCACAGGGGCCTCATCTTATTGGTACATGTTTGCCATACATAATGATTGCATTCCTTGTGAGGAGTTGGCACATGTTCATAACACATCTTAATTCTGTTTTTCATCCCTTTCACCTCCCCACTCTCCCTTTCTTCTCATCTTCTGGTCTCCCATTTGTGGAAGGAAATTATCTATTACCTCTCTTGTTTTTTATATTTTGGGTTTCTCGTGTAAGAGAAACCATGTGATACTTTGATTTTTGTTTCAGATTTATTTTACATAACATCATGATCTCGAGGAACACCTATTGTCCTACAAATGATTTGTTTATTCTTTATGGCAGGATAGGACTCCGTTGTATATAAATACTACATTGTCTTTTTCCATTCATTTGTTAATGGACACATTTAGCTGTTATGAGTTGCGCTACTACAAACATGGGTATGCATGTATCCCTGTAATACGGTGCCTTTCACTTTGGGGAACATACATTGAAGGGTAGTATCTGGGTTGAATGGAATTTGTCTTTCTAGTTTTTTGAGGAATCTCCCTGCTGATTTCCATAGTGGTTGTAATAGTTTACATTCCCACCAACAGTGTAAAAATGTTCCTTTTGCCCCACAGCCTCTCCAACATTTGTTATTATTTGATTTCTTTTGTTTTGTTACCTGGGGTTGAACTCATAACCTTGCACTTGCCAAGCAGGTGCTTACACCACTGAACTAAATCCTCAGCCCAATTATTTGATTTCTTAATGACTGTCATTCATTCTGGTGTGAGGTGGAATCTCAATGTTGCTTTAATTTACATTTCTCTAATGGCCAGCAATGATGAACACTTTCTATGTGTTTATTGGAATGTGGGCAGTTGAAAGTATTGTAGCAAGTACTGTAAGAAGTTGATAATTGCACAGTGATTATAGAAGAGAATCTCCCTGTTCTATTTTGTTGTTTGTTTCTTTGGCACCGGAAATTGAATTCAGGGTCTGGTACTTGCCAGACAGGCACTAGCCTCTGAGCTATACAGCCTTACCTGAATCTCCCTGATCTTAGAAAGCATGTACTTGAGTATTTTGGGGAAAGACTATCTATGATTTATGTAACTTACCCTGAAATAGTTAAGAAAAATTGTGTTTGTATATTTACATGGCTATACACTCACAGACCATGCATGCACAACCAATAAAGCAAATGGTTGAAATATAATAAAAGGGAAATGTTGGTAAAAGATACATGGCATTGGTATGTAGACAGACAGCAGTTGGAGGTATTCATTTTTCTCTTTTTTTTCCTTGCAACTTGAAGTATTTTGAAATCACTCCGAGATATAATGTTTTGAAATACAGTGAAAATTATTTGAGAAGATACCACAGAAATAGCCGTCAAAGAACATTTATTGTTTTTGTTTTTTGGGTACCAGGAATTGAACTCATGACCTTGCACTTGCCAGGCAAGCTCTTACACCACTGAACTAAATCCTTGGCCCAACATTTATTGTTTTTATTTTGTTTTGTTTTTCCTATCTTGCTTTCTTTTTAGCAGTATTGGGGATTGAGTCAAGGGAACACTGAGCTACATCCCCAGCCCTTTTCATTTTATTTTGAGGTAGGCTCTTGCTAAATTGCCCAGGCAATAAATGTTCAATTCTTCCTCATTCTTTTGAGTAACTGGGATTCCAGGAGTGCACTACCATATCTGGCTAAAGCATTTACTTTTTTTTTTTTTTTTTTTTTTTGAGACAGGGTCTTGCTATGTAGTTTAGGCTGGCCTTGAACTCATGGCAATCTTCCCGCCTCAGCCTTCCAAATACCGGGGTTACAGGCACATTCCACCACACCCGACAGGGGATTTACTCTTAATCCTCAAATTTGTCTTCATCTCTGCATGTGTTTCAAGCTTCCTGTCTGCCCCTTCTTATGGAGGAAGTTATTTGCCAGCAGTTCATGCTGAGACAGTTCCTATCAAAGATTCCATGGGTCACTGGCTATGGTGGCACATGCTTGTAATCCCAAGCCACTCAGGCAGGAAGGTTGCAAGTATGAGGCCAGCTTTGGCAATTTAGTGAAATTTTGTCTCAAAATAAGGAACAGAAAAGACTGGGGATGTAGGTCAGTGGGAGAGTGTGCCAGGGTTCAAACATACCCTGCCCACACTGAAGAAATAAAAAATAGATTCCATGGGTCTCTGGTCCAAACTTTTGAATTAAAACAGAGAGATTGAAAGAGTTCAGATTTTATTTTTTGTCAAATTAGAGCTCTGGTAAATGATCCTAAGTGTTTATGTTCTCCTGGAACTTTGTGACGAATGAAGTTCACACAGTCAAATGCATAATTTTCAACAGTTATAACTCTCAACAGGTATAACTCTCTTTTCTCCTCCCTCAGAAACTAAATAGGAGTTCAAGTGAATGAGAATGACATTCTAGTTGCAATGACCCTGACTGAGCTCATGTCTTTAAGTACATTATAAATATCGGTACTATAATTATTATTAATTACAAATTACTTCTGACATATATCTTATACCTGATTAGAAATGATTTGTCAAGACCTAATACAGTAGCTTGTGAAATAAAGTGAATGAATAACTGTGAATAAAATCACAAACTTTACCATTAATCCCTACAAGAACCAGATATATTTTCCTATTATGCCCTTGAAATTCTCTTTTTTTTTACCTGAAATCCTCTTGGCTGAGAGTTCATTCACTTATTCATTCATTCATTCAACACATAATTGTTGAATGTGTCCTGTGTACTGGGCTTGAGGTATATCAGTGAGCACACGGCAAAACTCCCACCCTAGCTGACCCAACATTCTAAATGGGGAGAAAAACAATAACTACTAAACATAAAATATAAGTAAATTATATAGTATAGTATATTAGAAAGTGCAAGTGGTCTAGAGAAAAAAAATAGAGCAGGGTAAGGGATTGAGAATGGCAGGAAAGGACTGTAACAATTTTTAATGTGATAGTCTGCAGAGACCTTATTGAAAGACCTTTTTGTTTTGTTTTTTTTTTTTGAGATAAGGTCTCACTGTGTAGGGCAGGCTGAGCCTTGAACTCACTGTGCAGCCCAGGCAGATCTCAAACTCACAGCAGTCCTCCTGCCACAGCCTCTTGAGTGCTGGAATTACAGGCGTGTGCCACCATTCCTAGCTTGCATAGGCTGTATTAAGATGGTACTGTTTGAATAAGGGCTTGAAGTTGGTGAAGGCTGGAATTATGTGGTTCTCTGAGGAAAAACTGTTCCAGAAAGAATGAACTGCAAGTCAAAAGAGCCCTTTAGCAGGAGGGAGCATGCCTAGAATAGTACCTGAATAGTACTGAGCAACAGTACCTGAGCAACAGTAAAGAGAATAGTACCTGAGCAACAGTAAAGAGTCCAGTAAAGGGCTCCAGTGAGTGAAATGGAAGCTAATCACTGCCATCATGTTTTCTCAGACTTTCCTTCCTTAGAAAATTCCTGTTAAAATGAATAATTTTCACTTACCCACTCCCTGGAGTCACTTTGGGCTCTTGATTGACCATCCCCTAAGTTACCCAGGCCTTAGCCAGCTGTATTCCACAGGAGATGAGAGTCCTGTGCCCTTGCCAGTCTGTGGCACGCGTCCTATCGTGCTGCAGCAACACATCTGGCACCTGTACCGAGTCATCTCTGAAACTTTCAGCGAATGGAAGTGCATAGCTTTTGTCAAGGTACTGATCCTCCTCCTCGGAGCACCTTCTGTGAAGAGGTGGGAGCACGGTGAGGGGTCCCCCAGGCTGACAGTGAGCCCTGTCCTACAGTTCAGCCTGCCTGTGGCCCAGGAGAAGACAGATGGCTGGTTGGCAGAGGCGGCTCAGATGAACGCAGCTCTAGGGGTGCACAGCCCAGTGCTACAGTGCTGCATTCGCATGCTGAAAGAGTTTCGAAGCTACCTGCCCTTGCTCGTTAAGCTGGGCAGCTTCCAAAGGCATAACCTTAGTTACCAGTCCCTCCTAAGAGGTAGGTTTGGTTACAATCAGAGGAGAGGAGAAAAGGATGAATAGTTGTTTAGAGCAACTCAACAACCTGGTTCCCTGCTGTTCTTGCTGGAGATGCCTCTCCTCTCAAGATTGCTCCCTACCATAACACCATCTCACATCCCACCCCACCCCACCCCCAAGGGAAAAGAAATTCTGTTTTTTTTTTTTTTTTTTGTAGTCTTCTCTGTGGATGGGGCCTAGGTCTTTGCTTTGGGCCCTGAGTTGTGCTGTGAGATCTGAAGTCCAGGGTCTGAGATGGGCCAGGCTAGGCTTTGGTCTTGAATCTAGAGCCTGGGCTTAGGGTAGAACTGAGCTCTTGAACTTGGGCTAGACTCTGACATACACTGTGTGTTCTGATCTGTGTCTTCTACCTTCAGCCATAGGGCTAAGCAATCTCCAAAATATGGAACTCCTGACACTGGGTCAGCTGCTCACTTGTCCACTGCTGGAGTTTGCGGATCGAATCAATCAGGTGGGGCCCACAGGCAACAGGACAGAAGATGGTCCAAGCCCAGGAGTCCCTTGAGATATGGGGCTAGTGAATGTTGCCATGTGGGTGAGTAGAGGTGGGGGGTGAGATTTCTGACCACCTTGGAGAGTAGTAGTTTCCTGGAGTGTTCAGATGAAGATTCCATGGGTTCCGGACTATGTGACTAACAACTCCCCTGGGAGAAGAAAGTAGGTGTCATGCTCAAAGAGTTAGGTGCACTGAAAAGCAGATGGCCCCTAGCACTCTGACTCAAAAGCACATGAGCTGACATGCTCACAGGGGACTCTGGAAGGGTGCATTTGGACCAAAGTAGTTGGAGGCTGCTGATAGCCTTTTTTTTTTTGTCTTTTTCCTTTTTATCGGTACCGGGGATCGAACTCACAACTGCCTACTTGTGCAAGGCAGGCGCTTTTGCCGCTGAGCTAAACCTCCAGCCCCCAATAGCCTATCTTTGAAGGCTGATGGTGCCACTCTCTCCTGTGCCATTAGCGGGTTCTGGCTTCTGAGACCCACCTATTCTAGGTCTGGCAGTGTGAGTATGAACGAGTCCGTGCCCAGGAGAACCTACAACGGCTGCAGCAGGACTGGGAATCGCGCCGGCTGCGTCTGCTCAACTTCATCCTTCATGTACCTTACGAGTCATCAGCCTCTGAGCACTGTAAGAAGCAGACAGTGTCTGGCCCCCAGTGGCAAGTGGTGAGCAAGGATAGTGGCACCTTCATCCTCTCAGGTAAGACTCAGCCTTAGTGACCCTGTGACTGCCTCCTGCTGGGAGCCATTTTCAAACATGGCATCTACCAAGCCCTGCCAGATCTGTCTTTAGTCAAGGGCTCATCCTTATGGAAGAGCCCGAAGCATTGTTCTATTCTGATCCCTGCAGGAGACCGCCACACACAGTCCTCCTCCCACCCAGTGCCTGACTCTTGCAGCAAAGGTCCTCTCTTTCTGGGTGACTCAGGAATTCCTCCTGGTTATTTGTCTCCATGCTTTAATACTCTGCCTCTAGCGTGCATCTGATACCTGACTCGGCCCCACTTATTTATATTTTTTCTTTCCTTCTTTAAACTGACCACAGGACAAACACAGGAAACCTTGAGATTGTAGATAACAGCCCTGTCTTGTAGAAATTCCCAGTCTGAGAGACAGACAGTAGCTAAGTGCGTTATGCTGCACCTTACTGAAGGCAGTACAGTCTCAGAGAGTGGACCCATTCAAAAGACCAGGAAGAATCAGGAAGTCTCCACTTGGGTGAGGCCTCATGCTAACTTTTGAAGGAGGAAGGGTTTGCCAAACTTGTAAGGTGAGAAGAGCATGCCAGAAGACAGCATGTGTATAGACATTCAAGATGATATCGTTGGGGAATTGCCGGTAGAGGAGAATTTCCCAACATGATCAGAACCTAATGAGTGAATCTAAATATTAGGTAAATTAGGTTAATCATAAACTATGATGTATAAAAAATAAATATGATACATTTGACTTAAGATTTTCATTTCAGCTAAATATATATTTTGCATTTACTTATAAACTTTTTATTCTAAGGATAAGAGTTTTTGTTTGGTTGGAGATCACTGGTTGCTCCTCTCTACCTTGAATTTTAGTTTGTCGACTCTTTCTGTTTTTACTTCTGTGAAGTTGGCTACCAATGCAAAGACACAAAGTCAACTGAGTGCAGAAATCTTATAGACTTTTATTATAATTTTGCAATTTTGCAAAACAAGGGGATCACAAGTTTGAGCCCCATCTAGTAAGACTCTGTCTCAGAAAAAAAATTGTAAAAGTTGGGGTGTAGCTCAGTGGTGAAACTATCCTGGGTTCAACCTTCTTAACACATATACAAACAACACACACAAATTTGCTTGTGTATATCCAGTAACATGTTTTTATCACCTTTATGAAGTTTTCTGTTCCCATAGAAACAGCAATTCTTTTCCCACCCATATTTCAGTAGTTAACAAAATATTAGGCTAAATTCTATAATTAAATATATGATGTAATGCACAAAAGATGTTTTACAAATGGTCCATGTCTTGGTGAGCATACAATTTAGCTACTGGGAGCAAAAATGTGTGGATCATCTGTAACATAGCTTGAGATTAGTAAACTTCAGTTGAGTTATGGCCATTAGTCAATATATTTTATGGCAAGAATGGGAACATTCATTAAAAGAGCTCGTAACTCACAGAAGCTGTAGCCCTTAGAGTTCTGGAAGAGGAAATGAGGCAAATAGAGCTAGAAAGGTCAGGTCATGCAAATTCTTGCAGGCAACATTAATTATTTACTCAAAAATACAAAAATAATGGAGTGTTTTGGGCGGGGAAGTGACATGGTCAAACTTCAGTTTACTGTCAGTCTGCTTTTTTTATTAGTACATTTTTGATATACATAATGATCACATTCATCATAGGGAATTTGTACCTGTACTAAATTGTATCTTGTTTCTTCTTTTTTTCTCATTTCCCTCCCCTCCCTTCAACTCTTTTCATCCTTTTCAATTACAATAGCTTGGTTTCCAGGCTTCCTTTTCCCATCAACTCTAACCAAGGATCACATTTTATAGTGGCAACACATCATGAAGTTAGTGACTTAATTTATACAAGTGAGCCCAAGATGATAGAGTTCCTATGTATTTAACTCTTAACCCAGAAAGAGAGGTTATTGCAGGGTTAGGGATACCTGTTCACTGTTAATTTTCCCCTTTAGTTTCTTAACAAAATGAGAGCAAGGAGATATATGAAAAAAGTACAATATTTTAACTATTATGCCTAGACACTGTGTGTTGTTTATGTACTGTGGTAACACACAGAGTGGATCTAGGTCAAGCAAGATTTCATGCTACCTCTAGATAACCTTTCCAAAATCAGTTGAGAACTTGAGGTTTGCTTGGAGATGCGAAGGAAACTTGAAATTACTTACTCAGGAAGCTGCATGGATTGCGGCCTACCTCATAAGTCTTGGAGCACAAGAGATGGGCCTTTATGCCCATGGGGAGATGAAAGAAGCATATAAGTAGATGGACAGAGGGACTAAAAATATTGCTCCAATACTGTTCTGTCTACAGAGCAGAAATTCTTCCACTGTGAAAGCAGGATACTAAGTATTTTCTCCCCAACATGGGTACTATATTAGAGAGTCCTACATCTATGTCACTCTTCTCTTTCAACTCTTCTTCCATTTTTGCATTAGTGGTCCTAACTTCTTTCCAATCCCAGTCTTATGTGGAATGATGGAATAACATTTTAAGTAGCACTAGAGAGTCACGTGCTAACACATGAAAGAAAATCTTGGTCTCAGCTTTTCACTAGATCCCTTTTGTCCAAGAATGTGTCTTTCTATAAAAACGTTATGTGGGGATATGGAGCTATTGAACCCTCTTCCTAGGTTGAAGGCTCTGGTTCATCAAGAACTTCTATAGAACTATATGGATACTGATGGTACATAGTTGGGAAACTAGCTGGTCCAGTGTCTGACCATAGCACAGGAGAAGTTTCTTCTCTCCCTGTTTTGAGATTCCAGCACTCTGCTAGTTCTACCAGATTAGACAATGAAATCCTTGAAGACAGAAAGGGCATCCAGGTCTCTAATTGCCTCCCCCCAAAGGTCATGCTAGTCTGCTTTCTGCCCGGTACTGCCCTTGTCCCACATGGAATGAGGCCAGCTCAAACGGTTGTGACTGCGAAATAAGATCTTTTCTCTTTAGACTACAACAGTTTACAAGATTCCATCCAGAAAAGTCTTCAGGTGTTGTTCAAGGTCCTTGCCATCCAAAAGTCAGGAGACTTACACAAAACAGCGTTGGAGTGGGTGACCATCATGCAAGCCTTGGGTGAGTGCAGGTTTCCGCTAGGCTTGAGGGTGGGGCCTGAGGTTTAATGGCCCAGAGCCATGGGGAAGATGGGTGGGGTTAGATGGCAGAGAATCTAAAACACAGAGTTAGGACTTCTTGCCAGGGGTATTTCTTGGCATGAAGTGACCCAGCCTTTATTTACAGTGAAAGTTTTATTTCCCATAACAAGTAGAGTAACTAGGCTGGTGAAACACCCAGGAGACCAGGAACAGGATGTACCTCTGACAAAAGCTAGAACCCTGTCATCTCCCTCTGGCTGCTCACACAGGTGCCCTGCTGGAGGTGTGGATGGCTTTCCAGCAGAAATGGATTTTTCTAAATAAAGTTCTACATGAGATGAAGATCCAGTTTCCTAGTGCTGAGCTGGTAGGGAAGGAAGTGAAGCAGAATGGGCACCTCCTGAACAGTGGGGCACAGGGTGTGAGGGGGAACAACCACTTCATACTTGCCTTCGCCTTGACTCTTTCCACAGCACACTCGTTTCAAGGCTTTGGATGATCAGTATCGGATGCTGATGCGCATCTCTGTAGCTGACCCAATGGTTCTGTCACTTATAATGCCCAGTGCCAAGAGAAGCCCTTACTTTCAAGGTCAGCAGCTACAACAGATGCTGCAAGCAGGATCAGTGGAGCTGGAGGGCATTGTCATGGCTCTGGAGGCTGTGCTCTACGGCGTGTGTGCCCACTTCCCCCGCCTCTTCTTCCTCAGTGACAGTGAGCTGGTGGCCCTGCTAGCTGCCTCTCCAGAGCCTTGTGAGGCTGAGTTATGGGCTCAGCGCTGCTTTCCTTATGTACATACTGTGCGCTTCAAGTCCAACACAACTAATGAGAAAAACATGGATGGCCGAGAGTCAAGCCCAAACAGATGTACTCAGGTGGAGGCACTTGCTGTGCTAGGGGAAGGAGGGGAGGAGGTGAGGCTTCAGGGACCTCTTCTTTTACATTCAGATCTCCCCAAGTGGCTGGCCTCTCTGGAGAACTGTCTGCGCTTGGCACTTGTGTGCATGTTGCAGGACTGTGTGGCAGCCCGTCTTACAGTGAAACCTTCCATAGGTGAGACCTTTAAGAAGTTGCCTCAGCAAAGCCAGTTGCATCTACCACTAAATGTCCAGCACTGGCTAGAGTTAGTTCAAGTCTTCCCATGGCAGTGTATAATGGTAGCAGAGGAAGTGGTGTGGCGGGTTGAGATGGAGGAGGCTCTTCTTGAGTTGGGTACCCTGGCCACGACCTCCAGGCATATACACAAACTTGCGGTACTGGTACAATTTATGCAAGCCCAGAGGAGCTCCCAAGGAGGGCAGCCCCTCCTCTCTGTCCGCCAGGCCAGCCTTCTCAGCGCTCTGCTGGTTATGGCAGTGACCCACCGGGATATAGCACAGCTGCTGGAGAAGCATCAGGTCAGTGATCTGACAGACTTCCATTGGGCTCGCCAACTCAAGTATCACCTGGGTCCACCTCATTTGCATCCCCAAAGCCCTCTGCAGAACCTTAAGACTGTTGTATCCACCGAGCGCTCCCTACCACCAGCTGCATGCTGGATAGATGTGCTGGGTAGGTCTTTTCTATATAACTTTGAGTACCTGGGTCCCAGACTGGGGCCTCTACCTAGCCTGCTACTTGAGCGGCCAGTGCTGATTCTGTTATTGGCCCTAGAGGAGGTGGCTTGTGGGACCCTAGTGGGTCCTGATGGTGTAGGCAAGAAAAGTATGGTGAACAGCCTGGCACGGGCTCTGGGTCGCCAGCTGGTGATGATGCCATGCTTGCCTCAAATACAGGCCCGATGCCTGAGCAATTACCTGCAGGGAGCCCTGCAGGGTGGTGCCTGGTTGTTGTTGGTGGGAGTTCATCTCCTACCCCCTGGCTTGCTGTCTGCCCTAGGCCAGTGCTTGGCTGAACTGCACTGCCTGTATGCCCCACTGCACCTGAAGGCTTCTCAAAGCATCAGCACCATGGACCCCACCAAGCCCCAGATCCTTGGCAGTGGCTTGTTTGAGAAACATCATGTGTCTGTACGTCTGGGCTATGGCTGTCTCCTGACACTGCGAGCCCTGAGCGCTGCTGTGCCTGCCAACTTGCATCTGCTGCTGCGGCCCGTGGCACTGGCACTGCCTGACTTGCAGCAAGTGGCAGAGCTGACTCTACTTGGTGCAGGTGTACAGGATGCCGCTAGCATGGCTACCCGTCTATCTAAATTCTTCTCTCTAGAGCGTGAGCTGGTGTCTGGGTCCCTGCCCTGCCGCTTGCCACTGCTTAAGCAGATACTGGAAGAGACAATACAGACATTACATGTGACCAAAAAGGAACTCGAGTCCCAGGAGTCTGGCAGCCTAGCTGCCATGGAGGAGGCTGCCTTACTACGTGCTCTGGTGCACTCACCACTGTTCAGCAGCCTCGATGGGTTCCGCCTGCACAACCTCCGAGAGCTGCTCTGTGGGATTTTCCCTCATGCTAGCCTAGTGCTGGCAGAGCCTATATCCCGTAGGCTGATGAAGTCACTGATTATAGAGGAACTGCAACAGGTAGATCTGCATCCAAGCCCTGACCTTATGGGGTCCCTGGAGCAGCTCAGTGAGGCCCTCAGTCGAGCTTCAGGCATTCTGCTCCTGGGTCCTGCAGGGAGTGGCAAAACGACTTGTTGGCACAGCTTATTTAAGATCCAGAATCGGCTGGCAGCTATGGACAAAATCTCAGCCCAGAGATCCCAGCCTGTGGAAATCACTCATATGTATCCCAGTGTGCTCAGCTCTCAGGAATTCCTGGGATGGCTAGAAGGCTCCTATTGGCACTGTGGTATCTTTCCCAGGTTACTTCGCACAGCCCCTCATTGTAAAAGAGTGAGCCCAAGGGAACAGACTGAGGAATCGACGGGGATCCAGTATTGGGTAGTATGTGATGGGGCCCCCAGTGCTGTTTGGCTGGACTCCATCACTTGCCTTCTGAGTGACCCCCCTCAAGTTAGTCTCCCCAATGGACAGCAGATAGCACGACCCCCAGGTACCTTTTTTTTGATGGAGGTGGCAGATGCAACATGTATATCCCCAACATTGGTAGGCCATTGTGCTCTAGTCTGGTGCGGGGGGGAGCAGACCTGGCAGAGTATGTTCAACGTTCTGATGGCATCCATTCCCCGTGAGTACCGCCTGCTACCCCATACCGTCATTGAGCTTGATCAACTGGCTGACAGTCTGGTGCCTGCAACATTCCGATTCCTCATTCGCAAGGGTGCTAGTTCTCTGCTGCAGGTACATGGGCATCAGGCTGTTTGCCCAGGAGTGGCTGAAATCACCAACTTGAGCCGCATCTTGCATGGTCTGCTTGATGCCCATCTTGGCCTAGATGAGAAGGAGATGGCACCTGATCCAGGTGGGAGAAACAAAGGGGCTTGTTTGAAAGAAATGGGGTTTTGAGGGCCACTGGGATATAGCTGGAATGGGTTCTTTGATGGAACTGAGCCAGGGGACTAAAAGTAAGAAGTAACATGATCAACTTCTGCTCTTCCTTCCATCTCCTGCCTCTTCTACTGTGGCTATATTGACCAATACAGACGACTTCACCTTCATCTCTTCAAAAAGCACCTCTCCAAACTGGCCCAAGGTTGACAGCGAAGCTGTGCCAAATAAGGACAGGGAGCATTTGCTTGTTATCAGTAGCTTTCTTTTTGCCGTGATTTGGGGCTTTGGAGCCCACCTTCCTTCCAGGTACCTGTGAGGATGGAGGATGGGGATTGTGAATGGCTGAGATGGACTGGCCCATGGGAGTTAAAACTCGGATGATATCACTGAGGGGATATGGTGCGATGTGCAAGTTTGTCCTAGGTGGAATTGTTATGACTGTCTAACACTTTTGTTTATGTGTCCCCTGAGCAGGTTTTGGCCCTTATTTGATACCTTCATAAAGAATTCCATCAGTTCGCTCTCCAACTATCCTGGGCTACCACCTGCAACTTTAGTGTTTGAGCTACATGTGAACCCTGAAGATGGGACACTGGTCCCCTTCACTGGCCAATATCTAAGCAGCTACATCAAGGGATCACTGGGTATCTTCCACCCCTCTACGCAGGTGTGAGGGGAGGCAGCCTTGGGACTTAAGGGTCTGTGCATGGGGTGTGTTTGAGGCCCAGCGACCCACCTGGATCCATTTTTTGAGATGTTTTCACAATCACTAGAATACATGGAGTGTTCTCCAAGTATAGCTTAGGATAAGTCTCCTAAAACTATATTTTCAGCTACATTACCATCCTACAGTAAGTTCTGCTCCTGTCCTACAGACTGAACGGCTCTTGTATGTGGTAGACCTGCTTTTGTCAAGGGGACAACCAGTGCTGCTGGCTGGAGAGGAAGCAACCGGGAAGTCAGCCTTTGTGGAGGCGCTAGTGGAGCCAAATCATCCTTACATAGACAGCCGGGTCCACCCTGCCCTTCATTCTACCCACTTTCGCCTCCTGCTAAGCAGAGGAGTCCAGGACCAAACACAAGCCAGTTCATGGTCTACACGTCACCAGGATTCCGAAGGCTCCCTCCTCTTCCTGCTGGAGGATTTGCACTTGGCTACTTCTGGTGAGGAACCAAGAGAAGGGAAGTTAAGAGCTAGTGTCATCTAAGACATACGTCCATAAATCAAGCTTCAGGGTTTTATTCTTACTATCGTCTCATCTACATATATTCCCTGAGCAATCTTATCTACATATGGTGTCATCCTCCACTTTGACTGATGAATCTCTCTACACCCTAGACTTCTCTTTTAAGCACAGGCCTGTTTATTCAACTGTCTACTCTACATCTCCACCTTGATGTACCTTTGGTACCTCACACCTAATCCCACCACCACACACAAAGTCTGCTCTGTGTGTGCTCTTAATAACTGTTACCATTATCCAGAACTCTTCATGACTTCACTTTTCCCCAGACCTATCACCTTTCTCTTTCAACTCTGCCTCCTAAATATCTCTTGAATCTTTCTGCCATACTTATTTCATGGTTCAGAGCATTATTACTTGGAACTCTAGCAGATGCTCTTGCAAAGCACTTCATGATGAAGGTTTCTTCGCTAGCTTGTTACACTCTGTGTTCTAACTGGATTCAAGAAGTCAGGCCTCCTCTGTCCTCTAGAATTGCTAGCCTCATTTGGCTAGCTATCTCCTGGTATTCTTTCCAAATCATCTCAGATAGTAGCACCTCCAGGAAACCTGATATCCTCTAAGCTAGGCTGCTATGTATCCTATACGGAGTACAGTATCTATAACAATGATGTTTTTGTGATTATGCTTATCTATCCCATTCACTATACTTCCAACTTCATGAGAGCAGGGATTTATCTCATTCATTTTGATAGAACTGGCAGGAAATAAGTGCTCAGAGTTTGTAGAAGAAATTATAGCATAAAGAGGAAGAAAGAAACTGTGATGAAATTTGGAAAGCTGGAGTTTAAAATTTCTGAAGTGTTTTACATCCAGATGATAACCAGTTTTAACATGGTCATGGGAATAAGTAGTAATAAAGTATAAGTTGAGGTTGTTGGAGTCAAGAAAGTTGGTGAGCTAAAGCACAGGATGGGCTGTCCAATCAATCTCTGAAGTCCTTTATGGGATGTAGGTAACTAGAACTAGGTATATTGAAGCTTAAAAAATAATAAGAGATACAATATATTGAGTACTGTGTGTTATATACTTTGTGTCTTCTTTAATGTTTATAAACATCTAGCAAGATGGAGACTTCTAACAACTATTAAAGATTCAGAAACTAAAACAGTAATTTTACAATCTCCCTAGGAAACCCTACTTATTAAGTGTAGAAGCAAGGTTAAAATTCTAGTCCAGGGGCTGGGGATTTAGCTCAGCAGCATAAGCACCTGCCTTGCAAGCAGGCGGTCGTGAGTTCAATCCCTGGTGCCGATAAAAAGTTTAAAAAAAAAATTCTAGTCCATTGGTTTCCACAACCTGTAATTCTTCCCAACTATGTTATTTGGTCTTTGCAGTGAATTTACATAAGTAATTAGGGTGTCAGTGGGCAACAGGAGGGCTAAAAAGTGATACAGCCAGCTCTGTGAAGAGATTTCACTTGAGAAAATATTTAAAAAGAAGTGTTGAAAGTATTAAATGCAACATCATAGAGTGAAGAATATTGTACCTGGCAGAATGACAGATATCTTTAGGTGACAAACACCAGAAAAGCCATATAACATTTAAAGAATGAATATACTTTTTTTAAAAAGGCCAAAAATCAGAAAAATGACTCTCTATTAAGAAAAAACAATCAATGGAAACTGTCCCCAAAATGTTGTACAGATTGGCATTAGCAGATGAATAGTTTAAAGCAGAAATTATAAAGCCACTAGCATTCAAATACTTAAGAAAAATATGATTTTAATGATTGAATAGACAGGGAATCCTAGCAATAAAACTGAAACTCCTAACAATAACTAAATGGAAATTTTAAAACTAAAAAGTACAATAACAAGTGAGAAATTCACTGAATGAGGTTAACAGAAAAATTGGAGAGGATAGACATCAGTGAACCTTCAAGAATAGTAAAAATGTTAAATATGAATAAAATTTCATTCTAACACATATGTAATTAGAGTCCCAGAGGAGAGGAGAAGGCAGCAAGATGTTTAAAGAAATAATGACCAACATTTCCCCAAATTTCTTTTAAAATGCTGGTTTTCAGACAAAAAGATCATTTATCCTGAAGCAGAATATTAAAATGAAGCCAAAGTAAACACATCGTAATCAGACACTGAAAATCAAAACTCTGAAGCTGGCCAGAGGAAAAAAGAAAAGGACACTGTATATATGGAGGAACAACGTTAGGACTGATAGTTAATTTTTCAACAGAAACAATGGATTCCAGGTGATAGCAGAACATCTTTAAACTACAAAAAGAAAACTTGTCAATCTAGAATTTTATCTAGAAAATAAAATATTTCAGTCACACGTAAAGTAAGAAAGTTCATTTGTGCTAGAATTTTACCATAATAAATGATAAATGATAGGAAAATGATAGATGGCAATTTAGATCCATAGAAAAGAGTAAAAACATCAAAAAGGTAAATATGTGGGTACATGTAAATAATTATTGTTTTCTTCCTGTGATTTCTTTAAAAGACAACTGATAGTTTCAAGAAAAAGTAATAAAATTGTTAGTTGAATTGGTAATATTGGTAATATAGGTAAAAGCAACAATAGATAAAATAATAAAATGAAATGGGAATAAAAAGTAAACTGAATTATGCTATTACTAGTTTCTTATATTTATGAAATGGCAACTTTAAATATTAAGTAGGAAGAGTGAAGTAGGAAGTAGAAAGCTGTGAAGTGACGTGCTATTACTTCTAATAGTGGTAAAGTAACAAGGCATATTATGCTAGCAGGTGGCATATGTCCATAATCCCGGTACTCAGGAAGCTGAGGCGGGAGTATTGCCATGAGCCTGAGTCAGTTTAAGTCCTGCACTACATATGGAGACCCTGTCTCAAAGGGAAAAGAACACATATTATTGGTCATAGAAAAGTCACTAAATAATAATAAAAAGTAACTAACGAGTCAATACCATGCAATATTAAAATATTTAAGTTGTACCAAAGGAAGCAATAAAGTTGCAAAGTCACAAGAATAGCAGAAACATAGGAAACAACAATATGATGGATTTAAGTGAGGAAAATTAATAATTATATTAAACTGAATGGACTGAGGCTTCAAATAAAAAGACAACATTGTCAGCCTAGATAAAAAACTAACACCTACATGTGTGCTAAGATCCCCAGCACAATAAATATGTAATAAATAAACAGAAAAATTAAAGGGTCTTTTTGAGAAGGCAAAAACAACTGGGGATAGCCTGGGTCTATAATCCCAGCACTCAGAAGGCTGAAACAAGAGAATTGTGAGTTCAAGGACAGGTGAGAGACTCTATCTCAAAAAAGGGCAAAATAATACTATCTCAACAGAATGAATAACAAAATTGTTGTGGCCATGTTAAAAATATTGCAACTTTAGACCAAGAGTATTATTGAAGATAGAGAGGGACATCTCACAATTAAAAGATTCAATTCCTTGGAAAGACATGAAAGTCCCAAAACAGACTGAAATATGTGAAGAAGCAAGGGATAAGGGAAAAATAGCAAACCCCAAAACATAATGTGAGACCTAATACTCCTTTCTCAATAATTAGAACAGTAGTAAGAAAGTAAAATGTATAGACTGAACAATTCCTGCAACCATATTGACCTTTACAGAACATCATACCCACCAACTGCAAGCCGTACTGTCTTTCCAAGTACACAAGTGTTACGGTTTATATCTAGATGTCCCCTCAGAGCCTCATGTGTTCACACCTGGGGCTCTTGGAAGATGATGGATCATAGGGCTTAACGCTAACTCACTGTTAGGATGTGAGGTCTGGTCGTTGGAGGCAGGTTTATCTCCCTTCCCTGCTTCTCCCTTGCTCTGCCTCTTGTCTGCCACATTGTGAGCATCTGTCCTCTGCCATGCTGTCCTGGCTGGGAGCCAGTGTATGCACTGAAACAGAGCCCAAATAGACCTCTTCTGTTTTAAGATGTGGTTGTTGGGGGGTTTCAGTGACAAGAAAAGTGACTAAGACAACAAGAAGTATTCACCAAGCTAGACCATACGCTGGGTAAAGAAATGAGTCTCGACCAAATCCAAAGGTTTAAAATGTTATACTATGTTCTTTGATCATTATAATAAAAATCAATAACAGTATGATACCTAGGAAATTCCCAAATTCATTGAAATGAACAGCACACTTCTGAATAACTCATGCATCAGAAAAAAATCTAGGGGAGCTAGAGATGTAGCTCAATGGTACCGTGCTTGTCTAGTATAGGCAAAGCCCTAGGTTCAACCCTAAGTGTGGAGGAGAAAGAAAAGGTATCAGAGAAAGAAGACAATATTTCAAACTGAATAAAAATGAAAAACATCCAGATTTATGGGATGCACCTAAAGTAGTGCTTAGATAGACGGTTATAGCATTAATGCCTGTTATGGTTTGTGTCTAGATGTTCTCCCACAGCCTCATACAGTTTTAGATGGGTCTTTTTCAGAGGCAACTGCCTCTGGAACGTGTAGTTTATTGGTGATACAATGCTGGGGTTAACAGTATCCCTGAGTTTGCAACTTATGGAGTCCTAAAGAGCTGCCCTGTATCTGCAGAATCCTATTTTATCCAGACACTGTCAAGCAGCACTTCCAATGTTGTCTTCTCGCATCCCCCTCCTGTTCCCTATTCTGATAGCTAATGAATACATTTTCCTAAGCTCCAAGATGTTTAAAACATAATTGAGTTCTCTATGATTTCTGTAAAATTTAAAAATTCATGTTTAGTGTCTGAAAGAAATGTCAGATCTAAAATAAATACATTATCATGAAAAGAGAAAAAAACAATGCTGGGATTAAGGGTGGTGCAATTAAAGTGGATGATGTCTGAATCAGTCCACTGAAAGGACTGGCACCGCCCTAATTCCAGCAGCCTTAGGTATAAAGGAGGCAGAAAGATGAAATACACTAGTAAGGGTTGGTTGTTGATTTTGCTGTCTTCTACCACCATGTATTATTCTTCTATTGCCACCCTGCTTGGAGCCAGCCAATTATGAACTGAAATCTCTACAAACTGAGCTAAATTAACCTTTCCTCCCTTAACTTTGAGTGTCAGGTATTTTGTCTTAGCAATGGGAGAAAAGTAACCAAAACAATGCCTATGTCAGGAACATGTGAATTAAATGACCTGATTTTTCAGTTTAAGAATCTAGAGAAAGTAACAAGTTAAATGCAAGGCAATTAGAAGAAAATAAATAATAAAGACTCAAGCAGAAATCAATGAAATAAAAAATACATGAACTTGACAACAGAGCCAAAAATTGGTTCTTTGAAAAGGTAAATAAAATCAACAGTTTCATAGCACATTACTCAAGAAATAAACAGGAAAACATGTTTTCAATGTCAAGAATGAAGAAAGTTTTATTAAAAATGTTTTTTTAGAGCCAGGCGTGGTTCCTCATGCCTGTAATCCCAGCACTTTGGAGTCTGAGGCAGGAGGATCGTTGTGAATTCGAGACCAGCCTGGGCTACAAAGTGAACTCAAGGCCAGCCTGAACTGCATATCAAGGCTGAGGATTTAGCTCAGCGGCATAAATGCCTGCCTTGCAAGCACACAGTCGAGAGTTTAATCCCTGGTACCGACTAAAAATATATATATACTTTTTTAAAGTAAAAATATTATAAAGAGCTTTATGCTAATAAATTTAGTAACTTAGACAAAATGGATGAAAGCTTGCAAATACAACTTATTCAGGCCTGACTTTAAATAGAATAAGAATGAATGGGTAGAAATAAAAATCTTGAATTAACAATATTAAATGTTTCCAGTCTCAGAACCTCTCACAGTTAAATTATATATAGTATTAAGAAAAAAGTGAAAGTTCGATCCCTGGTACCGATAAAAAGCAAAAAGACAAAAAAAAAAAAAAAAGTGAAATCTACTTGTAAATGTAAATACTTTCCCACTCATAACCCTAATACTAAACTTTGGCAAAGGCATTTCAGGAAAAGAAATTATAAACCATTGTCTTTCACTAATAGCAATGCAAATATAGTCTTCATCAAAATAATACTAAATAAAATTCAGCAACATGTAAGAAGAAAAATACATGACTAAATGCGGTCTATCCCAAGAAAGTTGGGATATCCCATCTCAACATTCGAGATGGCACAGGCCTGAAATCCCAGTACCTGGAAGGCTGAGGCAGGAGGATCACTACAGATTTGAGGCCAGTCTGAGCTATAGTAAGTTCAAGGCCAGCTTGACCTCCATAGCAAGACTCTCTCAACAACCAAAAGAAAGTGTTTGGAGCTGTTGAACTCGTGATAGATAGTTCACACACTGGAGCTGAAAGCACCTGTGCTGCGGCAGGAGTGCCAGAGGGCACAGAGCACCTGAGAAACACTCTGAGGGCACGGAGTGCTGGAGGTAACAGGGGTTCCAGCCCCGAGAACACTGGGTGTAGGAAGCTAGCTAGTTAAGCAAAGGGGCATGATATGCCAAGGGTAAAGAAAACACACTGCAGTGATTGAGCAGTCTCTTTCTCCCATGCAGATGAAGGGCTCTACCTGACCCCAGCTTTCTGTCTCTATCTCTATTTTCTTCATCCTTTCATTGTTCTCCCCACCCTCCACCCTGAGTTTAGAGAGCTCCCGGGGCCACGACAAAGTAAACAGAATGTGCTGTTTCTTTAAAAGTATCTGTTCGGCGTGTAAACCCAGCACTCAGCAGGCTTAGTGAGGCTGGAGGCTGGCTGAGGGTTCCAGGTCACCTGTGGCTACTTACTTGTGAGTTCAAGGCAAGAGAGTTCAAACAAAAACAAAAGCAAAATGAAAAAAGCATAGAAGGTAACTTTCTAAATTTGAAGAAGGTAAACCTGCAGGTAATTGTGTTCTTAAAGACAGAGCTCAAATTTGTAATCCTGCTGCCTCAACATCCCAGAGTGCTACGACAACAGCCATGAGCTACCACACCTGGCCTTTAAACAGATTTTTGAAGTGCAGCTGTGATGTAATTTGTACTCTTTGACTGAAATGAATGTACATTTCCCCCTGTGATTAGACCCGTTTCCAGCCCTTTGCCTCCCAAGTCTCACTGCAGTGTTCATTTTCCTTTGGTTAATGAATACTTGCCCATAGAGGTTGGATCTGAATGAGAAAAGACAATGACGTACAGAGACGTGGCTAAGTCACCACATCAGATGCACAGGAAGCTTCAGAACTCTGTGTGTGTTGGAAGCAGAGCCAGGAGGCAGGTGCAGGAGATTTGGGGAACACTATCATGTGGCGTTGCACAGTCTTCACTGTTACTCCTCATATCCCACAGATGCGGAGAAGAGCTGCCAGCCAGTGTTGGAGGCGTTGCGACAAGCCATGGATGGCACCGTGTATGCCCACAGCACACTGGAACTGCAGACACTGCAGCCTATAGTCAACTTTCTGGCCACTGCCACAGTGCCAGGAGGCTCTGAGCGCCCTCTGTGTCCCCGCCTTTGTCGACTCTTCACAGTGCTGGCATTAGGCAGTGTGACACAGGCTACTCTGATGAGCAGGCACACACCTAGCATCCAGGCCTGGCTTGAGCGGTTTCCCTCTGTGGAACAAGTGGGTATTCTGGGGAAAGCTCTGGTGCAGGCCTCGGTGGATGCCTGGGAGGCTGTGTGCCACTGCTTCCTGCCTTCACCTCTCCACCCGCACTACCGTTTTTCCCTGCATTCTGTGAGCCAACTTCTGGGAAGCCTGCAGCTACTGCCAACCAGAGGGAGCTCACAAGTTTTTGAAGACTATTTCTATGACAAGGAGCACTTGTACCGGGTGTCAGGGTTGCAGGGCAGTTGCCTCACTATTATGATGAGCTTGCGCTATGTGGTTCGCCTCTGGTTGCATGAAGCACAGAGAACTTTTTGTGATCGGCTGGACAGCCCCAGGGAACGCTCCTATTGTGCCAAGCTGCTCCTAGAAGTAGCTCAAAGAGTCTTCTGCCATGGGCCAGGGCCCCAGCTCTTGGTCAGGGACTATGAGGGAGAAGAGGAGGAGGAGGAAAATGTACCTGAAGTAGAATCTGAGGGAGAGTTGGCCCAGTGGGAAGACTTAAGCAACAGCAACAGTGAAACAGAGGAGGAAGAGGACCCTTATGGCCTCCAGGCCACCACAAGCTCATTTTCCAGTGATCCAAGTGTAGCACCATCCATAAAGAGAGTCAGCAGGGAGACCACAGAAAGCATAAGTCACAAGACAGAGCAAAGAGAAGGCACAAGGGCTTCCAGCTGTAAGCTCCAGTCAAAGGAATTCAACACTTTGCAGAAAGCAACTCAGGTGGACATGGTCGCACCCCTGTTGCTACCAGTACTACTACTCCGTCCCAAGGAAAAACCATCAGATCTGGTCTTCTGTCAGGAGCTGACACTTGGGTCCAGTTCTGAGGGCCCCAATTTGTATCTAGAACGACAGTGGGGAAGGTTGGAAAAGCAGCTGGCCACTTTAGCTGCTCAGCTGAGACTGAGTCCCCACCTTGTCCAGAGCCGCCCCATGGCCCAGCACGTCGCCCGCCTGGTCCGGGTGCTGGCCAGGCCCCAGCAGCATGGCCTATTGCTGTCAGGAGCTCCGGCGACTGGGCGTCGTGTTGCTGTTACTCTGGCTGCTAGTGTTTGTCAGGCCCGCCTCTTCCATCTGCCAACTGGGCCTGAGGAGGCCATTCTCCAGTGTCTACGAGATGCCAGCTGGGATGCTGGAATATTAAGCCACCCAGTGGCCCTGCTGGTACCCAAGACTGTGAATCTCACTACTCTTTATCGGCTGGTGGCCCTGGCAACTGTAGGCAGTTTCCCTGACCAGTACACAGAGGCAGATCTGGACAACATCGAGGCACATTTCCCCAGGGATAACCTTGTTAATAAATGTAACATTAAGAAGGAAATGGTGTTGCAAAGGTAAGACCCAGAACCCCATACCTGAGCCTGCCCTGCTCTTCCTCTGTCCTGGCCACAAGACCAAAATGAAATACATGGGTTATTGTGAGGGCTCAAAAGATGAGGGCAGAGGGTTCAGGGTTGTAACTGGGGCCTAATGGGCAAACAGGTCAAGAAAAAGAAACCATTCCTGTATACCTGTCCGTAGGTTCTATCGGCAAGTATGTAGCCACTTGCACATGTTTTTCCTGGTTGGAGATGACCAGGCCCAAAACAAGCTGCCCTGCACCATTTTCCTGAGGCTCCTTCAACTGGCCACTGCCAGCATTGACCGCTATGAACCTTGGGACCAAGCTTCCCTGGTGAGAGTGGCCCAGTACCACCTGGAGGGTGCTCAAAGCCTACCCCTTGATGATGGTAAGAGCCCTTTCCACCCACCCTCACCACTGATGAGAGTTATTGCCTAGGCAAGTCTCTCTCCCCACCTGTTGTTTCAGTCTCTCTCAGCTTCCTTCACATTTTCTGCCCTCTGTCCTGAGCTAGAAAAGGCTATCTTCCCTTTCCCATTCCCCTAAGCTCACAAGCCTAGGCTAAAGCCACGCCCATTGCAGGACCCTTCAAGTGTCCAGACCTCCAGGCCTCAATTCCTAGTGTGGCTAAAGCCATGGCTCTCATTCATCTTTCTGCTGCCTACTACCATGAGCACTTGTGCCCTGTGTTGCCACTTGTCACCCCCAAGACCTTCTTAGATTTCCTGGATACCTTCCTGCTGCTTCAACAAAAGATGATCCTGCAGATAAAGAATAGAGCCAAGAGGTAAGTGGCCCCATTCCTATAATTTACCTCCTGATTTCTTGGGTCCACTCACTGGTACATGTACCTCCAGGATCCAGAATGCACTGGAGAATCTGAAGAGTCTACTTGAGCAGCACAGTGTCCAGACCAACCTTGTCATCAACTTGGAGCAGCAACTGAAAGACTCCCACATGGTAAGGGGAAGATTGTGAGACTTACATAGATGTATCAATGCAGAGCAAAGAGGGTACTGGGGAGGAACCAACCAGAATGAACTTTAGCTCCTATTTTTACTAGACTCCCCCTCTCCCCTAGTGGGTCTCCATAACCCTTGCAGCCTTCTCTAAAGTTTCCCAGGACAAGATTGATTTTTTATGATACCCCCACTGTCTGCTTCTGGTGGCCCCTGGTGACTTGGCAGTGTGAAGATCAGTATGTTCCCCAGATCTCTCTCTCTCAGTGAGGGACAGAGTGGGAACCGTAGTCTCACAGTCAACTGTTTTTCTCTGCCCTTGAGTGCTCCATCACTGCTAGTTGGCTAACCTTTTGTAGCCAAATCACTTTGTCTTCCCATACTACTTTGTCTTTTGCATCTTTCTTCCAAAAAAAGTACCAAACTAGCTGTATGTGCTGGCTTATGCTTGTAATCTCAGCACTTGGGAGGCTAAGACAGGAGGATCATCATGAGTTAAGAGGCCAGCCTGAATAATAATAATAATAATAATATTTGATAATAATAATATACCTTAAAAAGTTGTGATTCAAATATGCAGTGAATGATTAATTTAAAATTGTCATTACTGTAAAAGACACTGTCATTAGTTCCTCTTAAAATACATTCATTTCAAGACACATCTCAGAGTTGCGGCCACTTTCTGAAGCATTTCTGGAAATCCTCTTTAGTAATTATGTCTTTTACAAGATCAGATCAGAAGTATAGTGAATAAAAAGTATAGTGAATGCTTCCGCAAAGTACCATCCAATGCAAGATGATATGAATTTAACAATGCTTGTAATATTGCATATTATTATGTTCAAAAGCATTGCTTAGATTACCAGATATGGACATGCAAATTGATCTGATCATATGAATATTAACTGTTCTTTTCCAAGACCTAACAGAATTAGTAATATAATCATCTTAGTTGTATATATACATATACAACTATTTTATGTATATATAAGCAAATTTATATCTTTTCCCTTTTTCTGTCCTTTTCTCCTTTCCCCTATCCTAGTTATTTTTCCTCTTAGACAGTTTCTTACCCTTTCACAATATCTATTGTAGATTTTGGATCTTATTTACTCTTTCAATTTCTTATACTAGGGAGGCAGTATGGTACGTGAGTCTGATTTATTTCGCTTATGAGTATAGTCTCAAGTCTCATCTATTTACCTATAAAAGCCTTGATGTAATCCTTCTTTATAGTTGAGTAGCTTCATTGTATAAAAATCCGTATTTTTTTATCCATTCCTCTGTTGGTGGGCATTTGGGTTGTTTCCAAGATTTGGCTATTACAATTCTTACAGCTGTAAACATGGATACATTGTTATTGTTTTGGAATTTGTGTTGTTCTTGTAGTTGTTTGTATGTCTCTTGTTTTTTGTTTTTCTTTTCTATGTTTTTTTCTCTTTAAAATAAAACAAAAAATAAAAACAAAGTACCATCAAATGGAAATACAGGCTTATAAAAACATTAATGTCCTCATCTCTCTTGTTCACTGGATCTCACACCTAACAGAAAGGCAGGCACGTAAAACATTATGACATGCCTTCATTCACCCTTCTCAGTGGATCTGGCACTGTGTGACTTTTGGCTCTTCACCAAACCAAAATGACCATGAAAATGTTCTGAATTGAGTTGGGACATCAAGGCAGTTACAAAAACACAACTAAAGATACTCAAGAAAATGAATCCCAGAATTACTTTAGAAAGTCTCAAAGTGTGTGTGTGTGTGTATGTGTGTGTGTGTGTGTGTGTGTGTGTGTGTGTGTGTGTTCCTTTGGGGGGGGATTAATCACAATGTGTCTTTTTGTTGTCGTTTGTTTGTTTTTTATGTTTTGTTTCATTTTTTGCTTTTGAGACAGGGCCTTGCTATGCAGTTTAGGCTGACTTTGAGCTCACTATGCAGCCAAGGTTGGCCTTGAACTCACAGTGATCCTCCATGTCCCGAGTGCTGGAATTACAGACATGTGCCGCAGCACCTGGCTTGCAATGTGTCTTTTACTGTGATATTTTTAAAATTTAAACATATGTTTATATGACATATGCTTATAGACAAGACTATTGTGTGCAGTGAGAAAACTGAGATAAAGATGGTGAAAATTTACACATAGCAAAGAAACAGAAGTATATTTACATGTTATACCAAGTGTCAGTGTCCTAAATTTCCTTAGTCACTCTCTTCCCCTGGCATTTCACAGTGACCAACTTTTTTCTTCCCTTCCATTGCTGAATAGCTGCTCTTTAATACTCAGATTCAGTAATTCCATTTTTCCTCCAAAGCAGTTCTTATGGTATAAGAGGTTATTTCTAAGCCTAAACTCCAAATCTTGTTTTTGTTTTTTCTCCTCCTCCTCTCTTTCTCTTTCTGTCTCTCTGTCTCTGTTTCTGTCTGTATTCTCTTTCTGTCTCTCTTTCTCTTTCTCTCTTTCTCTCTCTCTCTCTGTCTCTCTCTCTTTCTGATGTTGTTGTTAATGTAGAGCAACCATTCTCTTTCTTTGGATTTTTTTTTTTTTTTTTTTTTTTTTTTTGGTACCAAGGATTAAACTCACAGTCTTGTGCCGTCAGGCCACTGAGCTAAATCCCCAGCCCCCATCCTCTTTAAATAAGTGAATCTTGAGGCTGGAAAGTACAAGGTTCTGAGTTTGACTCCCAATACAAAAGAGAAAAAAAAATGAACTTCTTACATGGCAGAATGGGGTAGTATGGCCTCTTACAGCCAAGTGCTGGTTGGGTAGGGGTCTTCATACCTCCTATAGCCAAATGTTCCCAGTTGAAAGTATTTTCCCAAGCTAAAGAGAAGTTTGCTTTGATTTGTTTTGATATGAACACAACTTTAAAAGAGAATTTTGTTTTTCTTCTTGCTATACAAAACTTTGAAAAGGGTACAGAGGTCACTAAAGAGACATGAACTGGTTGGTGCTCAACTCATAACTGGGTGATCTGAATGCCCTCATATATTCCGAGGCCATATGATTCTTAATGCCTCACTGGCCTCTTTCCATGGGTGCCTTTTGGACTATCACCCAGTGCTACACAGCTCCAGAGACACAGCTATGTGTGTCTCCGTAGATGATGTTGACAGTGTTCTCTGTAAACTGTGCCCTCTGGAAATCTTTTTTTTTTTTTGTCTTTTTCCTTTTTATTGGTACCAGGGATCGAACTCACGACTGCCTGCTTGCAAGGCAGGTGCTTATGCTGCTGAGCTAAATCCCCAGCCCCAACCTCTGGAAATCTCAAGGTACCAGTGCCTTCTTCCTACTCACTCTGTCACATGACCAACTAAAGGAAAAACAAAAGTTAAAAAGGAGGAAGAGTCTTCTCATGTTTCTGTCTTGATTTTTGTCTTGAGCTCCACCTTCTTCTAAGATGATCAGTACTAAGAATGGTTGGTCATGGTTAAGGATGCTGATGCTCCTGATCAGTTCCATTAGACCACAGCACAAGAAAACAAAAATCTGGGCAGAGGACTTTCTTAGTCTCAGAGACCATTCAAAATCAGATCCCTAGGTCACTGAACAGCTGTCATACTGTCTGGTACCTCCAGTGTTCCCCTTGACAGAAAATGTCATCACTACCCACTCCAAATCCCTGGGGTCATTCTGGGTCACTTCATTTCTCTGTGTCTTCTATTCACTTTGTTCATTTATTCCTTACTGTACTCAGCAAAATTAATCGAACTTAGGCCAGGTGTAGTGGCACGCACTTGTCTCCAGCATTCAGGAGATGGAGGCAGAAGGAATGCTGTGAGTTAGAAGCCAGCTGGGGCTACTTGAGCTCAAGTCAACCTGAACTACAGGGCAAGGCTGTCTCAAAAGTCCAAAAAAATTAACTGAACTCTATATTATTTTTGTCTAGGCACACATTAATATTTATGTGTCTAACTGCATTTAGATACATAATACACAGATAGATCCTATATTACAACTTTCTGAGATTGCTATCCTTTTTCCATTTTACTTATGAGACAAAAAAATCTAAAAAGGACAGGGACATTTTCTTGAGGCAATGATGAAAGTTAAATGAGATCTTATATGTGAAGCATTTAGAAGTTCTGGAGTACAACAAAAACTCAATAGCTAAGATTAGATTAGCTGTCAAAGAAGGTGAAGAGGAAGAATGTCCATACCTAAATAACAGAGTGTTAAAGCCCAGAGGCAAGAGAACATAGGCCCCATTGAAGGTGAGGGATAACTGGAGAGTCAAATGTTGGAGGAGAAAATAAAAGAAGAGATTGGAAAGATAAAAAGTGGCCTGGTCAAGAGGCATTGTCAACCAAATGCAAGAGTAACATGCATTATGGGACATGATGATGATATTTTATTTTATTTATTTTTTGTGATACTGGGTTGAACCCAGGGACTTCACACTGAGCTATATCCCTTTGTAGTTTTTAATTTTTGAGACAAGTTCTCACAGAGACACTAAATTTCCCAAGCTGGACTCAAATTCATTATCCTTCTGCTTCAGCCTTCCAAAGTGCTAGAATTACAGGTATGACCCACCGTACCTGGCTGAGATTCTGGTTTTAGAAAATCAGCTGGATGTGGTGGTGCACGCCTGTAATCCCAGCACTTGGGAGACTGAGGAAGGAGGATCACTGTGAGTTTGAGGCCAGCCTGCGCTACACAGTGAGTTCAAGGACAACCTGAACTGTATAGTGAGACTCTGTCTCAAAAAAAAAAAACAAAATAAAAAATAAAAGAGAGAGAGAATCAGTTAGGCCACAGTGTGTAGATCAGATTAAAGGAGTAAGAGAGGACGCTGAGATATCAGATAGGAAGCTAATGAAGGTCAGAAGAGAGATCCTGTGTGTGAGTGCTGGACACTGAGTATGAGAGTGAACATGAAAGAAATTTAGGAGATATAATTCAAAGACCTCAAAGATGGCCTAGGTTTGGGGGAATGGAGGACATGGAGCTGGAGAGTAGGGGAGCAACTGGAGATAAAGTTCAGTCCTCAATACTGCAGAAGAAAGTAATGAAGGGAGGAAGGGAATAAGAAGCAGAAAAAAGAAAGAAAGAAAGAAGAAAGAAAGGGAGAAAGAAAGAAAAAAAGGGAGTCAGACATGGTGGCTCACACCTGTAATCCCAGCACTCGGGAGGCTGAGGCAGAAGGATAGTTGCGAGTTTGAGACTAGCCTGGGCTATAGAGTGAGCTCAAGGCCAGCCTGAACTGCATAGCAAGACCCTGTTTCAAAAAAAAAAAAAGAAAGAAAGAAAGGAGGAAAGAAAAGAAAGTGAGAAAGAAAGAAAGAATAAAGGATGGCAGAGGAAGGAACCGAGAAAGGGCAGCCAGAGAGGTTGGAAAACACTCAAGGAGTACACGGTATTGTAAAGGCCAAGGGAGACAAATGCATCCACACGGAGGGCCTTCCTCCCATGACAACTACTTCTGAGGAGCCAAGTAAGATAAGGAGAGTAGCTAACAGTCACACATGCAGCTTTGGAGTCAGATTGCCTGGGCCTGAATGCTAAAGTGGCTACCACATACTTAGGCTGCATTACCACAGCAGTCCACAACAGATCCAGAGCTCAGGCTCTATCTGTGACCTACACAGCGTCCTCGTTGGCCACCCTGCCAGGCCCATGCAGTCCTCCCCTGGGGTGCTCCCTACCGCCCAGGATCTAGGCTGCAGGGCCTGATCTCCATTCACAGAAACTCACCCTAACTCAACAACAGCTAGAGCAGGGCAAGCTCCTGCACAAGCAGCTGTTGGCAGAGTGTCGGCATCAGGAGAACCTCACTGAGAACCTGACCAAGCATCGGGATGCCCTCCAGGCTCAGTATGAGGCTTTTCTCAAGCAGGTAGGCCCTTCCTGCCACCTGCCCGGTATTGCTCCTCTCTTGGGGAAGGACAGCCCCTTATAGGATGCCCACAGGAGGGGACGAGGTAACTAATAGTGGAGTCTCTGGGGGTAGAGGGCAAAGATCATAGTATGACTTGGTGAGTGGCCCCTCATGAGACCTCCTAGGAGAAAATGCTTCCTCCCTCCTGCAAGTACCTTGAAGAAAGAGTGAAACATCTCAGGAGCTCTTCTGTGTACATCTCTCCTCACTTAGATGGGCAAAGCATTTCTGGGTCCTCTGAGCCAGCTGAAGGTGACTGACTTTGAAGAGATACGGAGCTATCGAGCACCACCAGAATCTGTAGTACGGGTGACTGATACACTGTGTGACCTGTTTCACCGTGAAACTGGCTGGGCCAGTGCCAAGCAGCTTTTATGCACTGAAGATTTTTATCAGGTGGGGCACATGGAAGAGGATAGGAGAGACATATAGGGGAGACCTGGTGGGCTAGACTATTGGGTCGAGTTCCAGAGCACCCGCATCTTTCCCTTTCCCCTTACACATATCCTCCCAGGAGCTGGTATTCTTCCCCAAGGAGAAGATGACTGACACAGAGCTGATAAAGTTGAACGATGCTCTGAAGTCTCTGGGTATGAATAACAGAGCCCTGCGGGCAGTTAGCGTGCCTGCAGCAAACCTGGCGGCCTGGCTCTGGGCCGTTCTGCGCTACGGGCTGGCACAGCGTCGGGGACTGCCCACAGGCCTACTGCTGCGGCAGGTGGATGAAATCCTGACTCGGGAGCAGGCCCGCTTAGGCCACTACCAGTTGCAGGCCCAGGAGAAGCTGGAGGATATTTTGACCCTGACTAAGAAGGTACAGGAGGCCTATGTTACCTACAACCATATGCTGGGGGCGCTGGCTATAGCACAGCGTGGCCATTATAAAAAATGGCCTGTGAAGCCTGCACTAATCACACCCATGCACACTTGGACTACAGAGCTCCAGGTAAGTGGCCTCCTCCTAGCCATCTCTGTCCTGGTTCATTTCTACCCCCACCCTGTGCTCACAGTTCCCTTGCCCCACTCTCCTCACTGTACTGTCCTCCATTTCCTTGGTTTGCCTTCCCTCACCAGACCCTCTTCCTGTCTGCTCTCCCTGGCCTACACACTTCCGCTCTTCCCTTCACACCAGAATTTAAGCGGACACAGCATGACCGTGTTTGGAGATGCTCTTGTGTGTTCAGCTGCTATTGTCTACCTGGGTCCCTTCCCGCCACCACGGCGCCTGGAGCTCCTAGACAAGTGGCTGGCCCTGTGCAGGGGTTTTCAGGAGCCTCTAGGCCCAGATGACGTGGCACAGGCACTGAAGCAAAAGCAGAAGCCTATCATCATGCCACCAAAGAACCCCCTGCTGCCCACACGCTTTCCCTTCAGTGTTCTGTCCTTGCTGAGCTGTAGTTCTGAACAGCACCAGTGGGACCGAGACTTGAAACCCCAGGTGAAGTCCGCTCGCCTGGCAGGTCTGCTCCTGCGAAGCTGCACCCACTACCATAGTTGCCGTTGGCCCCTGCTGCTTGACCCCAGCAACCAGGCCCTCAACTGGCTGAGCCCACTGCCTTTGGAAGAGAACAGGTTGTTGATGTCAGCCCCTACTGATGGCAGAGGTAAGGCAGGGGTAATAACAATACTTCATGTATCTGAACCTCCCTGGTCTTCCTAGTGGAAATACTGAATTTTTGTGCTCAGGATACCCAAGATTTTATCAGCCTATCCTATATTAATCAATTTTGCGACATTTGCTTTTTTTTTTTGGCAGGGTTGGGGGCTATAATGCAATGATCCTGATTTTATGTGGCCAACCAAAATTCATGCTCTTCCAATTTTCTAGTCTACTTGGCACTATTGGAAACCTTGCTCACAACCCAGAGTTTTACTGCTCCATTTATCCAATGCAGAGAACTTCTGGGGAGGGACATTTTTACTGAATATTTTTGGATGGTCTTAGTGGAGTGTTGGAAGAAACATTTCCTACAAGAAGGAAGAGAGTGTGCTTATGTCCCAGAGATGGAATTAGGAGGTTAAGTAGGGGAGGAAAATGTGGTCTTATTTGGAAAAAAAAAAGTCTTTCCAGATGTAATGAAGTTCAGAACTTGGAGATGAGATCACACTATATACATTACGTGAATGGTCCCTACATCCCACAATAAGCATCTTGTAAGAGACAGAAGAGAATACACAAATACACAGAAGAGATGGCCATGTGAAGGGAGTGCCTGTGCAAGGAACACCTAGAACCACATGGGATGGAGGAGGCAAGCCAAGAATCTCCTTTAGAGCCTCACCCACTCCTTGACTTCAGACTTTGGACCTCCACAACTATGAGACAATATGTTTCTGTTGTTGTGAGCCACTAAGTTTGCGGTAATTGGCCCTGGAAACTAATACACATATCATAGCAAGATGTCTGCTGCCCTTCCAATTACCACATCAGAACTGTTCCTGGCCATTTCTGTCCCCTTTATCAAGAAAGCGAAAATTCTTGTAGAAATCTGAATAGTCAAATGTGGCAGGCAGAATTTTGGGTCCTGTGACTTTTGCCTTCTGGTATTACTCTCATGATTATGTTATATTATATGATATAAAAGACTTTGGAGATATAATTAAGATCATTAATCAATTAGCCTTAAGATAGAAATACAGGGGCTGGGGATTTAGCTCAGTGGCATAAGCGCCTGCCTTGCAAACAGGCAGTCGTGAGTTCGATCCCTGGTACCGATAAAAAAGAAAAAGACAAAAAAAAAAAGATAGAAATACATTATCCTGAACTATTTAGGGGGTTTTAGTATAAACAAGTGAGACTTTCAAAGCAGAAAGGAAAAACCAGGCATGGTTGCTCATACCTATCTATAATCCTAGCGCTCTGAGAGGCTGAAGCAGGAGGATCACTTGTCCAGGCACAGCCTAGAAAATTTAGCAATTCAATGAGATCCTGTCTCAAAACAAACAAACAAAAAAAATGTTTTTTAAAGACTGAGGATGTAGTTTAATCCCCAGAACGAGGACGGGAAAAAGAAAAGAGGAAAGAAAACCCAAAGGTTTAAAATGCAAGAAAGATTCAATGAACTGTTGCTGGTTCACAGATGAAAGGGGCTACAGGGTAGTTGTGAGAAGGGAGTGAATCATTTCAGAAATTAGTAAGAACCAGATGTGGTGGCATGGACCTGTATTCCCAATTACCTGGGAGGTTGAAGCAGGAGGCGCACTTGAGCCCAGGAGGGCCTTTGAGGCCAGCATAAGAAACATCTCAAGATCCTGTGTCAAAACAACACCAAACCATAAAACCTGAAAGAAGTTTTCAAGCTTCACAGGAGACCTGTAGCCCAGATAACACCCTGATATTAGTGCAGTGGAATCTTGAGCACAGAATTTATCTCTGCTGTGTGGAGCCTCCAACCTACAGAACTATGAGATAATAAATAGGCCTTGTTTCAAGCTGTGAAACTTTTGGTAACTTGTAGAAACAAAAACAAACAAAAACAGAATGCCCCACACTACAAATCTGGCAACTTCTACTTTCAAGAGAATTTAAGGGAAAAAAAAAAAAAGCATTCATCTTTTGCAGCTCCTGCAGCAGAGCCCAGGAGTTTAGCCAGTCTGAGCAATATAGCAAGGGGCAAAGGTGGACAGGACAGAAATGGCTGTTGGTTAGCCAGCCATCTGGGTTCACCACACTACACATGACTTGGCTAATTCCACAGCTGATGACCTTTCCACTTAGAAACCACTACTCCAACCACTGATTTCCAAACTGTGGAGGACTCTTTTAGTTGTTAGTGGCAGAATTAGCTTAGATGAAAAAGGGAAAGGCACTGACTTTTCTAACCAACCCACAGAAAGGGCAGACATGGAACCAGTTTCAGAGATGACTAACCTTTCTCTGGAATTTAGAACAATAAATGTGAGCCAACATTTATTGAGCACTCACTATGTGCCAGCCTCAGTGCTGTCTACGTATCATTGCATTTAATCCTCATAGTAACACTATGCACTCATTAATAGCAACTCCGTTTTGTAGATAAGAAAAGTGCATCGCAGAGTTTGAACAACTTTGCTAAGATGTCTTCTCCCATCTCCATTCCCCATGGTAGGGAGCCTTCCTCTCACAAGTGCTCCTGTATCTCTTTCTGTCCCAGGGCAGGGCCTCATGGGGAATGCAAACAAAGAGAATAAACAGGAACCCACGGGAGGAAAAGATGCAAGCATAGAGAGAAATGAGGCTGAAGAGCAGACCCCAGAGCAGAAGGCAGAAGAACAGGAAAACCAAGAGGAGGAAGAGCAAGAAGGGGAAGAGGAAGAAGAGAAAGAGATGAAAGAGAATGAGTTGGAGAGTCAGGAGTCAAAAGTAGCCCTCGAGGCACAGTCTTCTCCTCTTCTCTGCCTTACTGTGCTCTCAGGCACTGACCCAAAGCTAGGTGCTCAGCTTTGTGAGGCAGCTGCCAATGGTGAGAATGGATCCCCATCCACTATGCCCCGCATCGTGCTCCCCAAATCCAGAGATCCCACAGGCTTCTTATACCACACTCTAAGCTCAGCTCCAGTCTTTTCCCTCACTACGTACAGGAGTCTTGAAGGAGCCCTCCTGTCAGCAGAGGAGTGCCATTCTGAGCCTGATCTTTGCAGGGAGGGCCATGCGGGGCCTGGCACTATTGGTTGGTCATCCTTGTTTCCCTTCACAGGCCAGCCTGTGCTCCTAACTAATGTGGAGCTGGGCCTAGGATGCCAAGAACTGCAGTGGCTGCTGCATCGGGAACAGCTAATGCCACCCCACGTGCAGCCTGGCTTCTGTCTCTATCTGAGCACAACCCTACCCCTCCATGCCCTGCAAAAAGGTGAGACAAGAGGATGCCTTGCTTGCCCCTGCTTTGTGGGCACATTAGGCCCCAGGGCTTCATTCATCCTGGCCCAGAAACAGGCTCAGAACTGTAGTAGGGAGCCACACTCCCTGTCCACCCTACCCCCTGGCTCTCTGCCAAGAGGAAGGAATGAAGTGTATTTCTTGTGACTCTAAGTGCTAGGTTGTGAACTGTTGAAGGGGCTGAATGTCTTGGACCTGGGTCTTAACTTGGAAATACTAGAAGACCAGATGCTACATGAAGTCATGCACAGAGAGTGTCCTGAGCTCGAGATCCGCTGGGAAAACCTAAAGACCAGCACCCTGGATGCCTGTGGAGCCATAGAGGCTGCTGAGGTACTTAAGGGTCCAAACTATGGTATATGTTGAGCATTGGGAGGGTCTGAATAGGGAATATGGATGAGTGTAGATGTTTGGGGTGCCATAAGGAAGGGCCAGATACACCCAAAAAATTACTGTACGCAGGAAAAGTTGCTGACAATGCTGTTGTCTAAGGATGAGAACTCTAAGGATGAGAAACCCGCCAAGTTTCTACGGCACATTGTGAGAATCCAGGCAAAGATCTGTCAGATGCAGACCTATTGTGAGGAACTAAAAGAACAGAAGCTGCAGGAGGTGGTATTGTGGGTACCCTACCAGCAGGTGGTTTGGCAAGGAATAGCCATAGTAAAGGCCCTAAGCACACTACAGAACTCGCTGCCATTTTTCCATATGACTGCAGAAAACTGGCTGGCAGTAACCAGGCAGGCTCTGGATAGCATGAAGCCGCGTGATGTCCAGCACAGGGAGGATCTGGCCAGCCATCTGCTGCAGCTAAAAGCACACCTGACCCGCCAGCTGCTGGGCAGCACCTTGACTGCACTGGGACTAACCCAAGTGCCCTTGGTGGGTGCTTTGGGTGCTTTGGCTCTGTTGCAAGTGACAGAGAAAGCACCAAAGCTGGAGAGGCTGGCACTCTACCCTGGACTGCCAGCCTCTCCCAGCACAGGCTACCAGAAGTCAGACCCAAGCGTGGTTCGGCCAGCCTGGCTCACACCAAGAATCTGGCATGAATGTGGGACATTAGAACTATTGCCCCCATTTGCTGGGCTACGTGCATCCCTGGCAGACCACTCCAGTGTTTGGCAGGATTATCTATCACTGAACTCCACAGTTCTGGGGCCTGCACCTGGGCCCACCTCTGAGCCACTCAGCTTCCTCCAGAAGTTGATCCTGTGGCGTGTGCTACAACCCAAGAGCCTAGCAAGTGCCCTGGCAGACCTTACCACCAGCCTCCTGGGCCGGCCTCTGGATGAGAATCTGAGTATCCTCACCTTGCCCTTTGAACGAAGTCAGGCTACTCAGCCCATACTGATCTTGTTACCACCACCTGGCCACCCCACAGCCAACCTACATCCTCTGACTGTCATCGAGAAACTGGCTGCCACACATAAGCAGGTTTGAACCTGGCCTCTTGACCACAGAGTGACTGAGACCCTGTGGGGTGGGGACCCTCTTTAGCATTCCTACAGGTCTTTGTTTACAAAGAATTACAAAATTATCTTGGGTGTCACTCTGGGACACTTAATCACCCTAGCATCACTTTGAGTCACTGCCACCTTTTTGCTGGTCCCCAGGAGCAAAAATATCTGCGGGTGATAGCCCTGGGCTCGGAGGCCTGGAACCCAGTCTCAGATGTGGTCAGCACCCTACACCAGGCCATGCTGGAGGGGCACTGGTTGGTGCTAGATAACTGTCATCTGATGTCCCATTGGCCAAGAGAGCTACTACAGCCCTTACTGGGGCTGCTGGATGGAGCTAAAGGTGAGTGTGCTGCCTAGAGAGGATTCTAGTACCCAAACTTGCACTTGACCTTCAGCTTGTACTGTCAGGCCTTCTGATTGATCCTCTACCTCCAAGTCTGTCCCTGGACCTTGGGTCTGACTCCTGCTCTCACAGTCTTAAGTGTGATGCCCAGACTTGCATCTAACCCATGATCTGAGGGCTGATCTCCGTCTCTTGTCAAACCCTAGTGGTCTCGGACAACGAAGTGCCACTGCTTTTAGCTGAAGTGGAAAGCAGGAATGTGGTCACCGTCCATAGAGATTTCCGCCTTTGGCTTATTGCATCTGCAGAGGCCAGTGCTTCTTTGCCAGGTGAGAAATGTCCCCACTGCACACTCTCAAACTGGAGGAGGGACAGATATGGTGGCACACACCTATAATCCCAGCACTCCGGAGGCTTACTGCAGGAGAATTATTGCAAGTTCAAGGTCATCCTGGTCTACGTAGTGAGATCCAGGCTGGCCTGAACTACATCTGAGAACCTGACTCAAAAAAACAAAAAGAAAATAAAACAAAAAAACTGGAGGAAGGAAGGTAACTGCAGTGCTGACTCAGGATCCTCCTTCATCCCCAGCTGTGCTGAGTCAGCACTCCATGCCTGTTTTCTGGGACCAGTCCCTGGAACTGGGCCACACCTTGATCCACAGTCTGGAGCTGGCCCAGCAAGAAGTCCACATGCAGTCCCCTACCCAGGCACTGCCTCTGCTGCTCCTGCATGGGCTCCTGCTGCACAGGCAGCTCTATGGAATGAGGCTGCAGGCACACCGGGGGCGTTGGTGAGCTACTCGCCTATCCTGTCCTGTCAGTCACTCAGCAGGCACTGAGCATCTTCCACATTCTGGGATGAGTGAAACCCGTTCATCTTGGGGAATTTCAAAGAATGACGGAAGTGGGGAGGTCTCAGAAGGCTTTTCCAGAGACTCTGTGATTGAGTCTTAAGGCAGAGGCAGTTCACATAGAGATTTGTACACAGAAGGAACTAAGCTCAGCAAAAGGGAGGATTCAGGGTAGCAGAGATGGACATGCAGGGGGTTGAGCAGGAAGAGGTGAGGCTTATCACAAGGTGCTTTTAAGACCATGATGAATGGCCCGACATGATCCTGAGAAGTGGGAAGCCACTGATGGGTTTTAAGTAGAACAAACATGGTCCTGTTTTGTCTGCTGGAAAGATTACTTTGGTAGCGTGTAGAGAATGGGGAAGCAGAGACTAGGGGCAAGCAGAGCAGTTTTAGGAAGCTCAGGCAGTTCCCAGGGAAGAGATCATAGAATGGGTGGGAGAGACTCGGTATTAGGAATAGTGTGTGGGAGCAGAAAGAAAGAGTCAAGCGAAACTCCCAGAGTTCTGCCTTATACAGCCAGGTGGCTGCTGCTTCTCACTGGGATAGGACAGAAATAGGTTTCAGGTGCAAACATGATTTCTCTTGAAAGCAAGTTGTATTTGAGGGGCCACTCGGCAATAACTAGTAAGCCCTCATGAGCCTGGAGCTCAAGAAAAGAGAAATTTGAAACTCTACTTTCTGTTCCCCTCTCAGGACTCATATGACCCTGACCCATGCCCTGGAGACCCAAGCACAGCTGTCAGCCAGTCTCAGCAATCCAGGCACAGCCATGCAAGAGCTGGCTGGTGAGATCCTTCCTGCCCACATGCATGCACTCCTCTGCCCCCAGGAGGGCCTGGGAATGGGTGTGGGTGGGAGTTTTAAGGCCAAGCATAATTCACAGCTTTGGTTTAGGTGGGTGGTAGAAACGGGGCAGTGGGGGGGGGCAGTGTAACTGAGGGGTTCTGACCTCATCCTCAGCTTCAGTTTTCTATGGGGGATCTCTGGGGGACATCAAGGACAGAGAGGCCCTAACTAGCCTCACCCAGGCCTGCTTGCGACCCAGCAGCCAGAGCCGGGTTCAACCACACACACCTCGGTATCTGCTGGCCACCCTGATGCCCAGCCCAGGTAAGCACCAGGAAGGCACCCCTGTTGGGGAAGGGAATAGTGAAGTTCGGTGGCACCCCACAGAATCGTGGACATGAGTGCTACTAAAAGTATATGAGGGGGCTGTATACACACATGATTTCCGGTGCCCAAAAGGACAAAGGAAAGGCTGCCTACACCCTCCTGATTGGGGTGGGGAGAGTTCATCTTGTTCCTCACCCTTTCACCTCCACTCCCAAGAGCTGGGGAAGCTGGATGCTATCGCAGAATGTGAGGCCCAGATGCACCTACTGCATACACCGTCTGAACCCAGGATCTGTGGACTGAGTGAAGGCCCCCAGGCCTGGCTGTTGCGACGCAGGAGTCGTGCTCTCCTGAGCGTGCTCCAGCGGAGTTCCTCCTCCTGGGTTCCTGCGGCTCGAACAGGCTCCAGGCGCACTGAGAGACGGCTGCAGCAGCGCATAGTGCAAGTCCAGCAGAATCTGGAGTCATTGCAGGCCGCGCTCAACAACCACACTCGACGAGACCAGGCTTTTGCGTTGCGGGGGCGCGGCACTAGGCGGCCTCTAGAGGACTTCCTAAAGACCGAAGCGTTGGAACTGAGTCAGCTGGTGGGCACGCTGCAGCGCGACCTTGACTGTCAGTTGCGGCAGCTGCAGGGTGAGCCTCCTTGCCCCTCCCACCGCTGTAAGGCGGTGGCCCACGCTCTTTGGAGCGGCCGCCTACCGGTGCCTTGGCGGCCCCATGCGCCCTCCGGTCCGCAGCCGCCCTGGCAATGGCTGCGGCAGCTGTCGTGCCGTGGGCAGCTGTTGGTTAGTTACCTGGGCGCGAACACAGGCACTGAAGTATCGGAGCGCATCTTTCACCTGTCAGCCTTTCGCCACCCGCGCCGTCTGCTGCTGGCACTGCGTTGGGAGGCTGCCTTGGAGCAGCGCGTGTCCAGCTCGAAATTTCCTGGCAGCCAAGGCCCCAGCAGCCGTCATCTCCCGAATAAACGTCGGGAACTGAGCAGCGGCCCTCTGCACCTCCAGGTATTTCAGCGTTCCGCTCCCGGTGATGCCGCTCAGAGTCCTGGGTTGTATCCCATCTCGCTCCTGAGGAATTCCGTTTCTCCGATCACACCCTTACCTTGACCCCCACCTTCCGCTCCCCACTTCTCATCTTCACAACCTTGTCTAATCCGTTTCTCACCCTCTAGGTGGAGAATGGCCCCAGTCCCAAGGTTCCAGAGATGGGGCTGCTGCTGATAGGGCTGCAGCTCCTGCACGCCAAGTGGGACCCGGTAGCTGGGGCCGTGCAGGACAGCTCATCCAGCCAGCCCAGCCCTCTGCCTCCTGTCAGCGTCAGCGCCGGAACCCATCGCGCCAGTGCCGGGCCAAGAGCCGCTGGTCTGGTTGTGTATTCTTGTCCTGTGTACCTGGCAGGGCCCCTTGGCACCGCTAAGCTGCACAGCAGGAACATCCTGATGCATATTCCTCTACCCACGAAACTCAGCCTTGCCACCTGTATCCAGCGGAGAGTCCATGTGTGCAGCCCACCATTGCCCTGAGCTCTAAATAAAATGGTTGTGATCCCATGAAGGACTGATGGGCTCTGGAAAGAGAATGGGGTATGCACAGAAGGCAAACTATGACACACACAAGTGTACACAAATGAGGAAAGAAGAGGTATATTTTCACTAAAGAAGAAGGGAGCAAGGGCCTGGCAACTAAGGAGAGGAGTGGGTGCACTTCTAAAGTGGGGCTGGTGTTAGTCATTTACCAAAAGGATAAGGCAGATCTGGGAGAGGCTAACACACTGAATCCTGAATCCTTTTCCAGCTCTCTGTTTGGTCTTAGAATTTGTGCTTAATCCCCAAGAGATATTTTGGAAGGGAGAACATTAAAACTCAAAATGCTTTCTTAAGGCATTTACTGATATTACTGGAAATGTTCCAATCCTGTGCTACCACTCACACCACATCATCACCCATGAAGTGTTCTCTAAATGACTCATAGACATGAAAAATAAAAGCTGAGTAAGACAAAAGGTCCTTCCAGGCATGGTAGTGTAGGTCTGTCATCCCAGCACTCAAAAAAAGTGAAGGTGGTTTGAGCCATACAGTTAGATCCTGTCACAGAAAGAAAAGGAAAAAAGAGGAAGAAAAGCCAACAACAACAAAAACAGGGACGGAAAGTCAAACAATTCTGTTTCTTTCTTCCAAAAATTATTTATTCAGCACTCATCCACACCAGGTGTTCTTCCAGGCACTTACGAAGTTGTTCTAATGAAAGGCAACAGGCACTATACAGTCAGCATAAATATATACTTTGGATGATTTTGGAATGTTATAAATAAAACCAAATAGGTTAGTGAGTGACTAAAGGAGAGTACTTAATACAATTAAAATGCTCAAGGAGGTCTTCTTGAATATGAGCTACGTCAAGGTCTAGAAGGAATATTCCAATAAAGCCCTCAGTAGATGATGAAGTCTTGAGGCAATAGCAACCACATAGTATCTGAGGAACCACACATATTGAGCAAGGAAGTGTATTGGAGATCTTTCTCACAGTGCCAGTTAGCAGGGAAACCTGCAGTGAATACCAGTCTTCAAGTGAAGTAATTTAAGTGAGAGATTATGGAGCTTGGACAATGATTATAGCATGGTAATGGAGAAATAACCAATTTAAGAAATATTCTGGGGCCAGGCATGGTGGTGTATGCCTATAATCCCAGCACTGGGGAGGCTGAGACAAGAGGATTACCGTGAGTTCAAGGCCCACCTGGGCTACATGGTGAGCTCAAGGGTAGTCTGAACTACACAGTGAAACCAGGTCTCAAAAAAAAAAAAAAATTGAGGAAAACCAGCAGGACTGAGGGATTGAGAGTGGGTAGTGAAGAAGGGTCTCCAGTGACTTGTAGGTTTGAGGCTTGAGCAACTGAGATCATGATGTCATTGAGACAAAATTTGAGGGCGTAAGAAGTTGGAGGTAAGTCATCGCTAGTTGCATGACTGAATGCTGTTTCCAGGGCAAGGCTGTGACTAGAATAAGGCAAAGCTAAAGGTCTCAAGCACCAAACTTTATTAGGTACAAATTAGTTTCCTTGCAGGGGATATAGTTCGGAAGTAAAGCACTTGTCTAGTATGTAAGAGGTTCTGGGAATTGAACCCAGAACTACACACACACAGACACACACACACACACACACACACGTTAATTCCATTTGTGTGTGGCTGGGTTGCAACTCCAGAACTGGAGGAAATGTAAACAGATGTGTATACTGAAAATCATTTTTTGTAATATTTTTACATGCAGTAACTCAGCTGACTGAAGTGCCACTGATCTCCTTAACCACTGAGAGGCAAAAGGTTCTGTGTTTCATTACGTTTTACCTGGCCAACCAGAGGGATGGCTGTTCCTGCAAAAGAGACATTAGTAGAATACTAAAAAACATCCTTTTGGAGCCTAGTGTGGTGGTATATGCCTGCAATCTCAGCACTCAGGGAGGGTGAGACAGAAGGATTAAGCCCAGATTACAATTTAGCAATTTAGTAAGACCATGTTTCAGAGTTTTAAAAAATGATTTTTTAAAAAAAGGCTTAGAGGGGCTGGGGATTTAGCTCAGCGGCATAAGCGTCTGCCTTGAAAGCAGGCAGTCGTGAGTTCGATCCCTGGTACCGATAAAAAAGAAAAAGACAAAAAAAAAAAAAAAAAAAAAAAAAAGGCTTAGAATGTAGTTCAGTACAAAGAGCCTGGGTTCAGTTCCTGGTGTGTATGCATGTATTATGTATGTATGTATGTATGTATGTATGTAAGCATATATAAAATACACTTAATTTTTAATTTTAAAGAGAATAAAACCAAGCAAAATAAAACAGAATAAAGCCAATCAAAACTAAAGAGTAAGTGATACAGGATTTTAAAATAACAAGAAATCAACAATGGCCACCATAATTCTTGCCATCTTCAAAACAGTTGCCCATACCATCAGACATAGGAAAATCAAACAAAACAGAATAGAACCAATAAAAACAAAACAGTGAACACAATGCAGGACTTCAAGACAAGATAATAGTAAATCCAAAATAGCTACCACAGTATATCTTATTATCTTTGAAATAACTTCCCATGCCATCAGATATAATAAAACCAAACACGACAAAATAGAATAAAACCAAACAAAAGCAATGAAAATGATATAGGACTTCAAAACAAGATAATAGGGAATTAACAATGGCTACCACCTTCAGAAGGAGATCCCCCATAGATGCTGTACTGCGTATTGTTATCCTCTAAAATACATAATCAGGTTACTGGCTTTAGGCAGGCAAAGTCAATGAAATGCAATTTCATTGTTAAACACTACAAGCATTAAATTGCATTTAATAGCTATCATCTCAGTCTGTGTTTCCCTGGACCAGCTGGTCACCCAGGGGAGCGGGGAAGACCTTGGCTCTTCTTGTCTCTCAGCCCGAGCCCAGAAGGGGTTGGCATCTGGTTGTCCTCCTCATGGCCTGTGGATGATGCTGACTCACAGGAATGGGCTGGAATATGGTTGTTCTCCCACAGCCTGTGCAAGGAGCTGACTCACAGGAAGGGGCTGGCTTCTTGTTCTTCTCCCTGTGGCCCACACATATAAATAGACTTTGAAAAGAAGGAGGAAAAAAACAAAAATGCCTAGCTTCTTCCAATATACAGTGGAGAAAAAAATAAGGGTGAAATTTGTGGGAAAAATTAGTATATCAGGGATGACAAGTTTTAGATGTTCACATTTGTGAGAAAATTTGTGATCTTGTTCTGTATACTATCTACATAAATAAATACCAAAATTCTCATTGACTTGTGTTCTTTTACTTATCTAAAATATATTTCTTTATGCAAGTTTCAATCTAATTTGAAATCTTCATTCAGCAATTACATCAAATGGGGAAATGCCTGAAATAGAAAAGTGCCACTTTCATCTACTAATACCTACAAATTCCTAGTATATATTATTATTATCCTCTAAAGAAACAAACACAAATTCAGAAATTCTCCAAGGTCACATAGAAAATGATAACTTTAAACCCAGTTATTTGTCTCTAGAATCCATCACCTCTGTAGTGTTCCATTGCCTTTGTCACATCCAGTGTTGGAGACAGAGTAGAAAACAAGACTCTTGCAGTATTGGTAGAGTACAGTGGTGAAGCTACTCTGGGGGCAGGAGTTGGGTGCTGACATTGTTTAGTAAAATTAATTAAATATATTATGTTCTAGCAATTCCACTCCTGGTGTTATATCTCAGAGGGTCACACACAAACCAAGTTGGTAAGTACCCTCTCCTATTTTGCTTTCTAAAATAGTTTGTGTAGGATTGATTTCCTTGGTGGACAGCATTTGCCAGTAATGTCACTTTTCTGTTTTGTTTTTGGGGAAATTGGGGGGGGGGCTTTTAATTCTATTTCTTCAGTAGATAGCAGGCTATCAGGTTTTCTACTTCTGACTGTTGTGGTGGCATGCATGGGTAATCTCAGCACTTGGGAAGCTGAGGCAAGAGGATTGTCACAAGTTTAAGGGTAGCCTGAACTGCAAGGTGAGAACTTTCTTTTCTTTCTTTTTTTTTTTTGGTCTTTTTGAGACAGGGTCTCACTATACAGTTCAGGCTGGCCTTGAGTCCACTTTGTAACCCAGGGTGGTCTCGAACTTGTAGTGATCATCCTGCCTCAGTCTCCCAACTGCTAGGATTATTGGTGCATGCCAGCATGCCCAGTTTCTAGTCATGTCTTCTTTTTTTTTTTTTTTTTTTTCTTTTGTCTTTTTCGTTTTTACCGGTACCAGGATCAAACTCATGACTGCCTGCTTGCAAGGCAGGCACTTATGCCGCTGAGCTAAATCCCCAGCCCCCTCTAGTCATGTCTTATAAAGAAATAAAATATTTAGAGAAACTTTTACATTTATGTGGATATTTATCATTTCTGGTGTTGCCTTTTTTGTGGATCTAAGTAACCATCTGGTATCATTTTTCTTAGCCAAAAGAACTCACTATTTCATAATTCAAATCTGTTACTAATAAGTTTTTTGTTTCATTACCCCAGCTTCCAGCAACTTGAAAAGTCTTTGCTTTCACTTACAGTGTGAGTATGGGAAACTACTAATCTGCCTGATGTAGAATTCTAGATTAACCATTTTTTAAAAGTACTTTGAATATGTTATTCCAATGTCATCTGTTCCCCATTGCTTTTGATGAGAAGTCTGCTTATAATCACATCCTTGTTCCCAGTACATGTGTCTTTTTCTTCAGTGTTTTCACTTATTTTTATCTCTCTCTCTGTAAACAATTTATTTAACTGAAATGGACTTCCACTTATCTAACTGAAGTGACTTCCATTTTAATTTGATACATCTTTTCCCCATGGTGATTCACAGGATCTTCAAGCCAAAAGAAATATTTCATAAATATTTGACCATTTGGTTACACACCTACAGAATACCTCAACAATATCTTTCAGCAAGAAAAACACTGAAGAGTAAAGACCTGATACAATTAACCAAGTAGAATGAAAATCTGCTCCAAGTATTTGTCTCTGAAGTAAAGGCACCACACCTGTTCAATTAAGAAAACCATCTTTACAACACAGGATGATTTTTTTATTGTTAAGTGGGGCCTAGAACACTTAGCCACCAATTAGGTTACCAAATGGCAGAGCTCCATCAGCAGAGTATGCCATGAATTCATAGGGAACAGGGTCCAGCAACTCAGGCTCCTTCCCATTGGTTCTCAGAAAATGCCTTTCTCTGTGGGGGAGGGGGGGGCCCCCCCGTCTGGCGCTTTAGTTGAACTCAGGTACCTTTCTCTTTGGCCTCCTGATTTTCCTTATTATTCTTGACATATTTCAGGAAGCTATTGCGACTCTTTGAGTGTTTAGTATGCTCAATACACACATTAATCCTCTTAACAAGTATCTTGCCCTTAACTTGCTTGTTCACACCAGTGCCAACAGCATATTGGGTAATACTGAAGACTCCTCCAGTTTTTCCATGGAGACATTTATGTGGCATTCCTTTTTGCACAGTACCCATTCCCTTGATGTCTACAATGTCACCCTTTTTGTAGATTCCCATGTATGTGGCCAAAGGAACAATTCTATGTTTGCTAAAAGGCCTAGAGAATATACACTGGGTTCCCCTCCTCTTCCTCATTGTGTTCATTATTTTGGAAAATTAATGAAGGATGGAGGTTCTGGCTGAAAGAAAGCTATATTTATCCCTTATACAACATTTTCTCAGCAATTTTTTTTTTAAAACAAGGTCTCAGTGAAAGGGCATTGTGGCTTACACCTGTAATCCCAGCACTTGGAAGGCTGAAAATTTGAGGCTAGCCTGGGCTACAAAGTGAGTTTAAGGCCAGCCTGAACTGCATAGTGAGACCCTGTCTCAAAAAGAACAAAAAAAAAACAAAATAAGTCTCATCATGCAGTTCAGGTTGGCCTTAAACTTGTGACAATCCTCTTACTTCAGCCTCCAAGTTCTAAGATTACCAGCATGTGCCACCACACCTGGTTTTTCTCAGCAATGTGATAATGAAATTCCTAGATTTTGGAATCATTAAGTTCATGACTTTCAAGACTATTGAAATTTAGGTATTACAGCGTCTTTCTCTCTTGGCCTTCTCCATATAGACATGTTGGGTTGATTAATACTGTCCCAAGGAGGTGAATATTACTGACAAGGTCAGAGAAGTAACAGATAATAAAGGCCCTGTAGGTTACAGTAAGGACTTCGTACTGTAAGTAAGATGGGAAGTTCTTAGAATATTTGGAGAAAAGGGAAAGTGAATTACAGGGTTATAGGTATATATAGCAACATAAATCTTAAGGCATTGTTACATGAGAATAATTTGCAGCAAAATACTTAAACTGATGAGCATAGACACAAAAGTCCTATATAAAATATCGAGCTGATTTCAGCAATATATAAAGTGGGTAAGAACAAACTAAATTTTCTTCCCAGAACTCAAGGTTCATTTCATATAAGAAAATAAACCTATTACTTGCTTCATTAATGGGGTAAAAGTAATTAGATAAGCTAGATGTGGTGATTCATGACCATACTCTCAGTGATATCTCAGTGGTGTGGAAGTTGTGGCAGGAGGTTCATAAGTTCAACCCAAGCCTTGGGCTGGGGATTTAGCTCAGTGGCATAAGCACCTGCCTTGCAAGCACATGGTCGTGAGTTTGATCCCCGGTACCGATAAAAAAAAAAAAAGTTCAACCCAAGCCTTAAGTTAGTGACTTAGGAAGACTCTGTCTGACCAAAAAAAAAGGAGAGGGAAAGGGCAAAGAATGTAGCTATAATCCAGTATAGCTATAATCCTAGCACCTGGGAGGCTGAGGTAGCAGGATAGCTTGGGAGTTCAAGAACAGCCTGGACTACAAAGTGAGTTCAAACCAGCATAGTGAGATTCTGTCTCAAAGACAAAAAAAAAAAAAAAAAAAAAAAAAAAAAGGAAGAAAGAAGACAAAGGAAGGAAGAAAAAAGAAAGCAAGCAAGAAAGGAAGGAAAGGAAAACAACTTATATCCCACTCACATGAAGCCAAAATCAGGTATTCCTAATTAGTGGATAAGTCTCTTAAGCCTGCTTGTGGATCCTGGCTCCTTCTACCTTTAAGCTCTCAAGGTCACATACTCAAAAGCCTCAAATTGGCCAAAATGGATATAGCGTGGGAAACTATAATAAGGAAATTTAATGGCCCAAGTCTTGAAGTTTCATTACTATCTACTAGACTCACATGTCCACACTTATGAAGGAAGCTGGGAAGTATTGCCAAATGCATTATGGGGGATACAAGAGGGACCAATTTGGAGCCATGTGAGCATAGAGACAGGCATCAGGGCAAAGAGAAAAACCCTTCTCTGGGTCTGGCTGAGCTGTACTTTCAGTTTGGCAGGACAAATTTGCATTAAGTTTGCCATGGGTTCCTTGAAAGGCAGTTTTGAGTATGTTTAGGGACCATTCCCTGGAGTGCTAGGTGAGGCACTTTAGCACTAGATGATTGTGGATACCATTAGGAACAGAGAAGTAATGGAGGCTACATACCACTTGCAGGCAATCGAAGTTGGTTACTGCACAAGTCCCCATGGGGAGCTCAGAGAGCCCCAGTACACTACATAAGGGGAATTTAAATGTTCGTCAGTCTTTGAATGCTTGTCTCAGTGACATATTGGTGACACAATAATCACCTAAGTGTAGTCTTTTTTTTCTCTAATATGATCTCTCTCATTCTAATCTAGAGCCAACACAGAAGGTTAAAGAATGAGAGACCATGTTCCTCTAGCCCTGAGCTGAAGAGAGAGCAGCTTGGAACTGGATTAGCTGCTAACAAGTTGCTGCGATAGAGGAAAAATGAGGAAGGATTTAAAGTATTAATATTTTAGATTGAGGGGCTGGGGATTTAGCTCAGTGGCATAAGCACCTGCCTTGCAAGCAGGTGGTCGTGAGTTCGATCCCCGGTACCGATAAAAATGAAAAAGACAAAAATAAAATAAAATAAAATTTAAAAAAAATATTTTAGATTGGACTTTCACCTTATAGAGAATAACAGAACATATTTATACAAAGAGTACTACTAACATAGGGACTCTTAAAGTGAAACCAAAAAGAAAGGTACAGTCTTTGGGAATCTATGACAATCCCAAGAAATCTAGCAACATGTAGGGTGCCTTGCTTAATCAAGAACACATCTTGGATCATAAGATTCAAGAAACCAAAAGAAACAAAAAGGATCTATTTTTGTTTTTGGTACTGGAAATCAAACTCTCAACCTCATGCTTGCCAGGCAGGTGCTGTGCTATTGAGCCATAATCCCTGGCCCAAGGATCTAGTTATCAAGTCTTTTTTTTGTTTTGTTTTATTTTTCTTTTTGGAGACAGAGTCTAACTATGTATGTTAGGCTGATCTCAGGCTTTCCAGTCTCCTGTTTCAGCCTCCCAAATTCTGATATTACAGATATGTACCACACCTGTAGTAAGGCTTTTTTTCTGGTGGTAGTGGTAATGTTGGATATTGAACTCAGGTCTTTCCATGGAGCTACATCTCTAGCTCTGTCTTTTATTTTGAGACAGGTTCTTGCTGAGTTACTTGATTCTGTCGCAGTTTCCTAGAGTGCTAGGATTATAGGCATATACTACCATGTTGGTCTGAAGGTATTCTTGTTTAGTTTTCTTTTGAGTTAGGGTCTTGTTATGCAGTTGAGGCTGGGCCTCAAACTTGCAGCAATCCTCTTGTTTCAGCCTCCCAAGTGTTGGGATTATAGGTGTGCACATCATGCCTGGCAGATATTAAGTGGATTTTTGTGGGTCACAATCAAAATTAGTATTTAACTTGTGTGATGTGTGATAGAACTGTGGGGACCAATGGCGGCTGAAAAGATAAGAAGTATGAAATATAAATGACCTTTATTTTGAGAATGTGGGGAGAGACACCCCCGATCCTCTGGGGCATGACATCTCCCCCTGGGGTCAGCGATCTCTCTGTGGAACATGTGGAGTGGGGGCATATAAGTAGTCTAGGTTTGGGGTGGAACCTAAGGGGCATTAGTGATGCATAGGTAGCCCATTGGCACTTGTTTGGCACCAGAGGTAAATTCCTAGAGGTGGGGGAGATGGAGCTCCTTGGTTCCACCTGAGGCTTTACCAGCTACAGTGTCCTGTCTGGGCCAAAACTCTTTCATATCCCATCTTATGATTATGAAAAGGGGTGAAGATTTCTTTCTTTAACTGATTCCTGCTGTAAAGGGCACTGTACTGGGGTCTAGGGGAGTCGACGGGATGACAGTTGATGCCCAGGTAGAAGCTGGTGCCAGGTGTTTTAGCCAGGACAACTTCACTGGTGAATGCCAGTCTAACATATGTATGTTAGACTGGAAAAACAAAGAGACTAGATGTTATGAGGAGGCATGGTACTGTCATATTTAAGGACCCAGGTGAGGTAAAAGGAAAGGTGCCTTTGATTTAGACATGTCATTATATCAGGACCACGTTAAGGTAGGATCATTGTCACAGTGAGGTAGAATTCTGAAAAATAAATGTGGGGTTAGAAGGAGTGCAGTTATGAGAGGTGACTACCACTCCCCCATCTGAAAGGGTAAAAGTTAAAAGGGTAAGGCTTGTCTCTGGTATGCATGATGTTGGAGTCTGTAGGAAATACTGTTAAGAGTCCTGCTATAAAAAGAATAAGAAATTAGAAACCAAACTGGATAACAAAACATGACAGCCTGAGAGTCGTGGCTGTGAGGCCTTGGTAAGACAGAGATGAGTAGGCAAAAGGATGGTTAGATCTAGGGCCTGAGTGATGTGAAACCAGAATGGCAGTCTAGCAACTTTGATCACTGTTGAGGTTGCCAAGAATATCAGGTATGGGTCACTGTAACCTGGTTGTAGTCCTTGGAATGATTTTCTGTAATAGGACTTTAGCAAGTATATCAGCAGTCTCCCTGGTTGTGTGAAAGACTATTATGTATCCTGAAAAAGTATAAACAAAGTGAGAAGACAAAATTTATCTGTCAGTCTTGACCAGGGTTGTCTGAGAAATTGGTGAATAAGAAAGGAAGGTGGTGGTCTTATATCACTGAGGAGAGGTTTACTAGCGATAACAGGTGTAAGCTGTTGAGGCCTCAGTGTGTCTAAGTCAGCCTGTGTAAACACAAAGGAAGAAAAAGCATTTTTAAGATTTAGGACTGAAGAGTGAGTGGTGGAGGGAAGATTTGGCACCACTGGGTGGATTGGGAAGAAGCAGTCTGGGACCTGCACAAAATAGGCCCTGTTTGTAAATGGCATAGGTTGACCTTTAATACCTGCTAGAGGTTGAGGACTTAATATAGCAGCCTAAAAACTCAGGAAGAACTCTGTACATATGGCCTCTATGTCCACAAATATAGAGAATGTCTTACCTGAGACTTTTAGTGGGACTTGGACTCTGAGATGGACACCCATAAAGGGGACTGTTGTTGGCCCTGAGCCCGTCAGTCTTCAGCAGCAAGTTTAAGCAGATCTGTCAGTGATGAGTCTGGCACTGTTGGCATTTCCTGTGAGGGCTAGAGCTTACCCACTCTCTGGTGGCTAGGACAGTCCAGTAGCCCTAGGCTAACGTCTCAAAGAATGCCAGGATAGGGCACTCTCTTGCCCAATGTCTTCTGCTGCATTTGAGGCATGGTCCATGGCGGGGGGAGGGGAGGCAGCTCCATCTTGTGTCGGTTTACCTGTCTCAGAACTCCAAGTGTCACTGTTATCTCTGTTGTTGAAAACATGAAAAACCATATAAATGTCTCTATGAGGTTTGAAGGTCAAGTTTTGCCTTTTTGTTTAGGATCTGGACTACAGTAGAAGGTATCTGTAGAATTAAGTAAATATGCAGGAGTCAAATATAATCAACAGGGTATTTTTAATTTTAGTAATGACTTCCCATAAGGAGGACAGGTCCAGAGAATTTTAGGATCTGACATGTCATTTATGTCATATATATAAGTATCTCTTTATGTTATTAAAATGTCTAACGCCATCTGATTTTTGGAGGATGGCCTGTTTAATTAATTTTTTATCTTTTTATTTAGGAGAACAATCAGCTACGGTGTTATTTAATATCACTTATCAGTTGAATATAGTTAATTATGGCTCGGTGGAGGGCTGAGCGATGGCAGACAGGTTGGGAAAGGTTTAAGTTTGGCTTTTGCTGCAGTGTTGGTTTTGCTGTTTTGTATATATCATATAACCCTTGTCTTGGAAAAGAGCTAGTAGTTCCCAGCAAAAGGAATGTATAATTATTTTTTAATTTTAGTTGTTAAACATCTAGATTGTACATCTCTAAGCGTATATCTGGATCTGAAAGAAAACATTTGTCATGGCTGGAACAAAAAAAAAAGGCAGCAGAAACTATCTGAATTTTATATCTGAAAACACGAATACAGCATCAGATCAGCAATATAATGAGTTGTCTGCTACGCCTGTCTGTGCTGGCAGACAGAGCCGCACTTGAGCTTGGGGGCAGTGACTGGTCTGGCAAGCGCAGAGCACACCCAGCATGGGAGCAGTGCACGCAGAGTGAAGGCGGGGCGAGCACTGGGATGCAGGGAGCCGGGCGGGCTGGGACTGCCCCTGGAAATGCAGTAGGCGGTGGCAGCGCACTGGTGCGTGGCACATGGGGGGCAGAGCTGGGAGGCGGAGTTGGGACGTGGCTTGAACCTGGAACTGTTTGCAGGGCGCATGGATTAGGGTGCAGCATTAGAGCCAAACCCCATGTGGACCTGGAGCACAGCATGAGTCGGCGTGAAAGCCGAAGCAGCCTGCACATATCTCTCAACACTGTTTGGGCTCATTTTCCATCTCGGCCGGGCAATGAGTCGGTGCGTGGCAGGGGGAGGGAAAGCAAGAAGGAAACAAAAGGGACGCTGAGAAAGCTCCGAAAGGCTGCAAAGAAAGACACTATTATCTCTTTAAGAGTGGGGAGGAGATGGGAAGAGCGGGAAAGGATGCACATTCCCAAAACAAAGGCTTAAAGATAGAAAGTTTTGTAAACTTGTGGTCAGTATGATAAGCCATAGATAGATATGGTTTTTTTGGGGGGGGGGACAGGAAGTGGTCCCCAAGATAAAATCTGGTGTGGGGTCTGGCCCATGGAGTTATAGCCAGATGAGGCAACGAACCGTGGTCTAATAAGTGTAAGTCATCACTTTTTACTCTAGACTGATTGGTATTATCTGGTTCCAAAACTCGTAATAATTGGCCGTCGCCAATATACGAGTGGGTTTCATGTGGGTTTAGTAACAGCTCTGCCCATGAGAACTTAAAAAGCTCTGAAGAACATGAGAGTCTCTCAGTGTGGACACAGGCTGGCCCAGGGAAACTCTGCCTTGGGCTATCTGAACCCAAAGGACCTGAGAGTCTCCCAGTGTGGACACAGGTTGGCCCAGAAAGACTCTGCCTTGGGCTATCTAAGGACGTGAAGAGTGTCACTCAAACCCATGGAAAGGGGGAGAAAACCCACCTGGGGCCTGGCCCAGCAGCAATCTCCGGGGCTTGCTCACCTGTGGTAAACTGGGTCAGTGTTGTTTGCAAGCGAGCAGTGACAAGTTTACAGCTCCTGAGTGTAGAAAGTGAGGAATCAATGCAGGATGAAGTCCGGTTCTGGTCCTGAACGGCAGGGGACTCAAACTGGGAAAGCCCCAGGAGTCTCTCATCTGCCATTCCCGGTCAGGAAACCATATGATACAACTGTGGGGGACCGGTGGTGCGACTGAAAACATAAGAAGTTTGAAATATAAATGACCTTTATTTTGAGAATGCGGGGAGAGACACCCCCCCATCCCCTGGGGCGTGGCATCTACCCCCGGGGTCAGCGATCTCTCCGTGGAACATGTGGAGTGGGGGCATATAAGTAGCCTAGGTTTGGGGTGGAACCTAAGAGGCATTAGTGATGCACAGGTAACCCATTGGCACTTGTTTGGTGCCAGAGGTAAATTCCTAGGGGTGGGGGAGATGGAGCTCCTTGGTTCTGCCTGAGGGTTTACCAGCTACAGTGTCCTGTCTGGGCCAAAACTCTTTCAATGTGAGCTTTATTTTCTCCAATTTAAAATTCACAAGGCAAGTAGAAAGTGTAAACTGATCCCTGGAACCGATAAAAATGAAAAAGACCAAAAAAAAAAAAAAAAAAAAGAAAGTGTAAACTGGCATCCAGCAAGATAAATATTTAAATCACCTTAAAGGCAGGAATCAAAAGGTTTGTAGTTAAGAGTACGGTAGTTAAATGCTCCTAGAAGATACATGCAAGATAACTGTTGTAACACTCCAAAACTCATTAGTTTAATGCAGCAGGTTTACTTTTTGTTCAAAATCCAATGTAGATATTCCCAGTCAAGCACCTCTTCTCCAAGTAATACTTCATCTATGCACACTTCTCCGTCATCATTCTGTTACTTTAAAACATGTGCTTCAGGAAGCCATGGGGGACCTGGGAGGAGAAACAAGACAATTCACACTTCCTGTGAGCCAACTGCACAGGGGTTGGGAGACAAGAAAAGCTCCCATCCTGCAACTATTTGGTTCAGGCTGGTGTTAGGCTGGTCTTGAACTTGCAACGACCCAACTCCCTCCCAGAGTCCTGGAATTACAGGAGTATGACACAATGCCTGGCTTCTTCAGTCTTGTTTTTGAGATCCAATATTGTTCTATTTTTTGTTTTATTTAATGTTCTGTTTTGATTGGTTTTATTCTATTTCATTATGTCTGAAGTAATTCTGAAGACAACAAGAGGCATTATGGTAGCCACTGCTGATTTCCTATTGTCCTGCTTCGAAGTCCTTTATCACTTTCATTGTTTTGACTGGATTTATTCTGTTTGGTTTTATTGTTTAAAATACACTCTCCATTCTTCTGATATGTTAGATATTATTCTGTTTTGTTTTGTTTGATTTTATTATGTCTGATGGCCTGGACAGCTTTTTTTTTGGGTATGGGGGATCAACCTCAGAACCTCTCACACTTGCCAGTCAGGCACTTAAGTCACTGAGCTAAGTCCCTAGTCCCAGGACAGATATTTTGAAGAAAACAGAGACATGGTAGCCATTGTTGACTTCTTATTATCTTGTTCTGAAGTCCTGTATCGCTTTTATTGCTGTTTTGATTAGCTTTATTGTTTAGTTTTGTTTTAAAACAAAATGTGCTTTAAAGTCATCATGGTACGCACAATAGGGAATAGAAGACTATAGAAAAGCCTCAACCACCCGGTAGTTACCTTTGTCTAGCATTAAAACATCATTTTTCTCTTCATTGGTAGGGTCTACTCACAGAGCCCTGCCTAGGTGCATGGAGCTCGGACATATAGCTCACCCAGGTATCCAGAAAGAATACATTTTGATGAGCACCTAGTGAGTTTCTTCTACAGAAAAGAATAGGTGCTATCAGTGTTTGGATTTGGAAGACGAGAATAAGTTCATTAGGGAAAGTATATTCGAGCAAGGCCAACTAGCATGTAATAGGCCTTGTGGTACGCTTGGGATGAGAAATAAAACAGAAAGCTTGTGTGGCCTGAGTTCTAAGAAAGGAGAGGCGTGGGTTAAGATGCAGTTGGAAGGCAAAGCCTGGGCAAGATCACACAGGGCCTGGGAAGCAGTCTTGTCTTTTGTGCTTCATGCAGTGAGAATTCATTGAAAGATTTTTACACAGAAAAGTGACATAATCTGATTTACATTTTAAAGAAATCACTTGGCTGTGAGGAAAATAAATGGCTTTGGAGAGAAGAAGCAAACAGATCAGTAAGACAGTTATTACAGTGATCAAATGTCCTAGAACCAGGTGGCTGGTCACATAAGTCATCTGGGAAGGAGGATGACCTGGAAATGAAAGGCTCTAATTACTAGGCTGTCAGAGAAAAAGTATAGAGCTTCTGTGCTTTTATGTAACCAACGAGTGTGTGGGGCTACGCTGTCTCTGCCAAGAGTAGGCTATGTCTTTTGGAACTGTGTTCCCTTAGGATTCTATTACTGGAACAAAAGAGCAGACCAGTAACTGTAGAAGGAAGAACTGTGTCCTGGGAGACTCTAAAAGAGATGCTGAACAAGCAAAAGGCACAGACTGACATCCAAACGCAACTCTGCTGTCTCTCACACCCCCTGCAAACTTTATTCATACTATATACTCTTTCCCTATTGGAAAACAGTTGCAGTAAGACTGACATTCTTAGATAAACACACTCTCAGGGGATTAAAATGTCTACTTCTGTTTACCAATGAACAAATCATCTATACAATAGCTTTCAATCCTTTCCCCTTCTAGGGCTTCCCTGCCTAAGTTAAGGAGTCTGTCTTTTTTCTTTTTTTCTTGTCTTTTAGGGTCTCACTATACAGTTCAGGCTGGACTTGATCTCACTTTGTAGTCCAGACTGGCCTTGAACTCACAAAGATCCTCCTGCCTCAGCTTCCTGAGTGCTGGGATTACAGGTATACACCACCACGCCTGGCTCAAGGAGTCTGCTTTGAGGAAAGCCAGGATGCTCCTTGTCTTTTACACCTCCTGTCCATCTACTAACTGCTGTTGATTATTCTGTGGCCAAGTATTGAGAGAGAGAGAGAGAGAGAGAGAGAGAGAGAGAGAGAGAGAGGTAAAGTGGTAAAACAGGCCTGGCAGATACTCAAAGGGGAAATTCTGGTTGTCTCAATATCCTGGCTGACACTGAAATACATTTCAACTAAGGTGGTCCCTTATGATTCCCTCTTTGGCCCACATGGCATGCTCTACTAGCTTCTCTGTGCTGAGGTCTCCTTGGTTCTTCATAAAGGTCCTGCTATTACAGGCAACTGAGTTAGATAAAAATATAGGCAGGCAGACAGGACTAGGTTCTTGAAGGAGCCAGTGTAGAAGGGCAGATACCTTGCAACTGTGGGGGAAACAGACACCTCATGCTGTGGGCCAGGCCTCAAGACAAAAGATCAAACAAATACACCTACATTCTAAGGATTGATATTCTAAATAGTTCTCTTGTCACCTTGAGGAGGCCAGGAGTCATCATTCCAACCCACTACTGGAAGAGTCACTGCTCTGCTTGCTATGATGTTACTCACTTCCCCATTTGTCCCTCATTTAATCAGTTTTACCTGAGCAATTAATTTCATTGGTTGACCATAGTTCTGTCCTACCTTATGCATTCTCATTTTGCCCATCTTACCTCACAGTTTTGCCCTATGAAAGTTTCTAGAAAACACAGTCTTTGGCAACCCACTCAGGACTCCTCCTGTCTCTCTTTTTCTCAGACAGCTTTCATTCTCTCAATAAATGTATTCTACTCTTAACTTCCATATTCTGCTCTTAACCTCATTCTTTGATTTTAGAGAACACGAATTTGTACCAGATGGGAGTTTCATTCCCTTGTATTATACTAGGCTGGCCATGATGGTACACACCTGTAATCCCAGCACTCTGGAAGGCTAAGCAGGAGAATCACGAGTTCAAAAACGGTCTGTGCACCTTGGCAAGACCCTGTCCCAAAAGAAAAATTAAGAAGGGATGGGGGTGTAGTTCACTGTCCTGGTTCAACCCCCAGTACCAAAACCAAAAAACCAAAATGGATAAAACCTTTTTGAATAGGATCCAAGGGTAACACAGAGGAAACCTTCAAACATTGCTTGCCAGGGCAAATTTTGGGAATGCAGCCCAATGATAAAGCAGCAGCCCTTCCCTGGTCTCACGACAAAAAGTCAGTGAACTCTTGCTGGCCCTGTACATTTCCAGTGCAAGAATCAGACTCCACTCTCACCATTGCTCAACTGTACAAAACCTCATGCTTCTGGGCATAGTCCCAGTGCGGAGTCCCTAAGTAGACTTGAGATAAGAAAACAGAAACTGACACCCTCAAAGAAGGTGCTAGGTTTAGTAGATCTGTTGTATACTGAGAGAAACAAGTTCTCTGCAAAGTAATCTTGCATCAGTCTCCTACCATCCATATTTATGAACCTTAAGTGTGTTATCAATGCTGCCAGCACTCATACTGTGTTCCCTGGTTCTTTTACTGTTTACTGTCTTAGAAATGATACTCTCTCCAAAAACTCAATCACCTCTCCCTATTGTCATGAGCAACAAATTTGCTTCCAGCCTCACTGAGAAAAATCAAAGCAAACAGAAAGGAACTTCTGGGACCCTGTGTTTTCAATGCACTGAAAAAGTTTCAGTGCACGGCACTGAGAGTCATTGCATTTCACAATCCAACTACCCTCTCCCACTCCCAGTCCTCTTCTTCCTACTCTTGCCCATTCTTCAGTGGGTTTTGGTCACATGGTTTTCCTGTTCCTCAAACAGTGGGTGCGGGTTTTTTTTTTTTGTACTAGGGATCAAACTCATGCCCTCATACTTGCCAGGCATGTGCTTATGCTGCTAAGCTATACCCTTGGTCCTGTGCTGTTATTTCTTTTTTTTTTTTTTTTTTTTTTCTTTTTTTTTTTTTTGTCTTTTTCATTTTTATCGGTACCAGGTATCGAACTCACGACCGCCTGCTTACAAGGCAGGTGCTTATGCCGCTGAGCTAAATCCCCAGCCCCTGTGCTGTTATTTCTTAAGGAAATATATACTGTTCTCTCTTCGGTTCAGCCTCTTAATATTAGATACTGAAGCCCAAGTGTGGTCTTGAAAAGTTCATCTGAGCCAGTGCAAAAGCCCACAAATCTTGCAACTATGGGTAGGCAAACACCTCCCACTGTGGACCAGGCTTCAAGACAAAAGATAAAACAAATGCACCCACACTCTAAGGATAAACCTTAAGGATTCACATTCTAAATAGGTATTATATCACTTTGAGGAAACCAGAAGAAACCACTAACCCAGCCTCCTACAGAAAAGACCCTGTTCTGTATCCATGCCAGCTTAATCCTGATTTAATCAACTTTACCTGAGTGATTACACTCATAATCTTATTGGTTGATCATGGTTTGGTCCCACCTTATGAGTTTCTAATTGTTCCACCTTGAACTCTCACCTTGCAATTTTGCACTATGAAAATCCCTAGAAAAAGGCAGGGTCTTTGAGAACCCACTTGGGACCTTCTGTCTGTCTGTCTATCAGACAGAAGCTTTCTTTCTCTCCATAAACATTTGTTCCTAAAACAAACCGTTGTTCCGAAAATTCATTCTTCAATTTTAGAGAATACGAACTCATATATCCAGTAGGTTGGGAGTTTCTTTCCCCTATATCACTACCTTCAGGATCACGGTGATTCATGGGGGCTAGTTATAGGGGCTGGACTAGGACAAGAACCTGGAACTACAGTCAGATCCATAGAGACGTTTACTCAGGTGGCTGTAAGTCAGAAAAAACAAAGACAGAATCCAAATTATGTACGGAGCGGCACACCCACCCCGCTGCTGTCTCCCTGCCTCTCCCTCATATGGGCACATAATGCGCCTACATTAACCATAATCCTCTCCTACTCACGTCATGTACACGGACTTGATGATGACCCATCAGAGATCACCCCATAGCCTCTTCCTGTCCCACCGGCCTGCCCCTGCCTTATAAAAGCCGCGACCACTTTCTCAATAAACGAGGCTTGATTGGACTTCCTCGACTTGTCTCTGTCTCTGTGTCTCCTGCCCTGTCTATGTTAATCCCCGTTCCTTCTCCAGGAAACTGCCCCGCAGATCTGGATTGACCTGCGGGCAGGGTCAAAATTATAAGGAAGCAAAAGCAACAAAGGAAAGCAGACCCCAACTATTCTGCTAAGAATAAGCAAACAAATATTCCAAATGTAGGAATGTGAGTCACATTTGGGGGGAAAATAGAAATATGGAGCTGTAAAAGATGATATCCATCCTACAGTAAGATACTTGATACTTTCCTTGGACTTTATGGCTCATCTCCCATTCGGTTACCCCATGGAGCTCCTCCTGGACCTGTCCCAAGAAGCCTAAGAATCTGACAGGCTGGAGAGGAAGGTCAGGGCATTTCATGTTGGCTACCTGGCAGCCAACTCCACTCACCAGCTTTTACCTCACCATAATATGGAAGGAAGTCTGTCTAGGTTTCTCCACTTTTTTTTTTTTGACAAAGTCTCACTATGTAGTGCAGGCTGACCTTGAACTCCAAGGCAATCCTGCCTTTGCCTCCCAAGTGCTGGAATTACAGGGGTGCACCACCCTGGATACCTCACTATTCTTATGACTTTGCTACCTCTAGTTAAATTCCCAAAGTCCCAGCACAGATCTCATAAGTCAGTTGCTTGTTTGCTTCCTTCTCTCTTTTCTCCTCCTTCCTGTCTTTTAGACAGGGGTCTTACTACATTGTCCATGCTGATCTTACACTCGTAGGCTCAAGCAATCCATCAACCTCAGCCTCCCAAGTAGGTGGGACTATAGGCATATAACTGTCTCCATCTTGTCCCTCTTTCAAATGAAAAGGCAAGGACCTAAAAGCCAATACTTTGAATAGCAACACCAGCCTGCTCAGTTGTTCAAGCCACAAACCTGGAACTTACTTCAGATTCCTTTCTCTCAACCAGCATTGCAATTCCACCAGTTCAACCTAATTTAATCCACAGTAGCCTCAACACAAATCTCAGACTTGGAGTTCTGCAGCACTGCTGCTCTCATCAACTCCACTTAACCAGACACTGTCATTTCTTATCCCTCCCTAGGTAAATAAGTGCACTAGTTGTACTACAAGTGACAAGCTCTGGGGATATAAAGGTAAATATTGTTTCAGAAGACTGTAGCCAAATGCACAAAGCAACCACACCATATTACATACTAAAGGAGTACTCTTCACATGCTTTGAGAACCCAGATGATGAATTAATTCTGTTTTGGGAGTATAGGAGTACAAAACAATGAGAATGTTTACGAAGTTAACTAAACTGGGCTAGTCAGACAAGTACTCAAGAGCACATGCAAAGATACTGTGTAGTAGCTGAATGGTTCACAGTCCAGCCTCCACATATGCCTTTTGACCTACAGCCTGTTTCAGCATCTCCATCCCTTTACTGGAGATACTCAACTGACTCAAAGCCCTGGAACCTATGTCTTCTCAGTGGGCACTCTCAAATCTTGTTCCTGGGAACAAGTGGAAGAGGCTGTATCTTTATCATGAGTTTACGACAGCTCTTCTAGGGGAGTCCTAGACCTGTCATCCTAACTTATCTTCTCCTAGCACTAGCTTTTCCTTGACTACATGCTGATCTAGGTTTACTACAAGGTAGAAAAAATGGATAAACCCCTTTGCCAATGAGCACCCCAACTTCTCACCCCCAAAAAGCATCAATCAGTTGTTTATGAACACAAACCTAGCTCCTTCACTATGCTCCTCCTCCAAGGAAAGCTCTAACTCCATTAACAGTTTCTATATACAGTAACGCATGAGCCTTTTGAAAGGCCTACCTTGAACTCTCCGAGACACTCCCTCAATTAACAAATCTGTTTTTCCTCCTTCAATCTCCAACTTGGTCCATGGAGTCTTCAAAGAACAATAAGGGTTACAACACATAATATCCACAGCTCGTTTATTTATTGAGTACTTTCTATCTTTCCAATCCCAACTATATATTTCCTCAAATAACACACATAACAACACTTTAAAACACGAATTCTATCATCTTCCAAATGAGGAATGTGATACTCAGACACTAAATGGCTCTCAGCTGTAAGGGGCAAATTAGGATTAGAACTACCAAGAAGCAAGAACTTCCTGTCTGTGGTCTTAAAGGCTTGGGAACTATGAATAAGAAGTTGCAGGTGAGCAGAAGCTGATCAGTATAGATCAGAAAAAAGAAGAGCAGAGAGGCCAAGGCAAAAAGCCCATGTGTCTTCTGAGAGATGCAAATCCCAAACCACTTAAGGTGATCTATGATTCCTAGTTATCCTTAATCCTTAGCTTGCTCAAGTATCTAGGTTTCTTCTGAACCAAGAAGTTTTCAGTGGAGCACAGCTGAGCCAGGGTTTTCACCACACCTTGTCCTTGGGACAGAGGAAAGGCAGGTCCTGGCTCATAGCCTGACTAGACACAGTCTTCAGATTTACAGCCTGGAGTCTGCATCCTGGCTCCTGTTTCCGGGGATGTTCAGAGGTCACCTTCGCTTGTAGAGACATGGTTGAAGCTTCAGGCCTGCAAGTTGAGCCTTGGGCCCTACCCGAGGGGGGCCTGTCTTTTCAAAATCAAACAAGAAGAAGTGGCTGTTGGTCAAGTCCTAGGGGTAGAAAAGACACAATGAGCTCCAAATCCTCACCCCAATCCCAGGTCTCTCCATGACCTTCCCAGTGTCAGAAAGCTTCCTAAGGCCCTTAGTGTTATGTCTTTAGGGGACAAAATGTCTGTTCCTGTGCCCATGGCCTTCTTGCTGAACATCATTATCATGAAAGGAGCCACAAGTGAGACAACAATAGGGACAGATTTCTTCGAGCTCTCACCTTGGAGATGACCTTGAAGCCCAGCTTGGTCACAGCCCCTAGAAAGGTCCGAACATCCTCAAAGCGGCTACTGACCTCAGCCACTTTCAGGAGACCCCTGAAAAAGTAGGAAGTTCTTCGTAAATGGGCAGTCACGTGCATGTACATATAAAGACATCTGTGTCCTGGGAGTTCCTACCCTGGCTTCAGCACTCGATTTGCTTCCTCCAGGAAATCCCTGATGTTGGTTCCCATCAGGGAAAGACAAAACACAGCCACATCCACAGACTCATCCTCCAGAGGCACCTGTGTAAAGTGCAGGAGTGTGGAATGAGCCACCCGGTATCAGAAGAAGAAATGTGGCACTGAGTGCTAGAATTGGATACCAGGTGGGAAGGGAGGGAAAGATTAGAGAACAGACTAGATACACAGATTTACCTGGGCCATGTCACACACAGTGACTCTGGGGTCCAGTGAGGCCAAGTCAAAGCAGTGTACAGGGTTCCGGATACTTGAAGCTAGGCGGCAATCTCCACAGCCAAAGTCAGCTACTATCAGTGATGCAGGCCTGGGAGTGGCAGGAGGGGTCACACACTGGTATGGTCTGAGCCCCTGAATGACCTGTGTTGCTTCTCACAGTGTCCAGCCCCCACTTACCGCTGGCGAAGATCCCTGACGATGCGGTCTACTGGCTGTAGTGGCCACTTCTTCACTTGGCTTTGGAAGCCACGATGGTAGAGGAGAAAAGCCTCAGGGTCTTCCTGGAACAGCCGTTGCGCAGCACTGCTAGGCCCTGAGTACAGCTGCTCATTAAGGTAGCGAAATCGGGCCCCATCCAGCCGTTGTGCCATGCGGGCTCGAAGGGCCTCTGCTCGAGCCTCATGGTTGTCTGGTTTGGGGGCAGGAGGCACCTCTGACTCTTCTGTAGAGACCTTGGAGGCCTCAGCAGAAATCTTCTGTGATGCCTGGAGTGGCCGAAATTTGTTCTTGTGTCTCCGCTTGTTCTTCTGCCGGTTCCGCCACTGCTTCCGGGTTAAGGTATTGGGAGGCTTAGAGAAATTGGACTCAGGGTTTGGCTTGGGTGAATCATTTGTAATACTACTCTTCTGGGATTTGAGACCTGCAAGGAGGGAGATGGGTGTTATTTGAGGCACGATTCCCTAAATTCAGAGGCAACCAGCATGACCATACCCTTGTTCTTGAGGCAGACACTATGGCTTGGATAAAAGTCCTTCTTATTGCCTACCCAATCCTAATGGTGTTGTATATACAACCAGCAGACACTACCATCCAGACACATGTACATCCATTGCTACCTGTTTGGTCGACACTGTCTAGGTGCTGGGCAGGAGTTGAAAGAGCCTGTTTCCAGCATTTTTTCTTTCTTTTCTCTTCTTTGGCAGAGTCACTACCCAGAAGAGCTTGTTTGCAGCATTTCTTTTTTTCTACTTTGTGGTCCTCACAGTCACCTTGAGGTGGGCCCAGATTTTGACATTTTTTCCTTTTCTTCCCTATTTTGGCAGAGGTATTAGCAAATGAGGACTTTTTGGGATGTTTCTTCTTTTTTTCTACCTCCTCCTCAGAGTCACTGCTGGGGAGGCTGATGGATTGCTGAGAAAGAGATGCTGCTTCCAGAACTCGTAGGGTGGCCAAGAGCTGACGGTGTCTGGAGCCCTGCAGGAAAGCAAGAGTAGGGGAGGAAAATGGGTGAGGCCTAGACAATAAAGGATGGATGGGGACCTGGTTCAGATACTTTCTAGTCAATGTAACTAGCTTGGGCAGAAAAAACACCTACCTACCCAACCTCATTCAACATGTGACCGACTGGTAATAAAGCTTTCCAGAGGAAATGTGCTAAGGCCGCACACAATCAGACTAAGGTGAGACCAGGAATTCCAGCCCTCCATTTCAGGATTTTGCTTCTAGGTGATACCTTTCTGTGACAGGCACAGAATACAGGAGAAATTCTTGAATACAGGAGAAACAGAATCACACGTATATATTAATATGTTCCAGCCAGCCTGAACCACATGTATAAATGTCCTATCAGGCAGCTCATATCATTGGTGGGACAAAAGGATCTAATCACCGTCACGGGTCTATTTGCTAATGAAGTTAATAAAAAGTCCCCTGATGAGATGGGCATGCATGTACCATGGTGGTTCAAGTCTCCCAGTAGTGAGACATGAGAATACTGCCCCCATCTTGGAAGTTAGTATGTCTCCAGCTACAGGCATGAAAAGGAGGAAACAAAGCAGGTATACTCCACGTTGTAGGCTGACTAAAGATATAAAAAGCTTGAGGAATTAGAGTGGTCCTCACACCTGCTAAAGCTCAAAGGAAAAAGTCTGTAGTTTGAGAGACTAAAATTAGGAATTAAAACCCTAGGGGAGTGGTCCTAGCTGTGGCACTTATCTTGGAGCTTCTCAATTTCACCAACCTTCCTTGGCCACCCAGTCTTTTCTTTTATCAATCTATTCTCTAGATCAACCAAATACTTTTCCAAGGCTGGGGGCGGGAGGGGAGAGGGAAGCTCAGTGGTGGAACACATACTCAGCATACCTGAGGTCTTGGACACTCAACAGCGAAAATGGGCCGAGAACAGGGGAAGTCTTTTCAATACAAGCTTTAAAAAATCACGTCATTGCCAGAAACACTTCATTGACGTCTATCCTCCAAACATGTAAAGCTTCCAATCTATCTCTGCAATTTCAATAGCATCCCCTCTTATTACTTCTGTACCCTGTTTTTCTAACGGAACACACTCTCTTACGCCAGGGCCTTTGCACTTTTTCCAAAGAGCAATTTTCTCCGCACCAACTTCTCACCAACTATTTCAGCTCCAACGTTATTTTCTTTTGGGAGTTGCCTGATCTGGTGATTAGGACTTGGCCCGCGACGGAACGGCAGGTGCCCCTCGCTCCAGTACACACGCGAGGAGCTTCCCAACGCTGGGCTCTCCCAGAGTCTGATTAGTGGCCTGAAACAGCGCCCATCGCCTCTATGGCCACTCACCTTTATCTGTGCAGCTGCCGCTGGCGCAGGCTGTGAGGTTACGGGACTGAGGCCCATGACTGCTGGGGCCGCCTCGGCCCACTCAGGCTCCTCGAACATGCGGGTCGCGAGGGCGGCGTCGCAAAAACTCAGATCCTCTTCACGCGCTGAGCGCAACTCACTCACCTCAGAGCTGCCATAAACACGCCTGGAAGTAAAAGTTACGGGCGGCTAGAGCGACCAGCGCGACTCAGAAAACCATAGAGTATAGATGCTCATGGGCTAGAAGGGCAAGAGAGGCGGTCGGAAGGGAGGGAAGGCGGACCAGCACTGGTCTAGGAAGGCCTGGGGCTGGGCGGGGCCGGGTGGCGGGCGAGGCCGGACGGGAGTTCCCCGGAGAAGCTCCTTTAGCCCAGTCCCGGTGAGTGCGGAGGACCCGCGCCCCCTGCCCAAGTCTGGGGTTGGCTAGCCTTTCTCTCTCTCTGTCTGAGCGCCAAGCAGGGAACGGGTGCAACCTTGGGAAGGGGACCCCCCCACAACCACTTCCCCAGGGTGTGCAGAGCCTGAGCCACCCCCTCCCCCCAGGCTGTTCGCGGGCGGGGTCTCCGAGCGGTTTTCTTACGCGGGTTCTGGAGATACTGCCGAGTAATCACTTCTACCCTGCCCGAATTCGTCTTTCTCTGGAACTTAGGGAATCAACCCATTGCCCCAAACTCGTTCACAGACCACCACTAACTGGGGAATGCAACACCCACTCCTGCAATGCCAACACTACTTTCCTGTAGGGGATAAAGCTGGGGCTCATCTCTTTTCCTTGGATTCCCGTATTGTCCCCAGTCCCCAGGGTTCCCCAGGCTCGGGGACTCAGCGCCTGGGTTCTTGCTATGGACGACATTTTCACCCAGTGCCGGGAGGGCAACGCTGTTGCAGTGCGTCTGTGGCTGGACAACACGGAGAACGACCTCAACCAGGGGTGAGCTGAAGTGGCTGGTGGATGGGAGGAAGGCTGGAGGTCTTCCCTACGCTACTTGGGTTCTCACGTCAGTTTACCATCCAGCGTGACGGGTGCTCAGCCCGCCCTGCTTGGGTGAGAGGGTCTCCACCGAGGAAGCAGTGTTTGCGCTGAAACTTGATTCTAAGTAAATTTCACTGAGCTTCCCAGCCTCAGTGAACTGCATGGGAAAAGGTCAGGAAGCCAGACAGAGCGGAAAGTGTCAGGAAATTTTCCGGAGTTCAGTGCAGCTAAAGGATAAGTCTCTAGGAGCTCAGTATTGGGTCCAAGTGGAAAAAGACAGGACATAAAGCTGGAGAGGAATACAAGGGTCACCCAGTTCGTGCTTCTATTCTGAGTAAGCCCCCCCTTTTATTGGTACATTTTAGATACACAGTGATAACACTCATCATATAGAATTTGTACTTATAGATAATATATCTTGCTTTTTTTCTCATTTTCTTCCCTTCCCTTCACACCCTTCCCCTCATTATTTACAAAATTTTATTAAGGTTAAGATTTTGAGACTACATAGTAATGTGATGAGATTGCCCATTTGCAATGCATCACCGTAGATACTTTGTGAAGGGCATGTAAGAAAAAGGCAATTGCCCAGCCCATCATAGAAATGCTGGTTTTTGACCAGATTTCTGGAATCTAATTGCTTGTGAAAAATAAGCAATTTGATTCCAGATTGTGTGTGTGTGTGTGTGTGTGAGAGAGAGAGAGAGAGAGAGAGTGTCTTGCTTTAGGTTAGCCTCAAACTCATGGCCATCCTCTTGCCTCAGCCTCCTGAGTGCTGAGTTTTTAAGTGTGCACCACCATACCTGGACCAGAAATCTTAAGGACAAAGAATTAATGGATTGGCATGGAAAGTAAGGAAGGTCAAAGGTAAAGATGCTGGATTGGGCACTTGGATAGGTTGTAGTTGCATTTACTTAGATGGAGAAAATTGAAGGATAACATGTTCAGCTCTGGACATGTTAAAGTTTGGTGACAATGCAGCAACTTGGAAATGTTCAGTAGGTTACTGGTGATGCAGATTTGGAGTTCAGGATAGAGATTTGATTTGGAGACACAGATTTGGGAAATACTAATTATTAGCAAATGCATGATACCTGAAGATATAGAAAAGGATAGAGGGCAAGAGGACAGGCAGACTGACAAGGAGCAACCTGAAGTTGAAGAAAAAACAGGAAAATGTGAATAAAGCTTTGAGAAGAGAATGAATGTTTTAAAGAAGGGGCAGAGTGGTCAGTAGTAGTGAAGGCTACTGAGAGGTAGCCTTGAGTATTTTAATGATACAACTGAATTTATATTTAGAATGTATTTGATAATCTCTGTGAGTGCTGTTTCAGATTAATAGGTTAAGAACCAGCCTACCATAGGTTCCTTCAATCAAGGGATTATATAGTATATGCACTACCACCTGGGCTAACGATTGAGTCCAAGAATCAGATATAATCTGTGCCCTCAAGGTGGCAGACTTGTGGCAGGTTAAAAAGTGAATGGGAGGTTAGGATGTATAGCAAGTAAATGTGGCCAAGCTTTTAAATGTTGGCTGAGCCAGAGAGTCAAGCAAAACAAGTGATTTGAGATAGCAGATTTTAATATTTTTAGCTTTTGTTTTTAGGGTTGTGATTGTTTACTTTTTAGGTTTGAGCAGTCAGGATCACCTGCCATCTTAGTCCAGGCTAAACTGGTTCCCTTTAAACTTATGGTGTTTCTCCTTAATAATATGTAGGGTAATCAGTTTCATTTTTAAATAATTTGTAAAGGGTAATGATAGTTTGCACTGTTACTATTTTATTGATGAGGAAATACAGGCTTAGGAAAAACTGCCTAGTGTGACTGGCATCTTGTGGGACTCTAGATTTCCAAATGGTGACAGGATGGCATTAATGAGACTTAAAGTTTTTGGTGCTAGCTTCAGGGGACAGGGTGCAGGCCCCTAAGCTAGTTATGTGTTGGATATAAGGAGGTGGTTAATTTCTTGATAGCCTCCTTGAGACACAAGTCCAGGCCCTGAAGTGACAGGTAACCTGAGAGTGGACAGAACCCTTTTGCCCATACTTCCACTCTTAGGCTTAGGCCTGCTGTGGAATAGTCTGCTGGAGGCTGATAAGTCAGGGCCCAAATTAAAGTTCTGAGACGTAAGACTGACTGATAAACCAGAGATGTAACTGCTTCCGGGAATGCCCACATCTGGCGAATATTTTTGGCTATTTGTGTGGACAGATGAAGGCAAGCTGTGGAGGGGAAATGTTGAAGACACACCCCCCTCCCTCCCACCCTCCAGCTTGGGAGACATCTAGGTAGCCAGAGCCCTGATCAGCTCTACACCCTGCTTAGAGCCCCCACATGGGAAGTGACCACAGCACTAAGGCATCCGGTGGCTGCTGGCCCAGACCATGGACCGCCCCCCTGCTCCGCCCCGTGCATCTGCAAACCCGGACTGGAGGAAATTTCCTTTTATGGCTCTAGGCTGTCAGGCTGACCCAGGTCCCACCCAATTGTTCTGTTTGTATATTTCTTTTACTTTATAAAATACATGTACTTGGGAAAAGAAAAATGTATCAATTGTTTTCATTCTGAAACAGCCGTTCTCATTTTCTTCCAGGATTGCCAAGTAAGAGATCTTGTTTTGTGTAGTTATTGGCCTCATCAGTAATCAAAAGTATCTTTTTTTTTATTATAAACTCTTCTGAAACATCATTTTAATTCCATTCCATTTTTAGATGTTAGTTTTTGTACCAGAAACAAACAGTAAGCTTTTCCCCTCTCCAATGAGTTATGGCTCACTTCTTCAAAATATCCCTTTCCCCAATTAATATGCATTCAACAACTGCTTAATTAAGCTTACACTCCAACAGGCAAGCTTACACTCCATTAAGCTTACACTCCAATAGGTCCACCATTCAGAGTTTTCTAATCAAGTGCAGCAAGTGTTATGATAGGCAGGTATACAAAAAGCACAGGAAATTCTAGAAACAGTGCTACTGCCTTGTGAAGAGATAAAGATAATGAACCTTGCTAGTTACTAAGATTTTGTGGTTGGTGTGAAGCTCAGGGGAAGGTCTGAATTGGACAGCTTTTGAGCATTGCTTGCACAAGAATTGAAGCTCTAGTTAGGTAAGCCATCCCAGAGAACATAGCATGACCAGCAGTTTTACTTCCAGTTTAATGACCATTGGCCCTTTCTCAAAGGGATGATCATGGCTTCTCCCCCTTACACTGGGCCTGCCGAGAGGGCCGCTCTGCTGTGGTTGAGATGTTGATCATGCGGGGAGCACGGATCAATGTGATGAACCGTGGGGACGATACCCCCCTACATTTGGCAGCCAGTCACGGACACCGTGATATTGTACAGAAGGTATGCACAAACCCCTTCATGATCCATATCCACACAGGTCCTACGAGGTCAGTCACAAACACTGTAGTATAAAGAATGCATACTCTTTTCTCCTTGTCCCATGCTGACAGTGGTATCTCATTTGAGACTATCTCCTGCTGCTTCTTTTTTGGCCCAGCTATTGCAGTACAAGGCTGACATCAATGCAGTAAACGAGCATGGGAACGTGCCTCTGCATTATGCCTGTTTTTGGGGCCAAGACCAAGTAGCAGAGGTAAGTACTTTGGCCCCAAGTCTTGGGATGGGTGAGAAGCAGTGAACTTTGAACCTTCTGTCCTGTCAGTACTACTATGTGACATTCATGTGTGTTTATTGTTAGTTATGCCTACCAAGGAGGTAGCAGGGGCCCTTGTAACCTTTTTTTCATTCTAGGACCTGGTGGCTAACGGGGCCCTCGTCAGCATTTGTAATAAGTATGGAGAGATGCCTATGGACAAAGCCAAGGCACCCCTGAGAGAGCTTCTCCGAGGTCTGCCCTCCCCCGCTTAGCTTGTATCTTCTCATCTTGCCCCTTTGAAGTTGTCTCCTCCCTCCTCACTGTAACACAGGCTAAGACTGTTTCTTTTCCCCAGAACGAGCAGAGAAGATGGGCCAAAATCTTAACCGTATTCCATACAAGGATACATTCTGGAAGGGGACCACCCGCACTCGGCCCAGTGAGTCATGGGAGGGGCTGTAATAATCTTGGGCTCCTGGGGCAGGGTTAGGGCCAAACTGGGTACCTGACCTGCCCACACTCTCAGGAAATGGGACCCTGAACAAACACTCCGGCATTGACTTCAAACAGCTCAACTTTTTGGCGAAGCTCAACGAGAATCACTCTGGAGAGGTGACCTCTGCCCTTCTTGCCCTTCCATCCTAAACTTCCACAAATTACCTACTCTGTACCTGTAAGTTTTTCTTGCAGTTACTGGACAAGAATGTGGTGTCAGAGCCTTCTAACCACTACCCTATCCTTCAGCTATGGAAGGGCCGCTGGCAGGGCAATGACATTGTTGTGAAGGTGCTGAAAGTTCGAGATTGGAGTACAAGGAAGAGCAGAGACTTCAATGAGGAGTGCCCCCGGCTCAGGTGGGGCAAGGCCTAAACTGAAAGCTGCTGGTTTAAAGGGAGGAAAAAAAATCCAGGTGTGCCACTCCCAGTGCTTGGGAGGCTGAGGCAGGAGGATCATTTCGAGTTCAAGACCAGCCTGGGCTACAAAGTGAGTCCAAGGCCAGCTTGAACTGATTAGTAAGACCCTATCTCAAAAAATAAATAAATAAAAGGAACCCTGAATAGCATGGAGAGGGAGCTCTTAAGCTGGGTCTCAGCTAGGATCACTCTTTTTCTCTCCCAGGATTTTCTCGCATCCAAATGTGCTTCCAGTGTTAGGTGCTTGCCAGTCTCCACCTGCTCCTCACCCTACCCTCATCACACACTGGATGCCATATGGCTCGCTCTACAATGTACTACATGAAGGCACCAGTGAGTAAGGATCCTGGTCTCACTGGGAAGGCTGGAGAAGGAATACACAAACCTCTCTTTAACTGTTGTCTCCTTTTAGATTTTGTTGTGGACCAGAGCCAAGCTGTGAAGTTTGCCTTGGATATGGCAAGAGGGATGGCTTTCCTACATACATTAGAGCCCCTCATCCCACGACATGCACTTAACAGCCGCAGTGTAATGGTGAGACCATAAGTTCATTCCTGGTCTGAGCCCCAAAAGCTATTTTCTATATCTACAGTCTGACTCACCTCCATCTACATATGTTCTCTTCCTCAGATTGATGAGGACATGACTGCCCGAATCAGCATGGCTGACGTCAAATTTTCTTTCCAGTGCCCTGGGCGCATGTATGCACCTGCCTGGGTAGCCCCTGAAGGTGGGTAAAGATATCATGGCAGGAAGTAGAGAAAGATGAGCCCAGTAACAGTGGAAAGGGCAGAAAAACGACAAGGTGGGCCGCTGAAAAAGACAAGCCCTATCTTTCCAGCTTTGCAGAAGAAACCTGAAGACACAAACAGACGCTCAGCAGACATGTGGAGTTTTGCGGTGCTTCTGTGGGAATTGGTAACACGAGAGGTACCTTTTGCTGACCTCTCCAACATGGAGATTGGAATGAAGGTATGTGTGCAGAATTGTTCACACCTGTAGTGGGGAAAGAGTGGTAACAATCATTGTAGTGGGCCTATGCTCTTCCTACATTTGTTCAGATACACAGTAGTCCTGTACAAGGGCTGGGGCTTCTCCCCTCAATGACAGATTCAAAATGCTGAGGCTTAATCGTTTTTCCTTGTATTTTCAGGTGGCATTGGAAGGCCTACGGCCTACCATTCCACCAGGTATTTCTCCCCATGTGTGCAAGCTCATGAAGATTTGCATGAATGAAGACCCTGCTAAGCGACCCAAGTTTGACATGATTGTGCCTATCCTGGAGAAGATGCAGGACAAATAGGACTGGGAGGTCCCTGCCTAAATTTCAAGAGGTGTCAAGACATGGTTGGGGGAGTGCAACTCTTTATCGCAGCGTGCCTTTGGCTGCCTCCCCTGCCTCCAGTCATGGTACTAACCCCAGCTGTGGGGCCCATCCCCTGCCCCCATTCCTGCCACTGTGACCCCGAAAGGGCTTGGCCTAAGAGCTTTGTCACTTGCCACAAGGTGTCTCCCAGCATGGGAGGGATCAGCCCTGCCTGTCACAATAAAGTTTATTATGAAAACAGGCTGGTATGGGGACACAGAGACAGACAAATACATCTAGGTTGGGTGGCTCAGGTGAAATAGTGCGGCTTCTTCACATTGATGCCATACTCGCTGAGGGCAGGGGTCAAGTCCTCCATGGTTAGAGTGTACTTGCGGTCCTGAGGGAAGAGGGAAGAGCACCAGCTGAGCACAAAAATCCCAGATTCTAATCCCAAGTGGATGACCCTGAGTAGGCTTTCTACCTCCCCTATGATGCAGTTCCTCCAGAGGGGGCTTCAGGATAATAAAACCTACTGCTGTGGAGGGTACTGATTCACTGAACCTCCGTTCACACCTTGCTCTTGCTCCGGGAGCTGCCCGAGGCTGTGCCCTTCATTTTGCAGTGCTGTAGGGCATCATTGGCAATATCTGAGATGAATTTCTGGGCAGCCAGGGAGATGAGCCGAATTCTAGAGAAGAAAAACTAGTATGAGAAGATAGACAACAAATTTTAAGCATCCAAAGCGCTAACCTGCTCTGGGTTTACTCACATGCGTGGGTCTGAGGCTTCAAAGCCAGCACGGTTCAGGTAGTAACCAGTCACTGCATCTGGGATCTGAGAAATCACAGCTGTGTTAGCCTGCTGGACTGAGTGGGAGAGGGCAGGGGGAAAGGCGCACAGGTCTGCTAATCAGGAAGTTTGAATATGCAGACAAAATTAAAAACTAAAGGGGGCTGGGGAGGGGGCGCAAATACAAAAGGAAGCTGGAAAACAGAAGATGTGGCAGAAACTTGGCGTGACAGCGGGTCACTGGGTCGTTCAGGCAGGAAGCCCACCGTTGGCGTATAATCCTCCAGCTGCATCAAGAAGTCCACTAGAGGCGTGCTGGACACCACAGGCTTCACGTCTCCATTGGCCGCGTTCGGCAGAACGTAGACCCCGTTGGACACTGCTCCCTCCGGGGGCGCCGCGCCACCCGCCGACACCGGAGCTGAAGGACAAGCAGTAAACTGAGACACGGAGATGGGAGGCGTAGGGCCCCAAATAAGCTGGCCTGTACTCTCCGCCCTCCCCCGCCGCCGGGCCCAGTCAAGGGCGCTTCCCTCACCCGCCCCGCGCCGCTCCGCCGGCTCCCCAGCCCGCGCAGCCACGGGTCCCGTGCCCGCAGCGGCGGCTCCGGCCCCAGGCCCCCCGGCTGTCCCCGCGGGGCTAGCCTTGTTCTCCGCAGCGGTGCTGGTGGGCAGCGCAGCAGGAGCCGAGACCGGGGGCGCGGGGCCCGGGGCCGAGGCGGCGGACGCCGGCGCCGCCTCGGGGTCCGCGCCGGAGCCGCTGCAGCTCATCGGGCCGGTGGGAGAGGCGGCGAACAGAGCCGCTTCCGCTTCCGCTCACGTTACGTACGCCCCACGGTGACGCCGCACGCTCCCGATTCGCCCCGCCCGTCAGTGTTCGCGCGCTCCTGAGCTTGTTACTGACTCTTAGGGAGGGTGGGTGGGTTAGGTAGAGCGGGCCGCAGGCCTCCTGTGCTTGGGGCGGGAGCTTCTGGGCGTTCGGCACCCCTCTGTTCAGACGGACGTTCGGAACTTTTGGGGGCTCACCGACCACGCTTTTGGTAGTCTTCGCCTTACGATTTCCTTATTCAACCCTTAAAGGGCTGTAGTGGAATTGGCAAAGCCGATTGCTCCCGGAGGAGCGCAATACACAGTGCTGCTGTAAAGGTAGAGGGGATTATTTGAGCCTGAGGAAACAAGAAACGCAAAATCACAGCGAGTGGAAGCGTGAGGTTTTCGGTTTGATAGACATTTAATTTCTATTTGCCAACTCCTGAGATAGGACCTAGGAAAGTTAGTCCTTTGGGCACCAACATGGTCTTGAAAAGGGAGGCAAACTGACAGTTTCAATATTGTCATTACAATGCCAGAGGTAGGCAGGGTGTGCAAGGGGCCGTGAGAATTAACATTTATCAAATTCCACACACCAGTTACTCTATTAACATTATTCCACTTCATGTTATTCCCTGATTTTGAAAGGCAAGTATTGCTATCCTCACTTAACAAATGAGGAAGCAATCTTACAGAGATAACTGAACTAGGGAGGTGGGGAAAAACGAGGCTTTGGGCTTGCTTGAAAGAAGTATAGTATCATTACTGAGAAGAAATGAGATACAGTTTGGATTCAGACAAAGGGAGACCGAGATGTTAAATGTTACGCATCTTACATTTGATCTATCAATTGGATAGAAAGTTTGATTTAACCTGATGGTGATGCCTAGTGATTTGTTTCAGGGGACAGTAAGTAAAATGAAAAGACCAAAGAGCTAAAGATGGGCAGTGGAAGAAGGCTAGTATTCCATGAGGAAGCAGAAAACAAGTCTATAAAGGAGGAAGATGGTGATCAAAGAAGTTAATCCTAGAAGCAAAGGAATGGCAGCAGACAAATATGATAGGAAGACCCTAAAGTAAAAAAATCTGGGTACTAACAGGTTACATTTCCTTCCTCTATATTCACATCCCTGCTTGGACAGGGGAAGAGTTGGGGAGGGGCTGGCAAAAGTGCTGGTTATAGCTGTTTGTTAAGGAACCTGAGGCAGGAATAGGCAGACCTGAGAATGATAGAGGAGGGCAGGGTTGGGAATTAAGTTCACAGCTTTTCAGGGTTAGGGATATAAGCTGACTACTGCAGTCGTGATTGAGGATTCAGCAGGGCTTCCAACAAGCCAGGACAAGGGGCTAAGCCATACAGCAGGGGATTGGTCAGCTTTCCTGGCAGGAAAGGGTCAAGGGTTGAGTAGAGTCTTCAGTAGAGCTGGGAAGTTGGGTGTTCCCCAGCCTGTTACAGGATCCCAGCCAGGGCCAGAGCAGAAACCTTCACCCTCCACCTCTTCATTCAGACAGGACTCGTGGCAGCCATGGGTTACCTACAGAGAAGATGGAAATCAGATCAAGGCCTGTTGGTAACAGACTAACAGACACCTCTTCACCCTGTATTTACATTCCAGAGGCTATCCCACTATATCAGAACTGCCTCCAAATCCATTTTAGCTCTTGTCATATTTGTATGACAACATCAGTAAGCTTCCCTTCCACACTCACATCAAAAAGTCCTGCCCCACGCTGCTGGTAGAGCCTTGGGTTGAGAAAGCCAAGAGGTGGGTGGCCATTGAGAATTCTGTGCTCATTTATCAAGGAAAGAATTCCTCCAAACACTGGAGTAGAGGCCTGCAAGATAAGGGTGCAAGGAGAGGTCAGGATTTCAGAGTGATTAAACTTCTAGGAAGGGAGGTTTGAAAGTATTAGAGGTCTTTCAGGAGTCAGGAGTTCTGAGAGACAAGGTCTTGAGGAAAGAGAATGAGGGTAGTTCCTGAGTGGAGGGATGGAGCCAGGTTGATTCTCACCGAGGTTCCAGATACCCATGGAATGGGGATACCATTGCTGACCACCCAGTAGCCATCAGAAAGTGCAGCAACATCTGGATATGCACGGCCACTGGCATTGAAGTAACTGGATGGTGGCAGGTGGGGGCTAGATTTCAGGAACTGGGCTACAGCTTCCTTCTGAAAAAGCATTTCTGAGTGAGTACTGGCCCTTAGCCTGCACAGGAGTTTGCTGAACTGAAGATCCCCCAACCCCTTATCTAGCCACTTGAACATGTACGTACCTGGTATGAAGGCTGTGGGAACACATTACTGAAGCCACCACCACTGATATAGTCAGCTACCTCATTTGTGACTCGGAAAGGGTTTTGGAAGGAAGTGCCTCCCACTGTGGTGACATAGGGGCTGAGAGAGAAGACAGCATTCAGATAATAGGGATTACAGAGGAGCTACAAGATGTGTGGGGATGCGTGAGGATAGCCTGGATCTTGCTGGAGGAGGGGATGCTGTGGGGAAGGCATACACATGCACACAGGATTGAGTAGGAGGATTTCAGCCTCACCATGGCCTGAAATGACTATGCATATTTTGCTATACACAACACTCACTAATCTGCCACTAAGATGCATAGAGATTGAGGAGGAAAATATTGGGAGACTAGGGCTTAACCTGCCTAAAGAAGGGAATGCAGCAACCAGAGTAGGTAAGGCTGAATGCTTAGCCATAGGAGCACCTGGTGGGCTCAAAGGCAAAGGTTCTAGATTGCAAGGTCACAGGTAAATGGAAGATTGGGGTGCTTACCTGGAAGCAGGGAAGCTGGGACGGAACTGGTGTCTTCCAGAGACAGACCAACACCCAGCCCCACTATCACCTGGGAGAGAGGCAAGTTTGGTATTCATATTAGTTGATCAGAGGTTGGTATGTAGGTGCAGATGCCAGAGAGAAATTTGGGTATCAACTGCAACTGCAGGAGGTCAGAGTTGAGAGGTCATGTCAGTGGTTGCCTATTGAGGCTCTGAGTTCAGATTATGATTCACTGTGGGTCAAAGCTTCCATGTTGGTTGAGTGAATGGGAGAGCTAACTTTAGGGGAGGAGGTCTTAAGTTTAGGATAGGAAGTCACCTGAGGCAAAGAGCAGGGTGAGACCCCTAGACGCAGCTTTCATGAACTCGGTGTTGACTCGCTGGATGTAGGCACTGCTGAGGGAGTCTTCATCATCTCCATAGCTCACAGTATGCACAGGTGGCAGGGCTGACTCGTTACTGAGCAGCAGGAGCCACTGCAGGAAGGGTTCCTGTGCCTCATGGCGGCCTAGATTTTTTTTTTTTTTTTGAGAGGTGGGCATACAGGTATTCATTAGGGGATTTCAGGGTCTCCCTCTAGCTCATGGCATTCCCTTGAACCTCCTCTCAGATACCTCCAACCCACTTAGCCCCAAGCTAGTCCCACCAGCAGTACCAGCATTACTGTAGACCCATGTGGAGATGTTGGCGCCAGCACTCATCAGGTATTCCACATCTAGACTGGCCTCAATCCCAGCCCGGCCCCGGCCTTGTTTTCCAACCACGTGGGACACTGATGCCAGGTGCACAAACTTGCCACCAAAGAGGTGCATGAACTCTGCCAAGTCTGACTCGTGGAAGTACTGCTCCAGGAACTATGAAGGGAGTCAGAATAGGGACCATGGGTCAGAGGGTAAGTCCCAAAGTGGTACAGCAAGCAAGTCACTTTGGGGGTGGGGTGGGTGTGAGAACCACAGATATCTCTCTGCTTGGCTCACCTGGGCACAAGCCTGGCTGTTGTTGGTGGTGCCAGAGCCCACATCTTGTGCTGTCAAGTTGTATCGCTCACGGATTACAGATGGAGTCACTCCCAGGTGCAGGCCAACAGTTCCTGCCACTTGTGGTGCAGGGCGTTGTCTCAGGGATGATGTGGGGGGAAAACGATGAAGTCCCCCTACTGTGGAGAGGGATCACACTTGAGGAGGAGCTCTTAATTCTAGCTTTACCACTGACTACTCCATAGCTCTCTCTGGCATCTAAACTTCTTCAATCCCTGGGTGTACCTTCCCCAACCCCCATCAACCCCAGTGGGTTTACCAAAGTCCACATGAGGTGCCAAGGCCTGAGGGAGCTGGTAGGGACGTAGGGACCTTACAACACGAGTCTTTTCAGGTCCTCCCATGTAGCGATGAAACTCAGCTCCAGGGAGCAGCAGCTCAGCCTGCCTGAAAAAGATCATAAAACAGAGGTCAGAAAGCATGGAATCGGGCAGAGGCTGCCATTTGTCTACCTTGGGTCTGTCAGTGACTATCTTGTCATGCATTAACTACTATCCATAAGCTCTCAGCAAATTCTCAATTCCCTCCCAGCGGGGTGACTAGTCTCCTGAAGGGACGACTGTGTCCTCCATGGGGCAATCATTCCCCCTCACCGAACGCTCAGCCAGCAAGTCAGAAAGTCCTGTGTGATGACTGAATGGCAGTTCTGGGCTCCAGCTGCCAACAGCCATTTTTGGACTGTGTGGAGGGTCAGTGGTGATGGCCGTATCAGCTCAGCCACATCCTCTAGGGCCAGGTATTTTCCTGCAGGGATTCAGAAGAGGATCTTGCCTTCATTCATGGCTTTCTCAGGTTACCTCTTTGGACCCCAATTAGGAGACAAGAGAACTTCTCAGGGAAGGTTGTCCAGGTTCTGGGTATATTCGGGGGCCAGGGGAAAAAAGGGTTAGAGAAACTTTAAATTCCATGGCCAAGAAATATGAGTTTACCCTAAATGCCAGTACACTGCAAGTGCTGTACCTCAGCAAGCATTGCCATGATCATGAAAAACAAATGAAGTTAATACATTTACATTTTCTACTTTTATTGCCAATAAAAGTTTTCAAAACTTCTGGAACCAATTATATGATCACATCTAATTTAACTCAGATCTGCATACTTGTTGATTTTAAGCTTAACATGATGGTGAGTCACTGTTTCCTGTATGGAGCCATGCACACTCCTAAGTACTCTTAGGTTATCTGACCCCCCCCCCCACCTCCCCTTACACACATGCACATGCTTGGCTCACCTGGGCACATGCACACACTGGCTGCTATGGAGAGTTTTTTTTTTTTTCCCGCTAGGGGAAGGATACAGTCCAGCTTTACTATCAGAGAGACTGTTTTGGAGTAGAGTGGGAAGGGAAATGAAGAGCAGGGTGGAAGACAAAAGGACTGCAGATGAGTCAGGGGTCTAAGCAGCAGTACAAGAGAGAATAAATGAGTAAGCTAGTGCAACAAGGATTGGCCAGAAGAGGACTACTCCAAAGGCAATTTAGAGAACAAATTTGAGTTGATGAATGCTTTTATATATATGTGTGTGTGTGTGTATGTGTGGATGTGTAAATATTCTATATTTCCTCATTTGTGTGGTTGCTGTTAAACAGTAGTGAGAAATAAAATCTGCAGTTAATCATAAAGACTTCTCTTAGCCACATTTACTCTTTAGTTTTTAAATTGAGGAACACAGATGGAAGTTTTGTAGGGGTGGGTGTGGGGAGAGAGTGAGTTACTTTTGGATAGTTAAGTTCAAGTTCACTTTTATGTACATGCACTAACTCCCCACAAAGAATGTAATCATTATATACTCTAAACATGTACTAATAAATTTTTAAAAGAAATTCTTCAGTGATGGTCACTACCTTTCATTTGCCTTGTATCACCCCTTGTCGGGTACCAGGAGCATACCCTCATCATCTACACCACCCCTACCCAGCCCTCCTGTCCCTCCACTGCATCCCATTTCCTGCTCCCAGCCCCAACAGGCACCGTAACGAGGAGAACCAGGATCCGACACAGCCTGCACCAGCTCTGAGAGTCTCTTCAGGTTCTGCTGTCTCAGGGCAAAGGTGAGACTCAGCTCTTCCTCAGGGTCCACACGGCCCAGGGACACCCAGCCATGGGGCAGCCTGCAGGGTCAGGGATCAGGAACATGGCCATGGTTAGGGTATGGATGGGAAATAGATCACGGATTAGGAGCTGAGACTTCAAGTAGGTCCCCAGAAGTGGATGTGGATCCCAGGAGGTGAATGACAGGGGACTAAGCCTGGAACTTCCATCAATTTGGTACCAGAAGCTGGTACGAGAGTGAAGGAAGCCAGGACCATGACAGCGGGTACAAGGGGAGAGGGGTAGTCAATGCTAAGTCAACTCACGTTCGCTGTTGGTCAGGCTCCGGGCTGTAACTGCATTTGCTGGCGACGATGAGGGCAAACAGCCCTAGGAGGCTGCAGAGATGGCAGGCAGGCTTTATCAGGGAGTGAACTGTCATCCTGTTCCTACCCTCCAATATGCACTCCCTCCAATGTGACCCCCTTCACCCGACCCCACCAGTTTCTCACCAGGCTCGCAGTCCCATTCTGCCTTTCAGCTGATCTGCTGTCACATGACAAATCACATGAGCCGTCTTCTAACATCTCCACCTCCCTGCCTAGTAACTAGCGACGATGCTGGCTCCTCCCACTCAAGTGTAATTGTCCTGAATGCTGGGAAAGAGCGGAGCTGGGACTACTGTAGGATTTCACTCTCACTAGCTAGTTAAGCACTGATTAATCTTCCCACTCTCCACCTGCTGTGAGTCCCCTACAACAGGAAATTTCTCAGAATCTAGATTTGTTTTATAATATGGAAACTGTTACATAAAAGTGGTCTGCTTTATACAGTTGCATTTTACTGAAATAAAGCAAGCAAATCACCTAGCAGAGAGCATGGCATGGCATGGCAGGCTCAACAAATGTGAGCTTCTATTATAATGTGGATATTTAGTGACTAAGCAAACAAACAAAAGCTAAACACTTCACTTGGCTTCTCTTGTATCCACTTTTTTTTTTTTTTTTTTTTTTTTGCAACAGGGATCAAACTCATGACACTGCACTTGCCAGGCAGGTGCTTATGCCACTGAGCTAAATTTCCAGCCCTTCTTGTATCCACTTTTGTCTCTTTTCAGGCATCAGGGCTGCAGCTCCCACTCACCCACCCAGTGCCTCTCAGTTTTGCTACAGGCAAGTGCCTGCTGGACTTTTGCTCATGTTAAAGGGAAAAGACTGGCCAAAGAGAGGGAATCTCAGCCTCAAAGTAGGCTCCTGAGACCCCAGTGCTGTCCCCACCTAGATGACCCCATGTTCCCCACCACTGTGTGTCTCCAGGTGTTCACAATAGTGTGCCAGGTGGCTTCCAGCCATTCCCACAGAACACAGCTGGAGGCTGGATACAAACTGCAGTTTATTAAGGCTCCAGAGTGAGAATTGGCACTTGTTCTGGGCAGGGGCAGGGATGTCCGTGGAACCCAAAGGAGCTGGGCCCAAAGTTTGGAGGTACCTCCCTCATTCCCCTACCCCACAATAAATAAAGTCTCTGCTCCATTTTAGGTTGCTGGTGCAGGCAGGAAGTCCTCACTGAGAACCGAGAGCTGCTGCCTCCTTCATATTTCTCCCCACACTGGACCTAGCCACAGGTCAGTGACCAACAGAGCCTCTGGCCCCAGTGTTCTGAAGGTTGGGGTGAAATGTGGGACCTGCCCCCACTGGAGGAGTTTGGGGTGAAGAGTTGGGACTTGCTGGTGGCCTCCTCATGGCCAGTCATGGTCCGAGGCTGCCCAGGGCAGGCTCAGAGTGGGGCCTGCATTGGGGACACTGTTCGCATCCCAGGTCGGGGCCCAGCCTGGGCCGCAGCTAGATGTGCAGCTCTGTGTCATCAGGTGGCTCCAGGCCAGACTCTGCGCTGAGGGCTGAGGCTGAGGGGCCCTGGGCCACCCCAAATGGTGAGACAACAGGTGAGCGAGCAGCCAAAGGAGACAGCGAGGGTGAGAAGCTGGGGGACATGGCGGCAGAGGACAGGGAGCCTTCATGGCTGATGGGGGAGCGGTGAGAAGTTGGTGGGAAGATGGCCCTGGTGGCAGCTGTGCTTGCAGGCTTGGGGGGCACAGACTTGGCTCCTGGGTGGGCCACAGCAGTGATGAGGGGTGGTGGGTCGATACGGGGAGCAGGGGGACATGGCCGAGCTTCATCCTTGAGCCGAGCGATCTCTGTGAAGACACTGGCCAGTGGTTGGAACTGAGGGCACCAGCTCAGCAGGTAGTCCCAGTTATAGCTGCCACGGAGCTCCTCCTCCCCAGCTACAATGGCCGTCAGCGCACCTGCCACGCACGGCTTGCCATCTGCTGGGAAGCCATAGTCTCCAGTGGGTGCGGGGCTTAGGCCACAGCCCCCCAGGAAAGCTGTGGCAGGGGCTGGGGGTCCCTCCTCTCGGTACAGTGTGGTTCCTGTACCGGGCAGCAGCAGCCCTGCCTTTCGGCCCTTATACCATGTGTCAGGGGCAGGTGGCTCACAGGACGTGTCACTCAGTCCATCTGCATCCTGCTGGATGCCTGAGTCGGGGCCCCGGGCCGCCAGGGAGGAGGCCACACTGGCCACACGGGGGAACTCGTTGATCATGCGAATCTCATCATCTTCTGCAGCCTCTGCTGAGCCTCGGCCACTCGAGTGTGATGGGTCCAGGGAGCCACCACGGGGGTAAGGTCCTCCAGCTCCTGGTGCACCGTAGCTGGGGAGAGTCTGGTGATACAAATGCTCTGAAGGTGGTGGACTAGGTGGCTCCCGGCCGAGTTTCTGCAGGGAGCCACTGGCTAAGGGTGCTGCCTGTGACATTGGGCCAGGGGCTGCCTCAGCCTTGCGGTTTCGAGCTCGAACCAGCCCTAGAACCAGGGCTGCTAGTGCAAGTACCACTACAACTCCCAAGGAGGCTGCCACAGCCCCAACCAATAGCAGGTTGAGATCAGGTGCCAGGCCCAGTGCAGTATGGGTGATATCCACAGTCACAGGCACTGTGGCACTCCGGGAACCAGGCAGAGGTCCCCGAGCTACCACCTCCAACCTCAGCTCCCGTGGGGCCTCCCGCCGGGTCCGACCCCCACCCCCAGTAGTGGTTGTTCCGCTGCCTGGTGCCCGACTGTCCACCCGCAGGTATAGGACACCTGTAGTCTGGTTGATACCAAAATAAGGGGAAGAAGTGGCAAGGGAATAGAGCACCAGGCCATCAGCACCCCCATCCTCATCTGTGGCCTGCACATGACCCACGCTGTGGCCACGCTGGGCACCTTCTGGCACTTGGAAGTGGAAAGCTGGAGCCAGGAATACAGGATCATACTCATCCTCTCCAGTCACCAGGACTGACACAGTGACAGAGGCTGAGAGATTCCCAGCATCAGCAGCACCCACCAGCAGCCGGAAGCTTCCTGTGTGCTCATAGTCGAAAGGCACTCGTGCCCGCAACTCTCCTGTTGAGCTGTTCAGTGCAAATGCCTCACGACCCTCAGGACCTGGCCCAGCCTCTAGCAGGCTGTAGTGGAGCCTCCCAAAAGCCCCAGCATCCCCATCAATTGCATGTAGAGTGGTCACAAGAGTCCCTGGAGGCTGATTCTCTGCGAGGCTGGTACTGAGTATGTTCAGTGGGAAAGCTGGACCATGGTCATTCACATCCTGGACTTCAACTGTCACTGGAGCCAGAGCAAAATGTGTCCCAGCAGGGTCAGCAGCCTGTACTACAAGCTGGTGTCGAGTTTGGGTCTCACAGTCCAGGGACTGGGCCAGTCGCAAGGCGCCTGAGTTCTCATCCAACTCAAAGAGCCCCAAAGGGTCACCTGAGCTAAGGGTGAAACGCACAAGGCCATGAGGTCCAGGGTCCGCATCAGAGGCCTCCACATGCAGCAGCTCAGCTCCAACAGGCATGTCCTCAGGTACTGTCACACGGTAGGATGCTTGGGTAAAGACAGGTGGGTTGTCATTGACATCTAGTACAGTGACAGTGACTGGCACAGCTGAACTGCGGGGTGGCTGGCCCCGGTCAGCTGCAGCCACAGTTAGATTATATTGTGTCAGGCTTTCAAAGTCTAGAGGCTCAAGCAACACCAGGCATCCTAATGCCTGAGGACCTGGTCCAACACCTTCTCCAGCCTCAGCCAGCCGGGGTTCTAGCTGGAAGACCCGACCACGGTTGCCACTGATGATGGTGTAGTCCACAGTGGCATGAGTGCGGCTTCCGTCAGCATCTGTGGCCTCCAGGGTGAGCAGGGTGGAACCTGGGGGCAGATCTTCACTCACAGCTACACGGTAGTGTGGCAAGGTGAAGCTTGGGGTGTGGTCATTCTGATCCTGCAGCTGCACATGCACTGTGGCCCGTGCTGCCCGGCCTGGAGCCCCATGATCCCGTGCTTCCAGCACCACATCCACCACTCCTGGTCCCTCATGGCCAAAGCCCACTGTTCCCACCGTTGTGAACAAAGTTCCTTAGAAGAGAAGGGAAGAGAAAGACATACGCATTCAGAAGTTGCTGTGTGTCAGTAGAACAGTGAATGATAGAAGAGAGAAGTCAGATTCAGGGGAATAGCGCATTGCTGGCAGAGTAGGGAATGGCAACAGGATTCAAGTTCAGGAAACAGTTTCCTGGTTGCAGTCAGAAAAGGGTCTGTTATATAAAAGACAAGAGGGAAATGTCCTCCCTGAGTTAGAGATCCAGGAGTCAAAATTTTGGGTAACAAATTCTAGGAATTAGGTCCAAATATGGCCTAACATGATCAAAGACAAAAGGGGTCAGATTCTGGAGAAGACCTACCATTGTTGGGATCAACACTGAAGCCCTCAGCTGGTGAAGCTAGGTAGTAGGAGATGTGACCATTGGCTCCTGAGTCGCGGTCAGTGGCAGAAACAGACAGAATGGCACTGCCTGGGGGTGTGTGTTCAAGCAGCATTACCTAAAGTTTGAGGAAAAGTGTCCATGGTCAGGTTTCCCAGCTACCCTGCTGCTTTCTCTACCTGTGTGCTGGGGCTTGGCCCCATGGATACCTACTCGGTATCCATTTCAGCATAGAGCCCATTCTCCTTTGTATTCTGTTTAAACACAAGCTGCCCACTTTCCTCCCTTTCTGACCAAAAGATGAAGCACCGGGAAGGCCAGTCAGAGACAGGATACTCTTTTGTTCAGATCAACTCTTAACATCCAGTCCATCCCCGTCACTCTTGCTCTGTCCCATCCCTCTAACAGTACAACCAGGAGCCCAGATGTGGGGGCATCCAGGGGAGTTGGTACCTGGTACAGGCTCTGTGAGAAGGTAGGTGCATTGTCATTGACATCCTCCACAAGTACTGTGAGGTTGGCACGGCCCTCATGAGGTCCATCGTGTGCCAGCAGCTGCAGGTGGTAGTGATCACACTGCTCAAAGTCCAGGGGGCCCATGAGGGAGACACGGCCCCCATAACGGCCAATACTGAAGGGATCCTGGGGCCCAGATGGGCTCAGCACATACCACAGCACTGGTCCAGAGTCCACATCATTCCCTGTTACCTGTGCAATCTCTGAGCCCAACAGTGCATCTGCAATACGCAAGACAAATGTGTTTGGCAGCATTCCAGGCACCCCTGGAGCTCCAGGGAGGGTAACAGTACCTCTCTGCCACCTTTGATACCTTAATTTTATGCAGCCCTCACCTTCTGACACTCGGAGTTCCCAGGGTTGAGGGATGGTGGGACGATTGTCATTGGTATCAATGACCATCACTGTCAGGGTAGCTGAGCCCACCAGGGATGGGCTTCCTCTGTCTGTGGCCATCAGCACAAGCCTAGACAAAGAGCACAATCAGGAGGTATGACCTGGGGATAAGAGGAAACCCTGGGAAGGGCTAGGAGGACTCAGGATAGAGTTGGGCTTTAGGGGAGTTCAGGGTATGGCATCTCTTGGCTGAGGAAGATGCAATGCAGGGTTTGAAAGTAAACAGAACCAAGGTGGGGTCTTGGATTCATGGGTGCCAGGTCTCACCGTGTTTCAGCCCAGATCTCACGATCTAGGATGGCTGTGGTAGTGATAGTGCCTGTGGATGGGTCTACATGGAATAAGCCCCGTGCTAGCTGGGATGCAGCCAGACTGTAAGATATCTGCCCTCCAGAACCTTGATCCAGGTCATCTGCCTCCACCTGGTGAGTATAGGAGATCGCTAGTACTAAAGTGAGCACAAACAAATCTGATAACCCTTGTCCCCCTCTTCCCATCGTGCCCCACACCTGCAGCAGGGGTCCCTCCAATGGTCGAGACTCTGGTAGGAAAGCCACATAATGGGGCTGCAGGAAACGGGGAGCATTGTCATTGGTGTCTTGCAGGGTCAGGGTCAGCACAGAGAAGGCAAAGACGCCTCCACTCTCTGCCTGCAGCACCAGTCGTAGCCGGGGGCTTGTCTCAAAGTCCAGGCCCTCTGCTGAATGCACTGTGATGGCTCCTGTGGGGAGGTGGAATGCATCAGTGACAGCCCTCTCTTCCTTACCCTGAAGCCTCCCACTCCAAGGCCCTTTACTCAAATGCAACTCTTCCCCCATCAGTACTTCCTCTGGCCCAAAGAACCTGCTCCCCAGAAGCCCATGCCCTTCCAAAGCCCCTGCTCCCCATTCTTCACCTGTACTAGGCTGGATGGAGAATATCCCTTTCTCATTCCCACTGAGAATGCTGTAGGTGATCGGTCCATTTGAACCCCCAGCATGAACAGCTTTGGGGGAGCTGACAGGGGTCCCTGCAGAGAGGAAGATACTGGGATTATGAGCACTACAGGAGTTTGGGGAACACTTATAATAAGTAATCCCAGCCTATCCAGGGATATAAATATGGGACAGATGGCTAGGGACCCACCTGGGGGGGCATTTTCACGAAGCACAGCCTCACTACTAGCCCGTGGAAAGCGGGGTCCATGTTCAGACTCCCCCTGAAGACCAACAATGACCACACCAGTGGCAGAGCGAGCGGGACGACCAAGGTCAGTAGCCACAATGAAGAGGACACGATCCCGGGGGCCTAGAGTTACAGGAGAACGGGCCACACGGATTTCACCAGTGTAAGAATCCACAGTGGTGCCAGGAGGTGGTGTGCCTGCCAGCCGGTATAGGATGGAGGCGTTGGCACCAGCATCACGATCTTCAGCTCGCAATGTGGCCAGAGCCAGAGTTGGGGTGCTGAGGCTGGGGCCTGGGCGGGGTAGGCGCAGACGCAGAGGACTGGTGGGGAAAGTGGGTGCATGGTCATTGACATCTCGCACTGTGATGGTAACAGGTACTGTGGTGCTCAAGGGTCCGGCAGCAGCACCATCCACTGCGCTCACCGAAAAGGCATAGCTAGAACAGTGTTCTCTATCCAGTGCAGTGGCTGTGCGCAGCTCCCCAGAAGTAGGCTCTAGCAGGAAGGTTCCTGCTGTACCTGCACCCAGATAGTACGTCACATGGCCGTTGGCCCCAGCATCAGGGTCATGAGCCTGCAGCTGTATCAGCAGGGTCCCTGCAGGTGCATCCTCGGGCACTTCAACTGAATAGGCCGGCACAGGAAAGGCTGGGGCATGGTCATTGGCATCCAGAACGGTCACTGTCACAAGTAGAGTGGCACTGAGAGCTGGCTGCCCTCCATCCCGAGCCTCTATCCGCAGCTGGAATGCTGGCTCCACCTCTCGGTCTAGTGGCCTCATGGTACCAAACTCTCCAGAGTCAAGATCTAGGACAAAGGCTCCTGATGGATCCCCATCTGCAGAGAAGGGTAGGTGCACATAAACACGTGTCAGCCCATGAGGATCAGGGCGACTTATAGGCAACAGTAAAGAAAGTAAAGGGAGAGAGATAAAAGAAGAAAGAAACTGACAAAAGAAAAAAGGGAAACAAGGCTTTTAAAAAAGATACTATGAAGCAACTGTTGTTAGTCTGAGGATACCTAGGAATCCCTTGATACCCTGTCATACATACATGGTCAAACTATTTTCATAGGCCTTATATGCTTTATTGCACCTTATTATCTCACAGATATACGGTGGAGTTTGCAATGCTGCATGACCTGATGATATCACATGTCTGCTTATGTGTTTTTATTTTCTAGAATATTCTTGGCAGAAAGTTTATAGCATGAATATGTGTATTTTCAGAGAATGGCTATCTCCAGTTATACTTATAATCTCTGCAATGTCAATACTTTTCAACAAATTGTTATTTGAAATCCTAACAGTTCTTTGTGTCTATGCAAAATACTTCAGTGGTTTGCTTCCCAATGATATTTGAAGATTTTCTAAGTTTTAATATGTAACATTGTACACTGATGTAACACAAATAAAAACTTTTTTTATAGAGTTCTTAAGTAAGAATATTAAGGGTTTTGGGACCAAAATGTTTGAAAACCACTGCTTTACATGGGGGACAAATAGAGAGATAAAAACAGGCACAAAAAAGCCAGATACATTGAGATATATGTGAAAAAGGTGGAACATATAAGAAGAGGAAAGACCAAGACACACGGACTAAAACTGATAGCAGCAAAACAAGGAACAAGAACCAGGCAGGTAGATGCTGGGGTAGTGGGCAAGGGAGAGTTCTCACCCACAATGCGGTACTGCAGCTGTCCATTGGCTCCCACATCTGGGTCAGAGGCCCGAAGTATGGTGAGGGTCTGGGGGTCCTGACCCTCTGGCACTTCCAGGGAGAGTTGAGCATTCCCGAAGGCTGGAGCATGATCATTTTCATCCTCTATAGCCACTCGCACTGTCACATGAGTTAACAGCGGGGGTGAGCCCCTGTCCCGTGCATATACTGTGGGAAAAGCAAAATCAATGAGGCCTAAGTTGCTTCCACCCCACCACCCGAAAATTACACCACACAGTGTTCATATATTTTCACCAGGTACACACATAAGCCAGAAAATATCAACCTCTCCACACACCCCAGGCATACACACATATTTACATTACATGTGCCATTCCTTTCCATTGCTGTGCTTGGCATATGCAGGATGGATCCTGGATTAGTGGTAGTGTGGCAGAAAAGACACTAAATGAGGTGTCAAAAGGTATGCGCTCAAGTCCTAGCCCTGCCATATCCAAACCGTGTTTCAGCAAGCCACTCAACCTCCCTAATACTCAGTATCAATATGCTCCTCTATTAAATGGCTACAATATAAACTAGGCCTCGAAGGCATAGTTGTGACAATATACCAAAAATCGAGAATTTGCATGCTCAGTGATGACAGCCTGGAAGTGAGTACATTCTGTCTAACTGTTGAAGGCCCAGAAATACAAGATGTGCCATAAAAGGTGGAAACTTCTAGAATAAAGTACTTTGGATTTTCTGCGCATGTTAACAACATCGGTGGCTTTTGGGATCTTGACAATACCTGTCAGGTTGATCTCCTCTTGCTCCTCACGATCCAGGGCCCGAAGGGTAGTGAGAACTCCCGTGTTTGGGTCTAGAGAAAAATTCTCACCAGAGATGCCTCCATAAGTCACTTGCCCATTGGCCCCTGAGGACGGACAGCATGGAAGGTGATCAGAGGGCAAATAGATGCTTCATTCCCCTAGTCCATTCCGCTTATAATTCATTGCCCCCAGGTATTACCCAAGTCCGGATCGGTGGCTCTCAAAGTGAGCAGGGATGTGCCAGGCGGGCTGTTCTCCCGCAAGAGGACGCTGTACTCCTGCTGCTGGAAAGTGGGTGCCTCATCGTTGACGTCAACGATACTGACGGTCAGGAGCTGCGTGGACGACCGCGGAGGGGAACCATGGTCTGAGGCCACCACGGTCAGGACATGCTCAGCTCTCTGTTCCCGGTCAAGGGGCCGCACCACAGACAGCGCTCCTAGGATAGCAGCGAAGCAGGTTGGTAGAGACCTCAGTGCTCCCTTCTCCACATTCCTCCACCTCACCCACAAGCTCAACTCTCACCAGTGCTTGAGTGAAGCCGGAAATGGCCATCCCCGCCAGACGCCAAGCGATACGACACGCGTGCGGCCTCCCCCAGGTCTGGATCCCTTGCCACCAGGTGCAGCGCTACGGGGCCGGGCGGTTGATCCTCCGGGAGACGCACGCGTGAGGGGGAGGTGAAGACTGGCGAGTTGTCGTTTTCATCTGTGACAAAGACGCGCACGGACACGCGTGCTGCTCGGCGGCGGCTCGCGTTGGCTGGCCGGTCGGTGGCCTCCACGAGCAGCAGCAGCGCGGGTGTTGTCTCCCGGTCCAGGCCGCGCGGTGCGCTGAGCGCCCCCGTGCGAGCATCCAGGCGAAGGGCCGGCACCGGCGGCTCCTGGCGCAGCAGGCGATAGCGCACGTCGCTGTTGGGGCCTGGGCCATCGGCGTCTGATGCACGAAAGGTGTACAGAGCTATGCCGGGCTCTGGGTTCTCGGGCAGCGCCAGGGCCAGTGGATCGCGCGCGAAGGTGGGCGCGTGCTCGTTCTCGTCCTGCACGCGCACTTGCACGCGCAATAGTCGCGCGCCCGCGCCTCCGGGGCCCTCAGCTCGCACTGTGAGTGCGCGCCAAGCAGGGCCAGCCTCGAAGTCCAAAGGCCTTGCCAGGTACAGGCGCCCCGTGGCCGCGTCCAGAGCGAAGGTGCCCTCAGGATCAACGCCACCAACCAGTGTGTAGGTGAGTGCGCCCACAGCCGCCGGCTCCAGAGGAGCCACGGAGCCCAACAACGATCCAGGCAGAAGCCCTTCAGCTGCAGTTACGGTGAGAACCACCGGAACTGGTGCTGCCGGGTCTGGCTCTGAGAGATCCGGTGGGGGCTCTGCCACGCGAGTCGAGGGAAGCACCTGTGGTGGATACAGGTAGAGAGGATCAAGAAGACCCTGGTGAAAGCAGGTCATGGGTGGCTCTGGGTAGCAGAGAAAGCTGGTCAGAGTACTCTGATAAGAGAGCCCAGGGACCCCAGGAAGCTGGAGCTACTGGAGGGTTGGTTGAACACTGCAGAAGCCAAGGGGAAGTGAGCAGACTGTAGGAAGAGCAACTGTACCTGAACCAGAAGCTGCATGCTGGCACTCCGAGGAGGACTGCCTTGGTCGTGAGCACTCAGTGTTAGCACATAGTGGGGCCGCTCTGCTCGGATCAGGGATGCTGCAGTGAGCAGCTCCCCTGAGTGAGGATGCAGAGAGAAGAGCTCTGAGCCAGGACCTGGGGACAACCAGAGGAAGGATGTGGGATTGGGACTCTGAGCGGAGCAGACCACAAGAACAGGCCATCACCCACCAACTCCCTTCCCCCCATACCTGTTAGTGTGTACAGGATGGTCCCATTTTCCCCCTCATCTGGATCCTTGGCCTGCAAAGTTGTTACTAGTGTTCCTGGAGGTACACGATCTGGTACCTATGGAGACAAAACTCATCTACAGTTGTCTCTTTCCTGTTTTTCAGAATTCAGAATAGAGTTCCTCTCACCTGTGTGTGGCAGAGTCCCTTTTCTGCTCTCCCACCTATACCAGCAGGCAGTCTCTTTTACTTATACCCACACTTCTGTGGGGGGACCCCTTATTCCTTTTACAGTTCTTTAGGTAGAGCCCTGCAACTCACATACCTGAATAGGGAGGCCCCCACCAGCAGCCCCTGACGCCTGCAGGAAGGTGGGGCTGTTGTCATTGAGGTCGAGAACTGCAATGTGCACCGTGCCTGTGGTGCTGCGGGGTGGGCTCCCCCCATCCTGCACCTGCACCAGGAGCTGGAAGCTGCTCTGCTGCTCTCGGTCCAGGGTTTGGAGTGTGGTCACTTCTCCTGGGAATGCAGGGTGGAGATCATGTATTGGCTATTTAGAGATTCAGAGCCTGAGAACTACAGGTAAGAAGCTTGGGTTGAGCAATATGGGAAGGAATTCCACAGGTAAACGCCAGTCAGGATCTGGACTGTGAGCTGGGGACTTTGTGGGTGTTTGCCAGTATGGAGATGAGGCTGTAGGGTCTCAAAATTTGGGATCCAGTGCTTACCAGTCTGAGGGTGGATACGGAAGGCCTTACTATCCTCTGACAGCTGTCGCAGGCTGTAGGTCAGACGTCCATTAGGTCCAGAGTCTCGATCAGTGGCAAAGACCCGGCCCACACTGGTCCCTGGGGGCTGGTTCTCAGTCACAGCTAAGAAAGTAGGCTCTTCAGACAAGCGGGGACTATGGTCATTCTGGTTGAGGATGCTGACCCTCACAGTGGCTGTGCTTGTCTGTTGCCCCAACTCGGTTTTGGACCCAGATACTGCCATTATCTTCAGTGTATATAACTCCTGGGACTCACGGTCCAGTGGTGCCCGAACCCATAGCCACCCACTCTGTGACTCCAGACCAAAGAGGCTGCTTGCTCCATCTGCTGCAAGGTGATAGGTAACAGGACTCCCATCTGGTGTCTGAGCTTGCAGTTGCAAGACCTGAGTTCCAGGAGTGGTGCTTGAGGGCAAGTCCACACGGTAGGTAGGACTATCAAATCGGGGAGCCAGCCCACGGGTCCCCAAGTCGTGTAATACCACCCGAAGTCGAAAGTGGCTGGTACGTGGTGGGGAGCCCCCATCCCGGGCCTCTAGTTCCAGCTCATGGGCTGCCCCACTTAGGGGTCCCAGAGGTCGCATAAGTCGTACATGGCCTGTGGAAGCATCCACTGTGAAGGCCCCATCACCTCCAGCAAGCAGGGTAAAAGTGACTCGACTGTTAACACCTGAGTCAGGATCCAGAGCCCGTAGTGTATAAATTGGTGTCCCTGGGGCAGTGTTCGGTGGCAGCAATACTGTGTCTTCAGGTGCAGGGAAGGCAGGGGAGTTGTCATTCACATCATCCAGCAGCACACGCACGCGAGTTACAGCGAAAGCCGGAGGCACTCCACTGCCTGCTCGTACCTCCAGTTCCAGCACAGGTCCCAGAAGCTCCCGGTCCAGAGGGCGAAGTGTTTGTAACAGTCCTGAGGCCGAATCCAAGGAAAAGAGTCCCCGAGGATCTCCACCTGACAGGGCAAGAGTCACAGGTCCCAAGCGACCTGTAGAGGAAAAAAGAAGGTCAGGAAAGAGGGAAGGGTGCAACCACTGAGTTGTGGCATAGACTGACCCCAAGAAGGTCTGGGTGGTACCCACATCTGTGCTTCTCAGTGTTATGAAGATGTGTGATGGTGTAGAGCAGTTGGCTGGCCCTAGGATGGTAACCATGTGCCATAACGTTTTGTACTGTCACTCCCTATGGTGTGATACTCTAAGGCATCTTGAGATGGTGCTGAAGGGCTATACTGGGACATGTGAGTATGGCACCTCGTGGTTATAATGCAAAATGATACCTGGTGGGTTGTGTGCCTGGACCATGCCCACACTGGTGCCTGGTGCTACATCTTCTGGTACAGAAAAAACATACTGTAGTTGCTCAAATATAGGTGGTGTGGGGCTTCCGGGCACAATGCTGATGTTGACTCGGGCACTGGGTTCTGCCTTTAGTCCACCTCCATCCTGGGCCCCAATCTCCAGCTGCACCACAGAATTAGCCCGTCTGGCCAAGGGCCAGGCTACTGTCAATAGTCCTGGAGAAGGCATAGAGATACAGACATATAAAGGAAAGAACAGAGAAGGGTTATAAAAGGTGGAGGCAATGCATCATTCAGGTAGATGGGGATACAGGCTGGGGAAAGGACTGGTATGGGAGAATTCTTACCTGAGTGCTCATCCAAGGCAAAAAGTGGGGGGCTATTGCCAGCCAAAATGTGGTAGGAGAGTCGCCCATGGGGTCCTTGGTCAGGGTCATGGGCACGCACTCTCAGCACAGCTGTGCCTGGTGTACTCTGGGCACTCAGACTGGCAGCATACTCCCGTGGATAAAATTGAGGTGGGTTGTCATTCTCATCTGACACGAACACCTTCACATATACCATGGACTTGAGGCCTCCCTGGTAGGACATGCAGCACAGGTCAGGTGGGCCTCGTTTGGCCCTAGTGTGTTCTGCCCCAATATCCCTGCCCAACATCTGCCTACTCACCCCATCTACTGCTGTCACTGTGAAGTCAAAGCTTGAGGGCCCCTGGTCACGGTCTAGGATTCGGGTAGTGCACACATCACCACTGTGGGCATCGATGCGAAACGGGGGAGGCCCAGAGGCCCCAAGTCCAGCACCCAAGGAATAGGAGAGGAGGCCAAATGGGCCACTATCTGCATCTGTGGCTGTCACCTGAGGAGAGGCAGGAGTGAGTGATATACCGTCTTGTTGACCAGAAGAGTCAGAGGAAGTGGCAAATAGAGCAGCAAGTGCCCAGGATCCCTGGATGGTGGATGCACAAATGGAACCAGTAAGACATGGGCCAAAATCCAGCCCCAGCCCAGACCTCACCACTTGGTTAGGTTCCTGAGAGACAATAGTCACAGCTTTTTTGTTAAATGGTAATACATAACCTTGCTTGATATGTATTTCTGTTTGAAGACACTTTATTTAAGATGTACTATAGGTTTCTTGTTTGCTTGTTTCTGTGGCTCAAACCCAGCGATGCTAGGCAAGTGCTCTACCACTGAGCTACACCCCTAGCCACTTTTTGATTCATTAACATTGAACTCACAGCCTATAACACTGTAACTGATGCCTGAATGAAGGTTACTTAAGATGTATTTTCTTTGTAAGACACATCGTAGTCTTCTTGTTCTTAGGCAAACTAGACAGCACTCATAGCACTACACTTGAGAACTTTTAAATAGACAAATCCGCCAGAAAAAACACAAAAATGCAAAAACTGGGGTATTACTTTTTCATTGTATAAGAGCTGAAACAGGAAGTCAAAGCATCACCTTTTTTGATCTTAGCTGAGAATATGCTTTTTGGGTAACTCAAATTTTTCATCGCTCTGCACATATCTGAGAATGCCTGTAAAAGTGCTGCAAGTATTAATTTGGGGTTACAAGTAAAATTTAGAGATCCAGTGAATTTGTAAATACCAATGACCAACTGTACTTACAAATGGAGTGCTATAGAACTGTAATCTCAGTTCCAGGTGGATCACAGGCAGTTAACATCCTCACTGAGTTGACTAATCACCCCAAGCAAAGAGAAATGACTGACCAATAGGATTATTGATTGCTGTTTTAGGTCTGCACGAAGTTTGATCATAACAGTAAGAACCAATCATTACAGAATGTACTCTTTGATCTATGAGTGTGGCTCAGGCATCTTTAAACTAGCACAGGGCCAGGTACCCAGCAGATGCTCTATGTATACTTGTTCATTGAGTAAACAGATACTCTGATTGCTCTGATTTGTAACAAAACTCTCTTTCATCCTAAGTTTTATACATTGGGTACACATCAGGACCTCAATAGCGGGCTGGCTGGTGCTGACTGCTGCTGACTGCTGCAGGCTGTAACAAAGTGCTCTTTGTGCAGAGAAGGACCTTAGGGTCATGATATGCTGCAAGAGGAAGCTGGAGAGTCCTTTTTCTCAGCCAGAAAATGTACTCAGAGAGAAAGCTGGCCAAAGATTTCTGACTGTTGCCCAGGTCCTTGACAGAAGTGATCTGAGCCATTGTTTACCCTTCTGAGACACTAAGACCCTGCCACAGCTTAACCTTGGAAACAGCTCCCGCTCTAGCTCTACTGTGGCTATGGGGCCGGATTTCTCAGGAGACAGACTTTTCCCCCTGCATCAATCTTGTGGGCAGCCACACAGCTGCGGCACCATCTCCAGAAGCTGTTAAAGACCTTTGCCCTCTGACTTGCTGCAGGAAGAAAGCAATAAACAGTGATCAGGGGAAGTTGTCAGCAACTGACCCAAAAGGCACAGGGGCCACTGACTGGAAATGACCAAGGCAGAAGTGAATGTCCTGACTTGTGCAGCTCCTACTCAGAGATTTTACTTGAAAATACAAAAGTTTCCATTTTCAATATATTCTCAGCTCAGCTTCTCAGTCCAACCTTAGTCAGTTCCCTTTTCCCTTGTGTCCAGCTGTAAGAAACCTTACCACTGTCCTCTTGGAAAAGGTTCCAATCCCTGGCTCTCGTGAAATGCACTATTTCAAAGAGAAAAAGAAAGACCCTCCATCTGTGAACTCTCTAATTACTGGGCTCCAGACTTACTGCTTATGTCCATCCTGATCCCTTCCCCAGGTGCACATCCTGTTTTGATTTTTTTCCCTGTTTCTACTTTTGACACTATGATTTCCTGCTTTTCTTCCCACTGGTTCACCATCACCTCCAGTCTTTCTTCACTTGGTTTGTTTCATGCACGGTTGCTCCTTGGAATCTCTCCCTGACCTCTTCTCACCCCACATGCTCTCCCAGGGCCTTCTCTTTTACTTTCTTGACTTCAGCCATCATCTGTACTTTCAAATTGGACCACTCCCTTACATTGCAAACTTGGATGTCCAGATGCCTGCTCAATATCTCTACTAGGACATGTTCAAAACTAAACTCATGATCATTCCAAACTTGCTGTAATGACTCTTCCATTCACACTGCTGCTCAAGCCAAATTCAGTTCCTCCCTTTTCCTTACCTGCTATATTCATCAATTGGGTTCTTAGTAAGTCACTGTCTCTTGTATTTGTCTATTTCCCTCCACTGCCATTATTGCTTTCCTAATTTTGACCTGAATTATTTTTCCTCTGAACCATTGTAATTGCCCCTTGATAGGAGTCTGATCCTCAATCTTTTATTCCAGAATTTCTTAATACGACTGAACTTTTCCCTTTCCTTCTTTTCCTTTGCCTTTCCTCCTCTGCCTCCCTTCCTTTTTTCTTTCTCTCTCTCAATTCTTTCATCCTCACATCCCTCCCTCCCTTTTTTTCCTTTCTTTTTACTTTTAAAATGAGGGTCTCGTTCTGTAATTCCGGTTGGTCTTAAACTCACTATGTAACCCAGGTTAGCCTTGAATTCATGGTGATCCTCCTGATTCAGTCTCCTGAGTGCTACACATCTGGCCCTTCCTTTCTTTTTCTCTCTTTGTCTACCTCTCTTTTGATTTGCGTGCATGGTGTGGTACCAGAGCGTGAACCCAGGGCCTTTGCACTAAGCTACATCTCTAGCCCTTTTAAAAAATATGTTGCTATTGTTTTATTTTGAGACAAGGTCTTGTTGGTTTGCTAAGTTGCCCAGAGATCAAACTTGCAATACTTAGCTTCCCAAACTGCTGGGGTTATAAGAATGCACCATCATATTCAGATACTGCTGACATTTTGAATGATACAATTTTTTTTTTTTTTTGGTACCAGAAATTAAACTCATGACCTTGCACTTGGCAGGCAGGCACTTATGCCACTGAGCTATATACCTGGCCCACAATCTTTTATTGTATGGGTTGTTTTATACCTTATAGGATGGTTACCAGCATCCCTGGCCTCCCACTAGTTTCCAGTAGCATCCCAATAGTTGTGACAATCAAAAATGTCTCTAGATACTGTTAAATGTCTTTTCTAGGGAGACAAAGTGCACCCATTGGGAACCACTGATCTACACTCACCATTTGAGAATATAAATCTGATCATTTTACTCTTCAAAAACTTCAAGGGCTGAGGATTTAGCTCAATGGCGTAAGCACCTGCCTTGCAAGTGCGAGGTCATGAGTTCAATACCTGATACCAAAAACAAAAACAAAAACTTCAATATTCTTCATAGAAGGGAGGCTGGCTCCTCACTGTGTGACCTACCTGTACATTCTCATCTCACACTCTGCCTTCTCACATCTTAAACTACAGAGATACTGACTGTCCCTAAAAAAGCTCTCTCACTCTTCCGTGCATGTCATCTGCTTAGAACCTTTCTTCTGCTAGGCTCAACCATAAACATCTGCTCATGCTTCATTTCTGAAGTTCAGGATCTGTTCCTCTAAGAAACATTCATACTACCTATATCCTTGTTGTGGAAGCTTTCTCATTGCAATAAACTGTTCCTTTATAATGAAATCTCTTCTAGACTACATGAGAAGGAGCATGGGAGTTGACTCTTATTCATCCCAAACAGAGGCCAGCACATAGCAGCGACTAAACAAATATCTGTTGAACAAATCAAACCTTAAGACTATGAAATAGTCAGGAACCCCCAGAGGCCATGTTAACCTTCTCCATGGCTACTAATTTTAAGACTCCAGGAAACTACCTGGGCAGTTGCCCCTTTGCTTCAGAAACTAGTGAAGAAGGAAGAAGTTTGGAAGCAATAAATCATTGTTCCCAGCCAAGAGAGAGTAAACATATGGGAGAGTGGGTGGTGGGAACCGGACAGAAGCAGGCCGGCAAACATTCAGTCTGGCCATAACGCAAGGAGTCAGCCAAGCCCAGGCATAAACCTGCAAGGCTGGATCAATAGGCAACTTTAAGGAGATACTCAGGCTTCTCTACTTCAGTCTTCTCTCTAATAGCTGTACTCCGTGTCTTTCAGATATGACTAGAAGCCAATCTGCACTTTCCTTGGTCTGTCCAGGATGCTTGCATCTTCTCCTGAGAGGTCTAGCTCTGCACATCAGGATCTCACTGGATAGTTCTGTCTCACAGTCATATGTGAGCCCCAGTGTCCCATCAAATCTTAGCTCCAAAGGCAGGTTCAGAGATTTTTTCTAGCATAGCCCAGCATTGAATTCAGCATGGGTGGCTCTATAAATGTTGGCATCTTTCTTGGGGAACAGGAGCCATGGGAGTACCGAATCCTATCTCTGCCTACTGAACAGCCTTGAGACTTAACAGAGTTTCAGTCATCCCATTTTCCCTCTAATGTAATCTTAATCTCCTCAACTGCCAAGATTATGGTCCTCAGTTCTTGTATCCTACTTTCCTCACCTCATTACCTGTCACCTTTTGCACAGACTCTGGAACTCACAGAGTAGTATCAAACCCTCTAGTATAAGTCATTATCAACAGATGCAACTTTAAGGCTTGGTTTCTGCTCTGAGGCCTTATATGACTCTCAGACCCACCCCTACCCACAGCATCGTATGCAAGACCTATTCACCTGCAGGAAACAGGTTCCAGGCTGAGTACCCTCAGGCAGTGAGGCATTGTAGAAGGTCCTTTGGAACTGGGGCTCATTGTCATTCACATCCTGTAGAGCCACGCTAACTGTGGCAGAGGAGGCAAGAGGTGGCAGGCCCCCATCTGTGGCAACCACAATCACCTGTGGCTGAGGTTCCAACTCATAGTCCAGTGAGGCGGCAGTGGTGATGATGCCTGAGGTGGGGTCGATAGAAAACCAGCGTGTGTGAGTGCCAGGGGCCAGGCTATAGGTGACCTGACCATTGGTGCCTTGGTCAGGATCCCGGGCAGTCACCCGCACCACGAAGCTGCCAGGCAGTGCAACCTCAGGTAGTGGTTCAGGTCGGTAGAGCTGGCGGTCAAAGGTAGGTGCATTGTCATTGACATCAGTGATGTGCAGCACGAAGGCAGCTTCAGCCCGCAGTGGGGGTGAGCCTGAGTCTGTAGCTGTAACCCGCAAGTTATAGGCATCCCTCTCTTCTCGGTCAAGCTGCCGAGCCACACACACCAGGTAAATGACACTGTCTTGAGTGCTTAGAGCAAAATGGCCCTCTCCACCCTCCAGAGACACATTGACATGAGCAAAGTCACCATCATCTGGGTCTGAAACAGAGATGCGAGCAACAAGCTGTCCAGGTGGGGCAGCCTCAGACACTCGGGGGGTGCCATCTGCACTCAGAAAGATGACAGTCATGGAGGGCTGATTGTCATTGGCATCTCGCACGTGTACAGTCACAAAAGCTGAGCCCAGCTCTGGGTGAGCCCCACCATCCCGTGCCTGTACTACCAGTTCATGAACCCGTCGTTGTTCAAAATCCAGGGGCCGTTCCAGCCGCAGCAGCCCTGTGTGTGCGTCAATGGAGAAAGGCCCATCCCCCTCGCTCTGCCTTCGATTTATCTCATAAGTTACAGCTCCATTGGCACCAGCATCAGCATCAGCAGCAAAAACCTGCAAGACGGGACTACCAGGGGCCAGGCTCTCAGATACCACAGCATGATAGCGACTCTGGTTGAAAGCTGGGGCATGGTCATTGATATCCAGTAGCGTCACATCTAACAGGGCCTGGGCCCTCCGGGGAGGCAAACCACCATCGTAGGCCTCTAGCTGCAACATGTAGTGTGAGCGATTCTCTCGATCCAGCTCCCCAGCAATTACCAGCTCAGGTACTGGAGCCCCGTCTGGACCAGGGCGTGTCTCCAGTCGGAAGGTCTCTCCAGCTCCATCACCAGATAGTGCATAGCCCTGGGTTCCTAGGTGGTCAGCATCTGCATCACGAGCAGGGTCCAGTGGGTAGCGGGTGCCAAGAGCTGTATGTTCAGGTATCTGCAGGGCAGCCCGCGCTTGAGGGAAGGCTGGAGCATGGTCATTGATGTCAGCCACTCGTACTGTAACTTCCACAGTGGCACCATCAGGGGTGACTGCAGTGAAGCGGTAGCGGTCCCGCCGCTCACGGTCTAAGACACGTGCTGTACGGACAACCCCACTGTGTTCATCAATAGCCAGGTCTGTGCCCACGCCGCTGCCTTCCTGGGCTGAGATGAAGTACATGGGCGGAGTTGCTGTGCCCTCTGGAAGCCCTGCACTGATGTCTCCGATGAGTGTGCCTGCTGGTTGCTCCTCATCAATCTGCAGGTCTAGGCTGCCCGCCTGACCCCAGGCGCCTGGCACCCCGACCCCCAGCAGCAGAAGTGGTGGCAGCAGTGATAGCAAGAGAAAGGGCCTAGCACTCTTCATGCCAGGGCAAGAGGGCGCAGTGCCCAGTTCCTTCTGCATGACAGGGGCAGTCCAGCTGGGGCTGGGTCTCCAGCTCCAGGCCAGACTGTGGGCCCAGTTGGATATTAGGCTTTGGATCGGGTTCAGTTTGGGCCCTCACTGCAATTCACGCTCCGTGACCTAGGAGAAATGCATAAGGAAAAAAGTCATTACAGGGGAGGAATCATCTAGAGAGACTGGGACATAGACCACCAAAACTCAGACACACTGCTCCCAGCACTCTCAGGCTATTGCATCTCCAGCCCCAGGAACCTCTGCTTCTAATTACTCATGGTCCTTTCCAGCCTTTCCTTGGGCAAGTCACCATCCTAACCTGAATACTCTCTCAGCAGATTGTTCTGCTTCCTATATTTCAGGCCCAAATGTCCAAAAATTCCTTTCTTTTTATCTTTAAACTTAAAAAATAGGGCCAATCCTTTCTTACCCAGAAATGATACCCCTTCCACTCTCAGTAACCATATACTTGCCTGAGGATCCATCCATCCATTCCCCTAACTTTCCGCCCCATTCAGTAAAAAATTAGCAATTACTACTCAGAAACACAGGGAATACAACAGTGACGAAAGGAAACAGTTGCTGGCATCATGGAGCTCACAGGCCAGGAGTTGGACAAGTAGTTATAAGTAGGAGAAGGGCTGTGAAGGAGAAGTACAGGAAGCAGGAGAACATATAAGGGTTTAACCCAGTCCAAGAGTCAGAGAAGGCTTTTCTGAGGAAGTGTATTAGTTATTTTGTTATCACTGCAACAGAGTCTCCAGCACTCACATCTTAAAGGCGGAGAGGTTTATTTTGGCTTATTTGTTCCATCTATGGCTCCAAGGCAGAAATAGAAGGGTCTGGGCAGAAGAAAGCTGCTTCCATCATGGCAGACAAGAAGCAGAGAGTAAAGGGAGATGCCAGGGAGGGCAACACACAATTCCAAGACATCCACAGTGAACTGCCTCTTCTGACCAGGCCCAATCTCTTAACAGCACATTTAGCTACGGATAATCACTGATGAGTGGAGGACCTCCATGATCTAGTCACCTCCCACACCCATAAGAATTCCAGTAGACAATTTAGATTTAAGCCATAATAAGAAGTGATGTTCAAGTCAAGAGCTAAGTAATTGTAAGTGTCGATGAAGCAGTGATAGGCTGAGAGGGAGAGAAGAACATTGTAGAAGAATGAACAGAATTTGAAAGGGCTGAGGGCATCTAAGGAGTAGGTTAGAAGGCAATGCATGTGAGGAGAGTGCTAAGCACTGAGTATGAAACAAGGAAGGACCTCATAAGCATACTGAAGATTTTGACATTACTTAAGTGTAAATGGAACCTACCAAAAGTGTATCAAGATGTACTACGTTATGACTTACATTCTCTGAGGATAGCTATTGCTCCATTTGGAAAACAAGGGCATGCAGATGGGATGGAGAGGAGGTTCTTGTGGGAGTCCAGCGGGTGACACTGCTTTGAAGCTGACTTGGATGAGTTTTAAGCAATGAGGATAGTAAGAAGGGGATAGATCTGTGGGGGCTTGGGCGGCTGAATAGGAAGGGCTTCGTGACGGCTTAAGGTAGAAAATAAAGAAGATGGAAAAGAGAGAAGTCAAGGATGACAGGCAAATTACTGACCAGAAATCCGCTGGGCAGTGTCCTAAACTGAAGGAAGATAAGAGATAGAGATAGAGACAGAGAAGCAGCAACAAAGCCAGAGACAGATAGGGGTGGTGCCTCTGTCTCTGAGGGAACTGCTAAAGCTCAAGAATGAGGAAGCCAAAAAAAACAAACAAACAAACAAAAAACAAACAAACAAAAAAACAGAAGTACACAATTTAGGGGCTGGGGATTTAGCTCAGCGGCATAAGCGCCTGCCTTGCAAGCGCGCAGTCATGAGTTCGATCCCTGGTACTAGTAAAAAAAAAAAAAAAAAAAAACAAAAAACAAAAAACAGAAGAATGAAGAAGCCTAAAGCTTCACAGAAACCTTTGTTAACTAAGAGCAGAGTCAGTTGAGAGGTGGAAGCAGAGACTGAAGGGAGGCAGCTGCAGGAGGGAAGACCATTCAGGAGCTACCACCCTCTCCGCCTATCTGAAAGGCCGCTTCATTTCCCCTCTCACACCTTCCTCCTTCAGCACAGTGATGCTTCCTCCCATGATTTGCTCTCACTAGCTTCCAACAATTCCATGGTCTACATCCAGTGGGCACTTTAAAGTCTTGCATCTGCTGGATCGTTCTGGAACACTAGATCACTGATCGCTGAAGCCAACTCCTTTTGGCTTCCCACTGTGACCTCCATCACCTCTTGCTTCCACATGCTTCCTTTACTTCTTATTCTCCCTCACAAGCTCTTCTCTTTTTTCCCATTCTCTCACAGTTAATTCTTTTGAATGCTCTGCCCGGGATCACATCTTTTCACACTGTCTACACTCTGCTTGGGTTATCCCATCCACACCTATGCCTTTTATTCAAATGTATCTATCATTTTTAATGTAGTATGTCTTTGCCAATGGCTTTCCAATCTCCCTCTTAAGCTCTGGAAAGCTCTACAAAAATGCTGCACTTCACAATATATCCCTAGTTTTCACTTCAAGCTGATTTTTCTCCTCTATCTCCTTTCCTGTGAACATCACTATCCATGTTCAACCCAGAAAAGCTGACATCCTTTGGCTTTCTTGCTTTTCTTCAATCCCAAATTTTACCTTGTCTGTACATGAGTTTACATGTCTTTGTTCTGCTCTGTCCTTTCCACACCACTGCTATCCAGACCAAGCACTGCAATCTCTTCTTTCCTTTCCTGTAATAGCTCCTTACTGGTACCCTTGTTTCCTGGATTGGACCATCTGGTCCATTTCCCCTGACAAGAGAGATGTATAAAACTCTCATAAAGCTATTCCTGGAGAAGGGTTCCATTGGTTCTTCATTACTGACAGTAGGAACTAAAAAGAAATATAGACACACAAACACACAAACACACAAACTTGTGCCTGCAGTTTCAAGAGGTTCGTGGATGCAAGATATAGAGCTTCTGACTTATAACACAGAACCTAATCTGCTTAATGAGTCTGTGCACTCTGTGCTCTGCCAACTTCCATAGTGTTTCCTACCTCTTCCCCACACACCTTGCATTCCATTAAATGTTACCATGCCCTTGCCCAATTCCTCCCTGCCTTATATACAGTGTGCTGTTGTCCTGAAATGTCCTTTCCATATGGCCATCTCCTATTAGAATTTCAAAGTCCAGTTTAAATTTTCCATTTTCTGTGTTTTACTTGACATATTCCCCCATCCAAGGACTATTATGCTCTCTGTGCTCCTGTTCTATTCGTACACACTAGAAGTTGTACAGAAGCCCTGATATGTTCACGGGTCTGCCACTGCATTGGCTAGGAGGTTCCTGTACAGGTCTCAGTCTCCAATTTTCCAGAAATTAGTGGAGGTACAGTGTCAAAAGGCAGTCAATGCCAAGTAAATGGTTAAGTGTCTCACGCTTCAATGTCACTCGGAGAAATGGCTATTCATTCCAGTTCAGATGACACACATAAATAAGGCAGCATGACTGATCTTTTGGCTACAGAAATTTGTCCTTGAATCTTCATAGATTTGCTGTACTCCAAGGCTTCCTGTCCTCTAAAAGAGACAAGTTTTTGACTCCCACCCTTTCACTGACTCTCATCTCTCACATCTATGTAAGGCAATAAATACAGCAGGGGCTTTGGAGTTTGTGTAGAGTTTGAGTTCAGTCTTAGCAGTATTTTCCTAATCTGTAAAATGGTTGGATCTAAGCCCAGAGACTGGGTCAAGGGTTAAGGTTTGGTCCTATTCATGTAATCAAGTCAGTGGAGAGAAAACAATCATGGTTTGGAGGAAGCAAAGACAATGGGCAGTACTTATCATACTCTGTATCTGTCTCTCTTCCCAGATAATTAGGTATTTAAGGGCCAAAAGTGTTATTTTCTTATCCACCTTTATGTGTAGCACACTATGATCAATAAATTTTCCAAAGGAAGGTATATATCAGGGGATATGTGAAATACAAGCTCACGTGAATGATCAGACTTGAAGAGCAAGGATTCAGGGCCAGGCAGAGGTCCTATGTGAAACAGCCCCTTCTCCCAAACTGTGTGGCCCTCCATTACCTTCTCATTACCCAACTTGGGTAAATGTCTATCGCAAACTCTTCCAGTGCACTTTCACAGTAGACACACAAAAGCATATATTCACAGGGTCACAGATGCACACACAGCCTGATATGCTCTCGCATTGCTAGTTATACAAAGCACAGACAGACACATTTTCACAGTCAGACTCATGTGCAGACAGGCACACTCAACCTGCACACAGGCATACCAAAACACATCCAGGGCCAGGGCACACAGATACCCCTCCTTACATGCACTCTGCAGCCCATTTTCACACACACGCATATGGTATATTCATTCAGAGACCCCAACCCCCACACACATGCAGGCATGCACACATGCACAGACACATAAACACAAACATTCTCTTATGGACCTCCCATAGAGAGGCACATTCACACCCTCTGACAACCCTCCATACACATGCCCCATCATGCACATCCCACAGGCAAGCCCACTGTCACATATGTGCAGACTGACAAGCCAGGCACGCGCACACACACTTACAGACCCACCCACAGGCTGGCGTGCTCTCACACATGCTGCCGGGGCACTCATGGTCAGCTCTGCGGCTGCAGCTGTGACCTCCAGGTCCCTGGGGCCTCTGTCTGGACTACGCCTCATCACTTCCTGCTCCACGGCTTCCAGTTCCAAACTGGAACTCCAGACTCTCTCCTGAGACTGTCTCATCCTCTCTCCGCTTCTTCTCAGCACCGTCTCTCCCATCTGTCCAGTGTTTCTCATTGCTTTTTCCCTAGGACTTCCTCCTCCTCCTCATTCTTGCCTCCTTCCTCTTTAGGGCTGTCCTGTCCGATCCCAGAGCTGGTCTGCCCTATGCATTGTCTTTTCCCCTATGTCCTGTCTTCTCTTTTGCCTCCTGCCTCCTGTCCAGCTGTGTCACATCTCTTTCCCACCCAATTGGGTCTTGGTATATGTCCTTGTTCTGTCTCCAGTCCTGTTACTCGGTGCTCTGACTCCAGCCTGCTCTCCCCCTCTATCCT